GTTCTGGTCTCATACTGAAGTTCGAGGATATGAATTGTGATAATTTAGTTGATTTTTTTTAAAACTTCCTTTGAACGTTGTAAACAAAAGGGCTTTTTTTATTGCTTAAATGGTTGGACGAGCTCACAGCCCACCTGGTGTTAAGTGGTTACTGGAGCCCATAGACATCTATGACGTAAATGCGCCGCCCACCTTGACATATAAGTTCTAAGGTCTCAGTATAGTTACAACGGCTGCCCCACCCTTCAAACCGAAACGCATTACTGCTTCACGGCAGAAATAGGCAGGGTAGTGGTACCTACCCGTGCGGGCTCACAAGAGATCCTACCACCAGTAATTACGCAAATTATAATTAGTTATATTATTAATTATAATAATTATAATAATAGTTATTTTTAAATATTAAATAACTATTAGTGTACTGTTATATTTTCCTTCAATGCGTACTGCATAGAATAATATGCCACATTGTATTAATTATTAGTAGTCATACAGAAGATCTAACTTATTAAATTAGAACATTGAGGCAGACCTAACAGGCTTGGGGACTTCGGCAAAGAGTTCGACGTGCAACCTAACCCATGCATCAGCCCGCTGGATTTCTCGCCAGATCTCAGCGGGCTGCAATTCCGATCCGGTTGTAGATTCATTCGCGAAGCAGCTACTCTTAAGTTGTTAGGTCTCCTTTGGAGGCGTTCGAGAAACTGTTAGCAAATCTCACCCCTCCTGGCTGAGCCTTTGCTCGCCCACCTGTCCTAGTGAAACTAGAAAGGCCTCCCGCGCACCACCCACAAATTGTATAAAATTATGATAAATTGGTAGGAATAAAGAAGAGGGCAAATCAGCATACCCGTCTCTTTCAATTAAAGCCGAACACACAATTCATATATAATCCGTTGGTTTCAAAAATATCCACACTCTTGTAGGTTGGCCTGTTCAAATTCGCCAGAATAAATGCAAGTACTGTAATAACAAAACGTCGTGTCACTTTTTTTTATTACCAGGTGTGGGCCACCGAACAATTTTTGACTTTAATAGTTGTAGCAACGAAGAATGTGGCTTAAGACCACACAAAAGCTATCGTTCGCCGCTAAGGTACCGCACTATTGTCGTTGTCAAAACAAGATCGGTTACAATAAATCTTATTAAAAGTCCATCCGCAACGCAGCGCTATTGATCCGATCTCAAAAGAATGGTTTGTTTACAGTGAGCTAAGGAAGGTTTTTGTTGAAACGCATCTGCCTTACCTGTATTATTTTAAATAAAATTCGACATGAAACACGTTACATATTTCGCATGTTATTTTATAAAAAATTGTGTCAATTTTTCATATTTGAGTAAATAAGTACTATTTGATTAATAATAAAGTAGTAATCGACAACTATAAAACTCCTACGCTACACATCTGCTTCTTTACGAGATCGCTTTAGTAAATTTGTATTGTTTGATTATATTATTATTTAATCATCAAATGTACGAAAGATGTATGTTATTTCAACATCACATATACCGAATCAAATGAGAGAAAATCGGTATGTAATTTAAAGACAAGAATTACACCAATACAAAAATGAGTAATTCTTTAAGTTGGCGTTCATAACCTTGGTCTTTATAGTATGGAGAGTAGAGGCAAGGAGCACCATCACTTTTTTGTCCTACCTATTTTAATAGCCTCGAGAGGTTATTCTAGATTTTTTTTATTGCTTAGATCGGTGGACGAGCTCACAACCCACCCGGTGTTAAGCGGTTATTGGAGCCTACAACAACAACTACAAAGTAAATGCGCCACCCACCTTGAGATATAAGTTCTAAGGTCTCAGAATAGTTACAACGGCTGCCCCACACTTCAAACCGTAAGGCATCACTGCTTCAAGGCAGAAATAGGCAGGGCGGTGGTACCTACCCGTGCGGACTCACAAGAGGTCCTACCACCAGTACCACCGAATTAGTAGTGACCTCACGGGACTCAAACCTGACGACGTTGCTAACACTAGCCCTCGCAAGAGCAGTGTTTCACAGAATCTACCACCAGATCGGAATCGCGACCCACTGAGAAGATCCGGCGAGAAACTCAGTGGGCTGTGTATGTTGGTTAATTTACTCGCCGAGCCCTTCGTCGCAAGCGACGGGTTCGACGAGAACGATGACTGGTGCTTGAGGTACTTAAAAGCACCGTTAGAGGATCGGGAGGATCTGAAATGACGTGTTTTGGGCGACGTCAACTGTTTACCATTCGGTCCGCAGGATCGGGAATGTAATCCACCACCATCGTGTAGGTATAGGGGACAAGCTGAAAAAGTGTTCATCTCTAAACAGCAAGTTATAGGTGGAAAAATCGAAATAGCGCTAGGGTAGGAAGTCGAAATTATATAAATGTAGCATTATTAAACAGACTCAAGTGTGCTAGATTGAAGTGAAGTGTGGTAGTTTAAGGGGCTGTTTTTTAAATATTTCCACTTGCTACTATGGCGCCACCGTAATTTGCTCTCATTCAGCGGACACTTTTTAAACACTGAGATGGTGAATTATATGCTAGTACAGAATACAAATATTTTTGTTGCCATTTTACTGTAGTTGCGTAATCATTATGTAGCTTGTATAATGCTTGTATCACATTTTATGTACATGTGAAAGAAATGTATTTATTCCGAATATTAAATCTGATTTCTTCTACAATCCTAGGCTTCGGTTTCCATATTGTTTAAATTTATATTTGTAGATTAAATATTTTAATTAAAGCATTGTATGTATTCCAAATATATTTTACGACGACATCTGTGAGTAAAACTCAGAACTATTACCGAATACGAAAACAAGTTCCATTACATTTTTAACTCGATGAAGAATGAAATTCAAGGGCAATGATTCAGAAGATGAGATAAAATAAAATTAATAAGTAACAAATAACTTTAGGACATACTTATTGAGTTTTTTAATACAGTATAGTAAAATCAAACAAAAGGAACAGGGTGGTCTGTTTTTATTATTATTTTATTTTAATAATTCTAAAGAGATATACAATAAAATTAAACACTATTAATGATTTCATTATTAATTATTAGTGAACATTTGCGGAAATCGACAAAGGTAAAATGTTCCACCTGGCGGGTTGAATTCCCAGACCGATTGGTTTTTTTTTTCAGCAAGAAAGGATTACTGTTAGCCCGGAGGCTTTTCCAGCTTTGCGAGGTCACGTTGACGAGCACGAGCTCAGCCAGGAAGGGTGGGATATTCTAACAGCTGTGCGATCCCATCCAATGGTGACCTAACAGCTGCTTCGCGAATGCATCTACTGCCGGATCGGAATCCCAACCCGCGGAGATGATCCGGCGAGAAATTCAATAGGCTAATAGAGAAGTTAGCTTTCACGTCGAACTCTGACGAGTTCCGAGAATATTGCGAATGGTATTGGTCAGAGCTTTTATATTTGCAAGCTCATCTTAAAATTTTCGATAGCATGATTCAGGCAATTGTAAAATATTTTCTGTTTTATGATAGCTTTCCCCGTGAACGGGTTCTTATCACGATTTTAACTTTCCGATATGAGTTCCTGATAATTTAGTATTATTACATGCGCCATGATCACGAGTAGACTGAAGACTCGGGATAGGATGTTACGACAAATATATCTACACTATCTCTCGTGTAATAAAAATAAAACCCGCACAAACATGAACTTGTTAATTACTAGGGGTAGGATATAAGCCCACACAGATAGGTACCACCATCCCACTCATTTCTAGTTTGTTTAACTATCTTGAATTGATAATAGCAATAATGACCATAGTAAAATTTACAGCAGCCCAATTTTTGAGATTATTTGGGCACCTTCAACTTTAAAAATTAAGATTACGGACTATCTGTATGCATGTTTAAATATTTCATCTGCCTGGGCATTCATATTATGTCCCATTGCTTAATTCTCAATTCAATTGCTCAAACGAAAGTCTTCACGTTATTTCTCACTGAAACTGAGTTTTACTAAAAGAGTCATTCTCTCAATGATTTTTTCAACAAGTCATAGGTACTTAATTTAACAAAATATTATTCAACTTCGATTTTCATGCCCTCTTATATTAGATGTATAAATCTAAGTCATTGCTTAGATGAGTGGACGAGCTCACAGCCCACCTGGTGTTAAGTGGTTACTGAAGGCCATAGACATCTACGACGTAATTGCGCCACCCACCTTGAGATATAAGTTCTAAGGTCTCAAGTATAGTTACAACGGCTGCCCCACCCTTCAAACCGAAACGCATTACTGCTTCACGGCAGAAATAGGCAGGGTGGTGGTACCCACCCGCGTGGACTCACAAGAGGTCCTACCACCAGTAATTACGCAAATTATAATTTTGCGGGTTTCATTTTTATTACACGACTAGCGACCCGCCCTCGCTTCGCTTTGGAAACATTAAAACACACTTGAAACCAAAAACAAAAATAAATAAAAAATTAAAAAAAAGTAGCCTATGTTCATCAGGGACAATGTCGGCTTCTAATGGAAAAAGAATTTTTCAAATCGGTCCAGTAGTTTCGGAGCCTATTCGAAATAAACAAACAAACAAATCTTTCCTCTTTATGATATTAGTATAGATGTTATTCCTTCACCGTGGAAGTTCACATTAAGTTTCTATCTAATCTCATTTTATTTAATTTCATTCCAATTTATTACAGTATTTAATTCTTCAAACTTCGTTTCATTTCGCTTCATATGATTTTTCATGAGACCCTAAGATGAAAAGGGTTAGCTTAAAAGTCTTGTTACTAGGCCGTAAAATCTTCAACTTTCATTTTGTCTTTGATCTTCCTTTTTCTTTCTCTGTTGTCGACTCATGGAGTTAATAAGTACCTACAATAGAATAGTAACTCCATGTGTCGACTGTTGTTGCCTTTTGCCTTTAAAACTTTTTAAAAGTAAGTGTATTATCTATGGTTTTTGATACAAAATTCTAGTCTGTTTCGTCGTTGTGTTTTGCTCAGTTATGCTCTGTGGTGTGCATTGTATTGTCGGTATACCTCGAATGCTACTTCAATAATATTTAAAAAAACTGTTACTTGTTGAGTGAAATTTATATAAATTTGCTAGAAATAGTGTATCAAATGGGTGCTAATATACTTATAAGAAGAAGTCATACAAATTTATAACTCATTAGTTATGATTTCTTTGTAGTGGTAAGTGTTGAATTTAGTGAATTTACTGCTCACATTATTTCATTGATTGCATTAAAAACGCATTCGAATGCATTTTGAAATATATCTTACGATCGACGAAAAAAAGTGAAGAAGCTGTTGAATTTTATGTAAATTCTGTACAAAAGTATTAGATTATGCATTTGCTTTTGTCTTTGAAATGCGTTCCATGCATCGGGATCATAATACGTTGAAGGTGCCTTTTATGACAGAAACCCCAACCCGTTTTAATTAACAATCTTCTTTGCGTTAATTTGTACTTGTATTGAGAAAAAGTATATGATCTGAAAACCAAAACGATCATAAAAATATATAAAATCGTTCAAACTAATAGAAAACCAAACGTTAAATACTAATATAATTACACACTAAATTATACGATAAGTTGTTATATTCTGTTATTTATAAAGATCTGCCCCAAATGTATTTTTTTGTTTTTATTATAATTTCAACTTATGAAAAGTGCATTTAAAAAAGAAGTTTCTCATCATTGATGACCTGCTACAGTTTCCTTTGATCTGACAAATTATCTGTACTGCATAGATAATTTACTTATTAGAGAAAAAATATTAGAATACATTCTTTTATCAAATTAAATGTTTGAATGCCAGTAATTAAAAAAAAATCTATTTAACTTGTTATTGTTAATCAAATCGTACACTAAGTACTCTTTGCTCTTTTAGTTTTCTAAATATAAATCGTAAACCCAACACTGTTTAAAAACTGAATATCAATATTATGGAAGTAGTATGTATGAATGTGGAATTTTAGCATACATGCTTCCATTCCAATTTATTTATGTAAACACTGTAATTACAAATGTTTCTGAAACATTCTTACTTTTAAGAAAATCTTTACAATAAAATACACAGTATCTACTTTCTCACTATCTACACATATACTATACATTTAATGATAAATATTAATTTAGGATTTGGCTTTATTAACACACCTATAGCCTTTAACTATTTTTAACTTTACAACATGTAACTTTTTTCAAAAAAGTGTCTTTTGCAATCAACACTTTCTGATAATTTAATAAATTAAAACTAAATATAAAAAATAATCTACATGTAGCAGCTACTATTTAGAATTTTCTCAATTGTTATGAATACCACAGACAATATTGAGACAAAAATCTGTCCATCGAGCCTGAATACCAAATCTCATTAGGAATATTAATCCTAATGAGATTTAGTTATATTAATCTGCAAAATGAACCTGCAGCCGGAGATATATAAATTAGGATCATTAATAAATAGATCCATTAGCTAAACATTAATTATTCTAAATACATTAGTTATCAAGCTAAAACATACTTCACAAAAATGACAGGTGCTTAGAGAGAAAAAAATTACTAAATACAAATAAATTTGATCAGTTTTCCTTACATGAATCTGTGATTTTAAGAACAGCACAAACAAATATAATAATATATTAGGCAAACTACTTTAAAGATAAGCGGATAAAAATTTACATAGAATATTTACATGCTTAGCCATTATTGATCTTATTGAATTTTCTATCTTCATCTTTCATAATATCTAGCACTCAGTTGTTTAGAGTCATAAAACTATTAAAATATTTGTCAATCATGTAGTGTAAAAGATAAAGTTTGTTTGTAATTTGTTTGTTTGTACGTTTGTAAATAAAGTATTTATTTTCATATAAGGATCAATTTGTGACTACCAAATGTGCCTTTATAAATTATAAATTTTTTTGCATTTTGGTTCACTATTTTGGCGATAATGGCTTACACGTAAAGGAAAGATCTATCCTGGCTTTTTTGTGGTACTATTTAAGATAAACATTTCCATTATACATTATATACGTCTAACTCCAACGGTTTTTGCAGCACATGCTAGAATAGCTCGCAGATAGTAGATTTTTTTCTTACTTGACACTTATCGTTTTATAGTAGAAGTAAGATAAACACATTTCATTTATAATGAAATATTCCATTCAGCACATCAAAATTAAATAAGTTCAATAGTTAAATTTAGCAGGGTGGGTGAAATGGTGTTGTGTGAGGGGCGAATTAATAGTGAAAAATACACCACATAAGATACAAACAGTGACGGAATAAAATTCCAGCAAGACATCGCCACTTGCCAAAAATCTGCTCATTCTATGGCGTGGATGACTCAAAACCGTATAGACCTTTTAGATTGGCCACTACAATCATCGGACCTCAATCCGATTGAGCATATTTGGTCTATTTTAAAGAAAAATATACGGAGACACCCCTTAACTAATAAAACACTACTGGCTTAAATAAAGAGTGGCAACAATTATCCAAAGAATAATATTTTAAATTGGTATAGTCAATGCGGAAAAGGGGGGCTGCTGTCTTACAATCAACTCAATTTTAGGTGGACCGACGAAATATTAATTATTTTATTATATTAAAGCATACAAATTACAAAATATATTTTATTTAAATCTCCTATGCTAAACTACCCTAAAACTGGCAGTTCAATACGGGTGCCTTATACTTTTGCTCGTGGCTTATATGTCGTAAAAGGATATTAAGGGATTCAACACAGAATAATTAGCTGAGAATGATACCAGTTTACTGCGATCGTATCGTAAAGCGCACGGGTGGGTCCAACATTCCCGCTTATGTCTGTCGCGAAGCCATCGGTCGAGACAGTCGTTATATCATCTATATCTATAAGAATTCGACTTCATTTGAGTCATGGTGGTAGGGCGTCTTGTGAGCCCGCACGCGTATGTACCACCACCCTGTGTATTTCTGCCGCGAAGCAGTAATGCGTTTCGGTTTGAAGGGTGGGACTGGGGAAGGGGAAGGGAGAGAGGAAGGGTGGGAATCGTTGTACTATAAAAACAGCATTAACGTCAGCTATAGACATCAACTATGTCTATAGGATCCTGTGACCACTTAACGCCAGATGGGCCGTGAGTTCGTCCATCTTAGCCATAAAAAACACCTTACACTAAATGGGCTGTGCGCTAGTGCGCAATTAAAAAGAAACATATTTTTCAAAAAAACTGGTTTTGCAATATTTAAGAGAGTGTAGTATTATCCACATAGTTTTCATCAAGAATATTATTATATCGGTCCTGATATAAAAACTATGAGAAATCGCAATTATGGAAATCAGATCTACAAAAGCGAAATAAAAATCAAATATTGCGTAATATTAATATTAAAAAGAAAATTTACAATTGAGCTACATGTGACGAGCGAAATAACCCGTAGAGACAACCCACTGAATTTCTTCCCGGATCTTCTCAGTGGGTCGCGAGCCCGATCCGGTGGTAGATTCTGCAAAGCAGTGCTCTTGATAGGGTCACTGTTAGTAAATTCTGTCAGAGTGAGCCCGTAAACTCACCGATCCGTCCGCGAACAGTTAGAAAAAAAAATACGCCATATGTGTTATACTAAATGACTTGCACTCCGTACACGCTATCTAACAAGTATTCAGTACAGGGTACGTACGTGTACGTACTCATTAAACAAATAGCCCGGTAAAAATAACAGGTTATTTGCTAAATTGGGAATATTTGCGCTTCTAAAAAATGTATCAATAATTTGATTGTAATATTCGGACAGACACTAAAATTGGCTGCCATCAGAAATAAGAATGACGCTACGGTTTCTTCTTATTATTATATTTACCAACAAAGAGATAGGTTATCATTTAACGATATTATGTTGTTTTATTTAATCCAGAAAGTTTTTTTTTCTTGCTTTGATGTGTGGACGAGCTCTCGGCCCACCTGATTTACCATAAGTGGTTACCGGAGCCCATAGACATCTACAATGTAAATGCCGCCACCCCACCTTGAGACATGGGTTGTAAGGTCTCACTTTTAACAGTACAACGGCTGCCCCGCCCTTCAAACCGAAACGCATTACGCTTTACGACAGAAATAGGCAAGGCAAACCTACAGTCATTTAAAGATATAGCCTAATTTCCCGCATATAGCCTGCAAAAAATATATATTTGGAATTTCCTTCTTTTTAAATTAAAACCTAAATGCAATGACTAGTCCGGAACATGTGATGTAAAAAAATACAATTCAACGTCATCATGGCTATACCGGTTTCAGAACTCCTTTTTCCTCGCGGTGCATTCAAAAAATGATAGCAATTCTCTGAACACTAAATATATTTAGTTTGAACTTTAATTTTGAACTTTTGCATTGAAAATGCACGTGTCATCTTATTGCTTTTGCACATTTGACTTCATCACTTTTTCTTACCAATTAATCTAGTTATTATACATTTTTTTTTTGTTTTGTTTATTTCGTGTAATACTTTTTTTAAGGGATTTTATCTGGTAACTAAGACCTTTAGGTCTAGTCTTATTTTAATTTTAATGATACGTAACTTTTATAAATGAAAATGATATTATGAAATGAAATGTAGTTGATTATTATGAAACATGGCATGAAGTGAAATGAAAACGAAATTAAATGACGTGAGATGAGATGATATGGGATGAAATATAATCGCAGTAAAATGGTGGTCTTTTACTGAGATTTTTTCAGTGGACTTTTTGGAGGAACCCGAGAAGTTACGTCCAGCAGCTTTGTTTCATTTTCCCACATTTTTGCACTTTCACAGATATTAAGCAGTTAATAAACCACCGTTATTACACATTTAAACCTGAAGAAACACGAAATAGACAAAATAAAACATCACACAACTTCACTCCTCGCGTTCCCGCCAAAAAGTCCTTTGAGTAATACTTGTCGTATATCGTTATCTACCCGCCACGGTAGAAATATGTACCAGTAATGATGGTATGTTGGTATGATTAGTGTTAATTCTAGACTAGCCATTCTAGACTTTTAATATTAACAACTCAAACCTAGGACAAGAAAGATTAGTTCAAAGTAAAATGTGATAAGTTCAGTAAACTTACAAAGTGGTTTCTTGACTAGCTATAACCACAATTTGAAACATCGTGATGTACAGAATACTCTTATATAGTGATTTGACTATAACTATACTTGAGACCTTAGAACTTGTATCTCAAGGTGGGTGGCGCATTTACGTTGTGGATGTCTATGGGCTCCAGTAACAACTTAACACCAGGTTGGCTGTGAGCTCGTCCAACCATCTAAGAAAGAAAAAAAACTGCTTTTACGACTTAAGCTAGCGTTTGCTCTTTTTAAGTTACTATTTAAAAGTCATTAATAATGTCCAATTAACTTAATACCATTCCAATTTTTCTAAATGAATACGAGACAGCGTGTTGACAAAACCATTAATTATATTGATTAGAAGGTGTTTGTTGTATTGTGATTCAACATAGATATATATCAGTTTATCGACAATCAGAATATTCCTCGAATTAGTCATGCGTTCCTATTTGAAAAGTATAGGAGATTTTTTTTAATAATAAAATTGAGATTTTCATCGTTGTCACAAAGTTGATTTGCGTTATGTTCAACAGGATCTAGTATTCCATTAACGCCAGACGACCTGTGTGCTCGTTTAGTGACCTACATTATAAGAAAAGTTCTACAAAGGCGACGGTCATACGGACAAAGTTTGATTGAATTTAGACTAGTCTCTATAGACAACGTTTTTGATGAGAAATCATAAAACACACTTATGTATGTCTGTAACATTACGACTAGGACAATGATATTTTTTTTCGGGCCGGCTCCGAACCTCCTACGAGGTCCCCGGGTGCACGAGGTATGTGAGGCTTGACGATCTGCAGATGTTGGGAGCAGACCGCGGGCCCAAGGACGTTTTAGGGCCCTACCGCACTTAACGACTCCCCTGAACTCTTACATACGACGTCCGATCTCCGCCCGGGGTCAGAACCCGGTCAAAGTAAAGTAATTCCCGCGGTTAACACTAAAACCAGACTCACGGAGCCACCCTCATCTTAAATATAATAAAACTGTTGATTATGAAATAATGTTGTTATGTAAACTTTATTTGAAAACTACAAAAACTATTATGAATATATTGATCTGCCCGAGTTCCTTCAATTCTATATAACAGGGCTGTCTCTAATCTATGCTTTTACAACAATAAATGAGCAGTGTCATTTTTAAGTGACGTAGTCTTAGAATTACTACTTTCTCTTTCTCGCGGATGAAGTTTTGATTAATGAAATGAATAATAATGTTCTTTTGAAGTAAACAAGTATTTAATACGAGTATAAAGTTGAATTTCTTCAACATGCCAACGTTCAATTGTTATCTTATTCAAGTTGTATATTTCTATTAATGATTATTTTAATCCTACAGACCCTGATATTCAGGAATGAACCCTAGATAAATTCAAACGCTAGATTCGTTTAATACCAAAATACATAATATGGAATCGATATATTTATGTAAGAAATTTTGGGGCTTACTTCAGATTTTCCTAATAATTGACCTTGGCAATCGTTTACGGTCAACGACATATTTCATTCTCGAATTAAGTTGTGTTTGCTTGTCGTGTTATGTATATGTGGGCATAAGACTCAAGGTCGTACATCTAAATGTTCGTCAGATAATAATTATCTAGTCAGTATTAAGTAGTAGTTGCTGTGAATTCATTTTTGGACGGTCGTGATTGAGACGAACAGTTTTATATCGATTCGAATTGAAAGTTTAAATTTCGATTCGTAGTAGTTTTTGTGAATTTATTTTGAACGGTCGTATTTGAGACGAATAATTTTATATCAATTCGAATTGAAAGTTTAAATTTCGATTCGTTGTAGTTGTTGTGAATTCATTTTAGAACGGTCATGCTTGAGACCAATAGTTTTGTATTGAGTCGAATTGAAAGTTTAAATTTCGATTCTTCTATAAATATACAAAGATGTGTTAAACTAATATTACCAATTGGTATTAAATTGTGGTGAATTAAAATATAATTTACTTAAAACTACTTAAAGGTGTGCTGGTTTATTTTATATTTATCATATATAATCGGTATAATTGAGGGTTCAAAATCTCGGTATTTTTCTTGTGTATACGATACTTGTAGCCGAAAATATATTTCACTCGTTTTTCACAAACAAAATTTTCGGTCAGTATGTTATTACACTGTAATTGTACATTTTCTGTTCAGATGAGCGAGCCGCGATCGAAATGGATCTCAAGAACAGGAAGCTGCTGCAGCACAATCAGCAGGCTATCATCAAAGATCTAGATGTTCAGTACATTCTAGACGAACTTTACACGAAACAAGCTATATCTTCCGAGGTGTACGAACATATCGCTAATCTGGTCATAGTTGTAAGTACATAACCGCGAAGAATCACTACATAGCATAAAACAAAGTCGCTTTCTCTGTCTCTATGTATGCTTAAATCTTTAAAACCACGCAACGGATTTCGATGAAGTTTTTTTAATAGATAGAGTGATTGAAGAGGAAGGTTTACATGTATAATAACATCCATTAAATAGTGGAGAAATCAATAATAAATTACAGTTTCCGAAGCGAAGCGAAGGCGGGTCGCTAGTTTAGAATACATCAAATAACAAATGGTATTAGTATTTTTTTTATTGCTTAGATGGGTGGATGTGCTCACAGCCCACCTGGTGTTAAGTGGTTACTGGAGCCCATAGACATCTACAACGTAAATGCGCCACCTACCTTGAGATATAACTTCTAAGGTCTCAGTATAGCTACAACGGCTGGCCCACCCTTCAAACCGAAACGCATTACTGCTTCACGGCATAAATAGGCAGGGTGGTGGTGCGGACTCACAAGAGGGCCTACCACCAGTAAAAATATATATATATATTAATACGTGAAGCAAAAACTTTGTATCCCTTTTTACGAAAATTGCGCGGACGGAGGACTATGAAATTTTCCACACTTATAGAGAATATAGAGAAGAAGTGCACATGCTAATATATTTTTAAAATAATGCATAAAAGATACATTAAATCAATAAAGAAAACATACACACACTACCATGTATTTGACACACACACGCATGCATACTATTTATTGTCAAACTTTTGTTCTTGACGTCTGAATTGAGAATAGATTAAATATTGTTTGTCTTTATTAATATTTTTCTATAGTGTAGTCTTGGCGTCGAAAATACAATCATAATAGTGTACAAACTTACAATTCCAATTAATTATAATCGAATTTCGACTACTGCGGGACCTCTACTATATATAAATTGGCATAGTTGGACCCACAATCTATCTGACAAGCGATTATCAGAACTTAAAGGCACTCGACGAGTTAACGGCGTTGTTTACATCGATACATTGATGGTGTCTAATTCAGCAAGACAGAATTGTCTTTGCTAATTTGTATTATTTAAGAAGCACACAAAATTTTGAAGTTCAATACTGTTTGTGCCGCTGTAGGCGGACACCTCTGTTACGTATATGGTTTGACTAATGACTGGCTGTTATTAATGATTTGTTAAACATTTTAACGTAGACACGGGTATTATTACTGTTTTGGCAATCGAACTTTTTATGATAAAAAGTTTACAACTTCAAAAATAACATTAGATAAAGAGTTGTAGTATTAAAGTACCTACGATAAAAAATACTGTTGATATAAAATATGAATTGTAAGTTTCTAAGTAATGATAAGTTTATCGTGCTAGAGACTTATTTTTAACACGCTTTTATTAGTTTGTCCTGTATGTTCCAATGTAATAAAATCATTCAATTGAATTTTCATTTCTAATTGAAGACATGAGTGGATGAAGGGGATATGATACAATTTGTTAATTTTGTGAAAACGGGCAACAAACTTTTGTTTCTTGTACTAGTTACTTTAACTTTAAGGCCTAATATGGTTTATAGGCACATAACACATTCATTCAATGTAAAAACAAAAAATCTTAAAAATGGTACTTAACCTTCCTTAATCCACTCATGTCTTCACTTGTTCTATCATCATGAAACTTGACAACGATGTGTATGTACTCTTTATGATGATATAGTTATATGATACCACCGAGCGGATCCGATTATGAATGATAACTAAACCCTAGACTTTGAGTTTTTAAACTGCATCTTACGTCGAGCTTTAATCGCGATTTATAAACTTTTGAACTTCCAGAAAAATCGAGTCGAAGGCGTCAGGTATTTGATAGATTGCCTGCTAAGGTATGGCACGAATCAGGCCTACGAAGCATTCGTTGATAGCCTCGCCAAAGATTACAACTGGCTCTGGGAGAAGTTTGCTACACAATCCAACGGGCCAATGTTTAACGACAGCTTCGAGGACAGCCTTAGCAAGGGCGACGTGCCGAGGCTTCCCGAACACCATGTCAGGAGAAAGGCTGTGGTGGGTATACTAAACTATTTCCAAAGTAATTTTCGATGGTAACTCGCGTTTTTTTTTATTGTTTAGATGGGTGGACTAGTTCACAGCCCACCTGGTGTTCAGTGGTTACTGGAGCCCACAGACATCTACAACGTAAATGCGCCACCCACCTTGAGACATAAGTTCTAAGGTCTCAGGTATAGTTAGTTACAACGGCTGCCCCACACTTCAAACCGAAACGCATTACTGCTTCACGGCAGAAATAAGCAGGGTGGTGGTACCCACCCGCGAGGACTCTCAAGAGGACCTACCACCAGTAATTACGCAAATTATAATTTTTGTGGATTTGATTTTTATTAGACGATGTTATTCCTTCACTGTGGAAGACAATCGTGAACATTTGTTGAGTACATATTTCATTAGAAAAATTGGTACCCGCCTGAGATTCGAACACCGGTGCATCGCTCAACACGAATGCACCGGACGTCTTGTCCTTTAGGCCACGACGACTTCAAAAAAGAAGACAATAGTAACGTTTTTATAGTACAACTAGCTGTACCTGACCGCTTCGCTGGGCATTTAAAATTAACATTATTATTTCTCACCCCCACAAAGATTCTCATCATTAACGCCCCCGCAACTGGTGTAGGGAGTCCAACACTCATATAAATATTAGCCTATCCATTAAGTACATGTATTTTTTACATGGATACCAAGTTTCAAGTCAACTGGATGTACGGTTCAATAGTTATAAGGGAACATCCGTAAAAACCACTGTAGATTTATATATTAGTATAGATAAAGTACTAAAATTTTTTTGGTTCACTCACAAAGCTACATTCCTATGAACATCTTCAAGAAAAAACGACTCAGCAAACAAATAAATACCATACACAAAAAAAAACAGAAAAAGGCACTATCGTAGTAATGGGCATGGTTAGTTTTAAAATCAATTTAGGAAACACAAGAATATAACGATGTACTTTGCTAATGATACCATTATTAGACTGTAAATAAACAACTTTGGCTCCATTAAACTAATGGTTCATTGATGATGTAAATATTACATTAAATTTATAAACAAGATAAGCATTTTTAGGAATTGTGAAATTAAACTTTTTTCGTTTTTTGTTCTTCTAGGAAACTGAAGTCCTATCCAAGATTAAAGAGTTGACCCGTCACAAGATACTGGTGCTTCACGGTATGCTGGGCAGCGGAAAGACCTGCGTCGCCATCAACGTACTCCGGGACAACCCCGAACTCATAACGAACAATTTCAATGATATTGTCTTTTGGATGAACTTTGCGAATTGCAAGACCGATGACGACATCATCGCTCAACAGAATACGTAAGTTCCCTAAACTTGGACTCAGTCCACCAAATTACGTCGATCATTGAGTCATTGCGCATCGTTTGTAGCAAGGATTAATGAATTATTGGCTAATTAATTAATTATTAACCCTCCAAATTTCTGAACAAGATATTTACCGTCATTTTTTCATTGGTTTACAATAGATTAGTTCCCTAAAAGGTCCCTAATTTAGTGAATAGTGTGTTCATTAAATAGATAATTTAATTTGGTTAATTTTTTAACAAATAATCATTATTCTATTAGTGGAGATCGAAAGATTTTCTGTTGCTTTCACCTTTGGCAAAGTGACGTCATGTTTCATTATAGTGCTCTCTCTGTCTACCGTAGTATTTAAACACTTATAGCTTCCTTATTATTTTAATTAGTTTTTTGCTTATCGTCCATTGACTTTTTGTTGAGACAATTAACAAAATATCAGTCAATCCGCATTTTCTTTAGAATTAATTTAGTATGTACAAATCATGGGTCTATAATCTATCTATATATATAACAATGAATTGCTGTTCGTTAGTCTCGCAAAAACTCGAGAACGGCTGGACCGATTTGGCTGAAATTTTGGTCTTAAATTATTTGTGGAAGTCCAGAGAAGGTTTAAAAGGTAGATAAATATGAAAATGCTCTGAATTAAATAAAAAATACAATTTTGTTTTTCCTTTGATGTGTCCCCCGTCGGACGGATTCCTTTTGTTTGTTTTAAGTATATTTTATACAAAAACTTCGGTCTTTTATCGATTGAGGCACTACGAAGTCTGCCGGGTCAGCTAGTTTGAAATATAATTGAATTTCCAGGTTACTACGTAAAATATCATCGATGTACATTCAAAATTCTCACATGAACTCTTCGATATCAATGTCGAGTATGGGCTCGAATATCGACAGCCATTCGCTCTCCTACTACGATCGCACGTGGAACGACTTCAGAGACAGACTGAAGAACCTATTCTCGGAGCCCCCGCTGAAGGAAGGTCTGCTCGTAATGGACGAAGTCAACGATCGGAAATGCGTCGAAGCGTTCGATATCGGTTGCAAGATACTGATCACGACCAGAGATACGGACGTTGTGGCTAATTATCACCCGCAAATCGTTACGGTATGACTAATGTTGTTTTCGTAATTAAAAATAGAATCGCCTTTATCGTTATCTAGTAGCAACGGGCTTTGGTCCGTAAATATACGACAGTGAATTGTGTGTATTTTAAAATTAATATTTNGCGTCGAAGCGTTCGATATCGGTTGCAAGATACTGATCACGACCAGAGATACGGACGTTGTGGCTAATTATCACCCGCAAATCGTTACGGTATGACTAATGTTGTTTTCGTAATTAAAAATAGAATCGCCTTTATCGTTATCTAGTAGCAACGGGCTTTGGTCCGTAAATATACGACAGTGAATTGTGTGTATTTTAAAATTAATATTTGATTATTTCATTTTTGTTACGAGAATATGTTAACCAATCATTTTGTTTATTATTAATGATGTTGTAAACAAAGAGATACAGAAGCGTAAATAATTGTTTCAGGAAATGTACTGAATGGAATTCGTTGAATTTGTTAGAGCTTTTTGCAAATGTTGCGAGTTGATTACTCCACTCGTGTTTCAATATGGAGTAGGCTTTTATTAAATTAAATTATTTTAAATGCTACTGAATTTTTTTACAGTATAAGATGCTCAGAAATGAGTAATCCCTTAAATTTCTTCTTTGTAATGAAATTGAATTTTGTATCGGTCATAAAGGCACAACGATTTAAAAGCGCCTATTTAAATATTTAAATTTTTTTTACTTTAGATTTCCATTCAAGTTATGTATTTCCCTATCCACATAGTATCATTTTGGATTGAACTTAGTTAGTCACATTAATATATGGCTTAGTAAGGCTTTATATTTTTTCTTAGTAAGGCTTTGAATTAAAAAACCGATTTGACTTTAAGTGTTGAAAATAACTGTTGGGGCGTGAATCGAAACAGTAGAACGTGTATTCAAGACTTTTATTGAGTTTAATAACATATAATTAAGGAAAACAGATTTCTACATATATAGCACAGGAGTGATACGAGCCGATGACGGCGTGCGACTAACTTATGCAGTAATCATCAATTTCAACCAAACAATACTAGACCAGCACGGCTCATGGTCTTCGTCTATCTTAACAATAACACCAATAAGACGTTCACTGAAATTGATATTGAATCCTATTTTATTTAGATAAACACAATTTAAGCAAACACTTTTTATTTGTTATTCTAACAGTTAAGACTTTACGAATTATTTTTAATAGCCTTGTGGTAATTTATACTATTATTTATTTACAGGTGGAGAACAGTTTCACAGAGAGAGAGTCCCTAGAACTGTTTGCTTCTTGCTTAGACGAACCTGTAACGAAACTTCCGTCGTATGCGAAAGAGCTCAACGAATTATGCAAAGGAAGCCCCTTCCACGTGGCCCTGATCGGTGCCCAGCTCGCAGAAGACAGGGAGAGACTGAAACACGATCGAAGTCATTGGAAATATTACTTGAAGAAATTAAAAAAGAATTTCTTTTCGTAAGTACTTACAACAACGGTGACATTATAATTTTAGAACGTTTACCTACTAGTGGTAAGGTTATTCTTATGTCTTTGATTTCGTCATTGGCTTCAAGATTTGTCTTTATGTTAAGTGATAAAATGGTCGAATAGAAGAAGCGGTAATAAAGGAAGAATTGAATAAGCGTTGATCAAAAAACCTTACAATTTATTCAGTTTTAATAACATTCATGCAGGAGGCCTAATAAATAAGGTTGATGTTAGATTAGCAAGTTTTTTAATTATTTTATTAATTTGATGGGTGAATGAACTCATAGCCCACAGATGTTAAGTGCTTACCGGAACCCATAGACATCAGTAACGTAAACCCCACTCACCTTGCGACGTAAGTCTCTTCTCTGCTCTGCTTTTCAAAACGAAATGCATTACTGCGTCACGGCAGAAATAGACAGGCTGATTGTAGAAATGTCTATTCAGGGATTCCAATTGATAAAATAACTACAACTAATATCAGACTAATTCACAGTAAATGTATAATATATGTATATATATAATTTTATAATATATACTGTATAGCTTAGAACATGAACGATCATGGAAAATCAAATTTTAAGACTCATATTTCGTGAAACATTTTCTATGATTTAACCAAATCAACATCCTGTATAATATATTTACAGTGTGTGGAAAACGAACAACGATAACCCGATGAAAACTATACAAGTGTGCATAAACTCGTTGAATCCCAATACGCTGGCGATGTTCATGAAACTGGCAGTGCTTCCGGACAGCGTCAAAGTCACCGCTCAAGTCTACAGCAAACTGTGGAACGTAGACGTCAACGAAGTCGAAAACATAACGAAGAAACTCAAGAGCAAGTCTCTGATCATAAAGAACTACGATCGAGATCAAAAAAAGTATTTATACGAAGTACACGATCTTATAATGAACTATCTAAGGTCTTGTACGCACGAAGAGGAAATGAAGAAGCTACACGACGAACTGTTGAACAGTTACAGATATGATAGCGAAACTGCACCAACGGAGATAGTCGATGACGGATACATAGCCTTCTACATAGGATTTCACATTTTGAAAACGAAAAATTTGCACCAGAAATGGAGTTTGTTCAGTAAGCTGTATTTAGATTTGAGGTTTCTAGGGAATAAAGTCAGACTGACCGGACCGGACGATGTCATGCTGGATCTGCAGAAATACGAAAATTATATTGTGAGAGATGTGAGTAGTAGTTTTCACGAAATGCTCTGTATAATCAATAAAATTACATTTCAATCCGGTCATCGTTCTCGTCGAACCCGTCGCTTGCGACGAAGGGCTCGACGAGTAAATTAACTCTCAGACACAGCCCACTGAGTTTCTCGCCGGATCTTCTCAGTGGGTCGCGTTTCCGATCCGGTGGTAGATTCTGCGAAGCGCGGCTCTTGCTAGGGTTCGTGTTAGCAACGACGTCAGGTTTGAGCCCCGTGAGCTCACCTACTAGTTAAGGCGACGCTGATATAGCCTCTCAAGGCTATCAGCTTAGGTAGGAAAAAAAAAACATTTCAATGTCAGTTACTAATACAGACCATAAATAACATATGACATTTAGTCATAATAAAAAATATTATGTTTTGATCACTTTTAATAATTTTTTACCGAGTTCAGAAAAAAAGAAGTAGCTTATCAATTTCAAGACATTTGTTTAAAGAATCGTATTGTGTGTAAAAAAAAACGATTTATCTTCATTGAGTCAGACATTGAAAGAATGCTTTTAGATAATAACTAATTATAGCGTTATTATTATTATTCATACAAATTCATTATTTAATTAACAAGAACGTTTAAAATAAAAAAAATTGCAAAACTTTTTTTCGTTAAAATATAAATGTGATCTGTAAACACATTTAAATTATACAAACAAAATATTGTAGCACATATTATAACTGATAACAAAATGAAATGCTTAAAAACGGTTTCAAGTGTCAAATTTTCAAATGCTTCAATGTTCCACCAAACGCCAAGCAGTCTCATAAATATTTTTACAGTCAACGGATTAGTCTGCTTACACTTTCTATTATCATAAATGGAGCCCATATACATCAAGATGTTCAAGCTTTGAGATACAAGGTTGTAGTCTTAATTGTTGAACAACTGTCTCCTCACCTTCATACCGTAATGCATGACTGCTCTGTGACCAATACAGAACAGTGGTTCCATCGCTGGTCCAATAGTTATCGAAGATTCGCGTCGGGCGATTGCTTGTTCAGAGAGACAGACATTTAGCCTTTTACATGTGCCGGTCTTGCATACATCTCCCTATCGGCTCTAGAACATTCACCGCTATGGGCTTCATACCTTTTCACAGTTCGTCTGGTTACTTAAGCTTTTAATACTCCTAACCAATTACTAATCTATTACGTTGTGATTTTAGGAAATCGACAGAAACTTAGTGTACAGTATAAAGGCGTTTCTAAGCACGCACGGCACAGACCTGCACCACTACCCCTGCACGAACATTGTGCAAAGTATAATACAACACGAAACGAAAGGAATATTGTGTTGTAAGGCTTCGTTAATAGCACGGGATAACTGCGTAAACAACGAATTGTATTTTGAGTTTATGTGAGTACTAACCCTTTTTAATACGCTTTTATTAGCTTTAGACGTATGTATGTTTGTAACGGAATCTTTGAACATGATTTTGACCCCTTCGCAACGTTGGATTAACTCGAAATTAGGTATACTTATTATGGACCGATGACAATTCAATATGAAAAAAAAAATTTAAAAATTGAAATTCAACTAAAAAATGAAAAATAAATAATAGTTTAAAAAGTATATATAGGTTTAAAAGCGTATTTTGTTAGTTTTTTTAAACTATTATTTATTTCATTTATGAATTATCGTTGGTAGGCTTCTTGTGACTTTGGTGTGATGAGGAAGTGGAAGTCGCTTGTTTTCAAAGATGGGATCTGTCGCTCGGTGTGTCACTAACGTGAAGTGCTCACGAATTTTCAAGTGTGACAGTCTATTAGCTATGCGACAATTGTGCTTAAATCGCGCTCACTAATCTGTCAACGTGATTAAACTATAACAAAATTATAAATGATCACCACCTTTGAAATTAAAATGTACTCTATTGTATGTACATAAGAAAATAAGGTATTTTTAAAGTAGTGCCTATATTAGATTTCTAAATAAATCAGTATAAATATTCCAATTTCAAACTATCAATTAGACTATGAATTATGTTACGGACTATCCTGTAATTTTTATTAATTGTCAAATTATCATTAATTTTTTTAGTTCTTTTTTTTTGTTGGTCCCCATTTAGATTTATCGACAAGATTAAAAATTAAGCTTAAAGCTTAAGTACTTAAAATTTTTCTTCGTTCATAATTTTAAGTATCTCGAAATGGAAAAGCGAGATTTAAAAATTTTTAGAATCTAGTTCATATTTTATAGATGATTTAGATGACCCTTCTGACAGTATGCTTTTTGCTTAATTTTAGTTTGTTTATTTGCTAGGCACGAACATGATGTAGAAGAAATTAAACATTCAACTATCGACGTTAAAGAAGTTATCAAATCTGTTTGCTTCTTGAGAAATTATGTAATTGTTGGAACGTCCAATGGCTTGATAAAGGTAAAATGATACGTTTTAAACTCCCACACACACATATTTATCTAATTAATATTGGTGAATATGGGCCAAGGATCAAGCTCACAGGATTACACTACCCATGTTGAAGTAAATCTCCCATCTATTGTATCATTAAAATTATTATTGTCTCCCTCAAACCAGAATGTACTATGTGGCAGAACCAGAATACTTGACGGCGTGAATAGAAAAACTTTTTAAACCTTAAATCCAGAAACAGCAAAAAAACCCTTAAAGCTTAAAACTATCTTTTTTTTAGCTAAGCTCGTTCAAGACGAATCATTTAAGGATCAGAATGTTTTTGTTGAATAATAAAACAGTACAAAAATTAAAATTTCAGTAACGAAACATTTATTTCATAAATTCAACAAATATGTGCAAACATAAACACTAGTAATTTTGAATTTATTTTTAAACTTTTACCACTATGTACATCACAGCAAGTACTATAATTTGACTGCTTCTTACCACAATATTGACTTTAAGGTGCCTCAGATACTTCAGATCTGTTGAATATTTCAATCGCCAATTCTACCAGTGATCTTGGCCATTGCAATAGAACCAAAATATCATTAAAACAAAAAATCGTCAGAAGAATCAGTAAAATAATAGACTAATAGACTAGATCAGAAAAAATATTTTCTAAAATTAATCAATATTAGAAATTTACTTGTTCGTGTTCCTCTGCTTTGTAAAACTTTTGGCGCTTCAGAGAATATTTCTGGTAAATGATTACTATCGTACGATAGTGGAGGATCGAATTGTCTAACATAAAAAACAATAATTTCAGTTCTTCAACATAGAAACTAATAAGCAGAAAAAGGAACTAAAGGGCACCGGTGCCGCCATTAAATGGATAGGCGTCGCATGCACTAAAGACACGACTATTGTAGCCGCTCTGTCGACGGACGGATATCTCAAACTTTGGTTCGTCGATGACTTCGATGATGACGACAACGCTAATAATCTCGTCGAAGAAGGTATGCGGCTTATACAGGGTGTATTATTTCCACTTACAACAGTTAAACATTACTGTTATCATACAGCCATATAAAGTTTGTTTGGTTTATTCTATAGGACAAGCTCATAACCCACTTGGTGTTAAGTGGTTAGCGGAGCCCATAGACAGCAACAGTGTAAATGCCGCCCAAACTTTGAGACATGACTTAACTATGTACTTTTTTTTTATTGCATAGGTGGGTCTACGAGCTCACATCCCACCTGGTGTTAAGTAATTACTAGAGCCCATAGACATCTACAACGTAAATGCGCCACCCACTTTGAGATATAAGTTCTAAGATCTCAAGTATAGTTACAACGGCTGCCTCACCCTTTAAACCGAAATGCATTACTGCTTCACGGCAGAAATAGACGGTGCGGTGGTACCTACCTGCGTGGACTCACAAGAGGTCCTACCACTAGAATTCAGTTATAAATCCTTTCTGCTGTTTCAGAACCGAACGATGCATACAACAACTATCCCAGTCCGTTAACATTTGAACCCAAACTGGGACCGATACTAAATTGTCGTTGGACGACCAGCGAAGACTTGTTAATAACTCACACGTCTCAAATGATTATACTGTACCGTCCCAAAGGCGCCGAGTATGACGTCATAAGTGAGTTCGACAGGGAACAGAAGCTGCTATGCTGCGTCCCCTGTAACAACGACAAATACATTGCTGTAGCTAGTTTCAACGCCGTATACAGAGTGGATTTGATCGACATTAGAACTAAGCAGAAAGTTGTTTATTTCGAAGAAACAGGTGCCATATTGGATATGCTTGTTGTTCCTGGTAAGTTTATAGTGTTTCATTTCGCGTTTTAAATTATCAATCAAGAGACATCGAAAATAGTAATTATAGCACGAACTTCAAAACAGATATCGATTAATACAACAACCACGGTTATATACTTTAACAAGTTGGTGATGTTTGTCTTCTTGAAAGGAAGTAAATCTACTCTTATATTTGATGACGGAGATGTCCTTAAAGTGTGGGATAGAGACAGAGACATTGCTACTTCGCACCCTATAAATTAATACAATAATATACTACTTATCTGCTTAGTGCTGTTTGTTTGCATCATCATTTATTATTTCCATACTGTTGATTTATTATGTGTATGTAATGTATGTAAGTATGTATGTATATATATTTCATATTATATGTAAATTTATATTTTGTTTATTATATGTATATATTTTCTATAGTAATGTATTATCTATAGTACACCGTAACATATCTGCTATATTTTTATAGTTTCCAAAATTTCTGTAAATTAAACGGTTGTCTGGAAGAGATCGCTTTTAGCGATAAGACCGCCTTTTGTACAAATGTATTTGCTTTTTTGATTGTTTTTTGAATGTAAATTGTGTTTTGGTGTGCAATAAAGTGTATTCTCTCTCTCTCTCTCTCTCTCTGTCTCTCTCTCTACAACAAAAAACCAAAGTTGCTTCCACAAAACAAAAACCAATGCAATCATTGTTATCCCATATAACCACAAAACTTGTTTTCAGGTACCAATAAAATAATAACGCTGAAACAAAACGAGATAATGGCACACGAGTTCCGGGTGAAGCCTGCTTCGATAAACAGAGGCGGGACGGTTATCGATAGCGGTGCGGTCAAAGCGGATGTCCGGTTCGCGGCGATGGCCGTCAACAACTCGGGCTCGCTGCTGTTCGCGGCCACGGACGATAGCCGGGTCGTTTGTGTCGACTTGAAAACTAACTCAAGAGTTTTCGATATCGAGAACAGAAGGGGGTGAGTTTTTAAACTTAAAAATTAATTTAGTCAAATTCGTCGTGGCCTAAAGAATAAAAAGAACGATGCATTCGTATCTAGCAATATCCTAAGTGCTAGATGCAACACTATTCATTTTGGAGTACATGCTATAGGTCAACAATTTACACTTAGGTTGTGTTGCAGCTATAACGAGTTGTGGACATAGATAGTGGCATTATTGTTTACACCATTGGTTAGGCCGCGAGTGCTTATCTACTTTGCCTACTACAACCAGTTTATCGAAATTGTCAAGCTTCCAGCGGACATTAATAATAGCAAGTATCAAATAAAGTATCACCGTATGTTGCTACTGTTAAAGTTATCATAAAAAATTATGTATAGAAACGATTCTAAATCTTGTATGAATAACAATGCTTGGCCTCAAAAATATTACCTAATAACAGCTGTAACAGCTAATAAAATATTATGCTACTATAAGTAGAAGGTATTGTGAACTCACACAGATAAGTGGCACCATCCTACTTATTTCTGCTATCAAGCAATCATGCGTTTATTACAACCTCATGTCTTAATCTTGATAGCGAATTTCACATCGTGAGGTCTATGGCCTACGGCCGCCATTACTCACTAAATTGACCGTGCGTTCGTTTGTCCATGGGTAATGTAGAGGAGTTTATCAGCTTATAATAAAAAAGCAGATTTAGTGTTTTTTTTATAACTTCTGTTTTTTTTTAACTCAATAGCAATGTGGTGTCAATGGCGGTGAGCGAAGTGCTGATGTGGGATGAATTCGAACCGAGCTCCGACGTACTTCTAACTGGTACTGATAGTACTGAAAATTCGGCCAAAGTTTGGTATTTAGACGCTTCGTACGTGTCGCAGACTGCACAAAGAAAAGGGTATGTATTAAATGTATTGTTTACGTGATCGACATTCAATATCCCGAAAGGCCTTAACGTTTCGATTTAGTACATTATATCACTACTAGGTAGCGCTTCACTATTTAAAGTAACGTAGCTCTCATCCAAGTGTGGTCACTTCGGATCCTCCCAATCCGATGCTTTTAGGTACCTCAATCACCGGACACCGTTCTCGTCGAATCCGTCACTTGCGACGAAGGGCTCGGCGAGTAAATTTGCCCACGGACATAGCCCACTGAATTTCTCGCTGGATCTTCTCAGTGGGTCGCGTTTCCGATCCGGTGGTAGATTCTGCGAAGCACGGCTCTTGCTAGGGCCAGTGTTAGCAACGACGTCAGGTTTGAGCCCCGTGAGCTCACTTACTAGTTCTCTGAATCTAGAATAACCCCTCGAGGTTACTAGAATAGGTAGGAAAAAAAACCAGATGTGCAGTTGTAAATATGTTATGATCCTTTACTAACAGTGCATGTCGTGATGAAATGACTGAGAAACGGTATTCAAACTGAAAATAAACACGTTCGTGTGAGCAACCTCATTTCTGAATATTGCTACTGTGGCGCACCTTTTTCCCATACAAAGTTTAGCAACGTTCAAATACGTTCAAACGTCCCGCCGTAATACGTACATCTTATGATAAAAATCATCATGAAATTAGGGAACGCGGCGGTATAGGCTACGAAAATCGAATGTGTTGCGGCGCTAAGTAGATGCGCCATAGGAATTTGCCCATAAAATAGACGTCCAAATAAGTTCCGACAAAATAAATATGATGATAACCTAGAGGCCGTCATATGACGTTACGCCATTTCATAATTTTAAAAACACGACATTGTAAGACGTTGCTCACGCGAACGTGTTATGTTGTGACATAAGCGCTTTAAAACTGTACAAGCGACGTTCAATAACGACTGCAACATCGAATTCAACTTTGCTCCTATTCATATTCTAAGTTAACGATATTGTTCTAGAAAAGTTCGTCTAACAAGTAAATTCGACGTGAGTTTCCTAAACGCGACAACGCCAACATCTCCGAGCGCCTCGCCCCTGAACAGCGGCGTGGAAACAGTTCACAACCCTCTAAAATCACACCAGTCGTTCACGAACAAGGACCCAGTAAAGAAACCGATTAAAACTACCATGAGCTTGGACAGGAATACATTGAAACCGCTCAATCTGAAAGGAATTTGCAACAATAATGAAGGGCTCATACATCCATTGCTGGCTGTCGTCGACGATATGAACAATATACAGGTAAGAACCGATTCATTTTATGACGTACCGACACTTTTGTCGTTCTGATGGATTTAGTGCAGATTTATTTTATTTTATTACTTAGGTAGCTGGACGATTTCACGGCCCACCTGGTGTTTACTGGTTACCGGAGCCCATAGACATCTACAACGTAAATGCTGCCATCTACCTTGAGATATAAGTTCTAAGGTCTCAGGATAGTTACAACAACTGCCCCACCCTTCAAACCGAAATGCATTACTGCTTTACAGCAGAGATAGGTGGGGTGGTGATACCTACCCGTGTGGAGTTACAAGAGGTCCTACTGCTAGTAAAAAAGCAGATGAGATTTAATTATTACAATTATTTTTTTAGATTGGTACTTTACTGTTTCTAGATTATCAATGTGGCAACAATATATTATATTATTTAAAATATAAAAATATAATATAAAATAATAATATTACAGGTGATGCGCGGTAAGAAAGTCCTAACCGAGATCTTAGAGAAATCTGATGAAAAGATAACAGCCGTCAAGGTATCGCCGTGCAATCACTACATCATGTACGGGCTCAAGTCGGGCAAAGTCAAGAGATACACATTGAGAACCAAGGAGATGACAACTATAATGCACGTTAACAGTCCGGTGCAATACCTGAACTACATCAACAACAAGCTGATGTTGGTCGCGTGGAAGAACCGATGTCTAATGTCGTATAAACTGGGCCACGAGGAGACCTGGAAGACTGAAATGCTACAGGCCGGTAACACGCACCTCGGCTCGCAAGAATCGCAGCTAGGAAGCGATTGGCAAAGTAATTATAATATTTTCACTCTTTAGATTATCTCTGAAGATGCAAAATTTTTAGTGACCTAGGGAATAAGACACCAGGTTTCGGTTTATGAAACGGTCTCAAGATTCGAGATTCTCCTGAAATTATTTTGAGGAAATATATACCTAAGATGTATTCAGGATCGGCGTATACCTACAACGAAGAAGTATCTTCTTACAATAGTAACCTGCAACCGCAATTTGATTGACACTGTAATACTAAGTGTTTTAATGACTGTATTAGAAGACCATAGTTTTTTTTTTAAATCAAGCTCGTATATTTTATGTCATTACATTATTGGATGTTTGATAACATTCCATTTCTGATATTTTTAAAATACAGATAATCTATGTACATTTGAGTAATGAAAAAAAAAAGATGTGTGGTGTCGTGGGACACCGGATAGGAACGAAGTTCCTTATTATAAAAATATTAATTTTAAGTTCTATTCGAGGTATAAAGAAAATAATTATTTGGGTATACATTTTTTATTATGATATTTTTATTGATAAAAAAAAACTACTTATAAAGCTATCAACTTTATTTTATTCACAATGAGTTATAAAAAATATATAATAATAATATACAAAGAAACAGCTGTTTATATGAATAATAATAATAACCGTCATCACATAGACTATACATTTGACACTGTATAGCCATCATACTAAGACTATAGATAAATAATAAAAATCTTACGTTACGGACTTCGTTCCAAAAAAAAAAACTATTAATATTATGAGACCATCCGTTTACATTATCTAATAATATTAACGTTCAGAATGCAAATGTTTCAGGTATGAAAATGAGGAACGGCCACTCGGACTTGTCGACGTCGAGCAGCGAGGCCAGCGTGAGCTCCCGCGAGAACCGACTGTTCCACGGCGGCGAGATGAAGGAGCTGTACAAGCAGAGCGACCTCGTCGACTGCTTCTGGGTCCCGGACACCGGCCTCATCACGGTCGAATCGAACGCCGCCATCAAACTATGGAACAAAGACTGCAAAGTTTCGACCATATTGAACGCGAGGCAAATGGATACTTACATCACGTGCGCCGCTTTCCAGAACAACGTTCTCGTTATATGCGACAGCGAAAACAAAGGATTCCAGGTTTGTGTTTTTACTGTTTTTACTGGTGGTAGGACCTCTTGTGAGTCCGCGCGGGTAGGTACCACCGAACTACCTATTTCAGCCGTGAAGCAGTAATATGTTTCGGTTTGAAGGGTGGGGGCAGCCGTTGTAACTATACTTGCGACCTTAGAACTTATATCTCGAGGTGGGTGGCGCATTTACTTTGTAGATGTCTATGGGCTCCAGTAACCACTTAACACCAGGTGGGCTGTGAGCTCGTCCACCCATCTAAGCAATAAATTAAAAAAATCAGGTTTGTAAAATACATGCTTAGCCCGTTATAGTTCTGGGAGTGATGTTTGAATGTGTACGCGCACATACGTAGCACATGCGTACCGACAGTCGGGACATTTGTACCAAGCACCGACAAGTACTGACAAGTACCGTCAGCATGTCAAAACGTAAAGTTCTTCATAGTGAATTTAAGTACATTGTTATTTTTTGACATGTAGTTTTAACATAGAAGAATAAAGGCTAATTTTTATACTAAATATTATAACATATTAATTACTAGTTAAATTATTTCATATCATCTGCATCTCTGTTGGGCATTAAACTGTCCAAAGGTTTGTGCTAAACAATAAATTCGTTGAAGTTTTTTGTTCTACCAACGATACTCACTTTCACGCTGACGCACACCGTAATTATGCTTAAAAATAACCGATATATGTATAATGAAATTGCAAGTCGTCCATGGCCACAAAAACTGGAACCGATTAAAATAATTATTTATTAGGAGGGAAAACATGCCTACAAAACAACAAATCGTCACATAATTAATATAATATCACAATGCAAATAACGTTCACAAAGTTAACTATTTATGATAATCCCATTATTATCTTATTTCTTTAAACGAGCAATTCTTGTATATTAATATAATTGTATATAATCTGAATCTCGGAAACGGCTCCAACGATTTTCATAAAATTTAGTATTCAGGGAATTTCGGGGGCGATAAATCGATCTAGCTACGAATTATTTTCAGAAAATGTTGTTTTATTTGTGTTTTCAATAATCAACTCTTCCTGACATCTATTGGCGAATAATAATACTATTTCTCTTAATTGAGGGCAACTAACCGCTTTAAAGACAACAAGATAGCGTTATTAAAAAAAAACCGAGCAAAGCTCGATCATCGTCTAGTTTTTTTACTAAAATACTAATTTTAATTATTTAATATAAATATGCGATTTAAATTAATTTACTCAGAAATCTGTAATATAACAAAAACAATTATCTCTGTTTTGCAGTCGTACGAACTAAAATTCGACAACACAATAGATTTGTGCCTCATCCAAGAGTACAAACTGAACAATGTGGTGACGTCATGCGATATCACATCCGACGGCTACATACTAGCGATGGGACTAGACTGTGGTAATGTTGTGGTTAGTATATTCAGTGCTATTTTAAATTAGAACCACGATCACGAGAGATTACCACGGATGCGGCTTCGTCAAGACGTAAACGTGAACCTAAATTTCGCCACCCACCTAGAGACGCTGGCAGGAGTTTCTAAGTCTCCTAAGACTTCACGACAGAAATAGACAAGACGTTTTACCCTACAATAATTACGCAAATTATAAATTTTACGAGATTTATTGTTATTACTAAATGTTATTACTTCATTGTGGAAGTCATTATTTACGTATTTCATTGAGTGGCTTGTGTCCTATAGCAACGGTTACCATGGCAACCATGCGTTGCTATTATGTATGCGATGATAAAATTCATTCTAGATAATATTTAATAAAATGGTGGTAATTTACGGAGACTTTTTCATTGGACTTTTTGGAGGATCCCGAGAAGTTACGTTCAGCGGCTTTGTTTCATTTTCCCACATTTGTGCACTCACACAGATATTAAACAGATAAACCACCGTTATTACACATTTAAACCTGAAGAAACACATAGACAAAGTAAAACAAGTCATACAACTTCACTCCGCGCGTTCTCGCCAAAAAGTATCGCAAAATGAATATCTGTGTCACATTTCAAGTCTACTAGACTGCGAATGACTGACTTTTGTATATTGTTTATATAGATAATTACTCAGGGTGTGGTCATTAAACAGTAGATCATCGTATAAGTTAGTAACGGTGTGGTTTGTTATTTGTCCCTCGCATTCGCGGAATATTTTACTCCGAACATATAAAAGTCAAACACACCATTTCAACAATATCTATAATGTATACAATAGAACAAAAGTAAAGTAAACAACGCTAGGCACTACAAGATACAAATTAAAATTAATTAAATATTACGTTTTTACATTCAACTTAAATCGACGCGCGCGAATCTTGTAGCATGACGTCACGGGACACCTGCGCGTTCGGGAACTCCCGATCGCATCCGATGACGCCCGAGCGCAACTGAATGTTGCCCGCTACAGCGGTTGAGAATTTTGAAACGTAATATAGTACATTGTGCACAAAGGGAGAAAAGTTGGACATTTCCTCCCGCGTGTAAAATGATGAACTCGATCTTTTATTAATACTTCATTGCTTGCGCACTAGTCAGTACCCAGGGAGGAAAAGTTACACTCTCTTCCCTGTACAGCGGGACGAAAACCGAACTTTCGGCGTAGGTAGGAGAAGAAAAAATCGGCTGTCTGTAAAGTCGGTTTACTGACGATAGTTGAACGTGACAACGTCATTAGAAAATACTGATGGAATGGTTTCATTTTTCAAAAGAAAATTTTAATTTTATTTGTTTGATAGACATTTTGAATGGACAATTGACACCACATTCACTTTTCACTGGACTTCATACTTGTCGAAAACATGTAAATGTATTATTGTATAGCAGCTGCCCACGCGGATGCATCGCTCACTCAAGTAGGAGAAAGACAGATGTCGAACGCTGCCGAACGCGGAGGCCGATTGTGCCTCTTTGTCGCTCGTTGCGCGCTCTCGCTTGCACTTCAAGCCTTAAATGGAACGCCTCAATGAGTCATGTTTTTTCGTGCGTGCAGCAGGCTTCATCGAATAATAAGACGTTGTCACGTCAAAAATTTATTAATCTAGCACATTACTTTCAGCTTTGGAACGTAAAAGGGAAGCGTCAAATCAGTTTACTCAAACACCACAACTCGAGAGTGCAGGCGTGCTCGTTCTCGCCTGTCCCGGACCGACTGTACCGGAGCTCCGTGCACTCGCCCGGTGTGACGTCACCGGCGGACGCCGTCGCCGACGACCAGCCTCCACTGGTCCTGGTCACGATGGCTTCAGAGATAGTCTGGTGGAACATCACGTACGTCATAAGGATACGAGCGAGTAATAAGTCATTGTGGAGGTATGTATTTTGTTTATGTTCATAATCTACCTTGTTTTTAAGCGGTTATTAGACACGATAGACATGTGAATTATACATTATGACTCAAGGTGCATGATGACAATCAAATTATGGTGTCTATTGGCCCCGGTAATCACTTAGCATCATGCGTACCGTAGACCGGTTTTACCCAGTTAATAAGCCTGCCTTCAGATAAGATCGACATCACAATTATACTGCATCACAGCAGAAATGAGTAAAATTATAGCACGAATTAAATTTCTGAGTTATCTGCTAAAGGTGAGATCCCTGTTTATAGACAGCGGCTTGGCTCTGCCCCTGGCATTGTGGAAGTTTATGGGCGACAGCAACCACTCACCATTAGGTGGGCCGTATGCTCGACTGCCTACAAGGGCAATAAAAAACAATTCGTATGATTGATATTAATTTCGAGTTCCTTTGACTTTCAAACTACATCAATCATTAGATAAAATTACAAAATACAATAAATGCCTAATGTGCTAAAGTAGACTGCAATACTCACTAGATTATGATACGTTATGTAAAAAAAATTACCTTAGGTAATTTCTAAACTGGTAATTTTCTTTGTAACATAACCGTGTTATGAAGGGTATGTTAAGCGTAGTATGGACATGTAGGCAGTCTCCTCCCGGTGATGGTTACGGGGCGACCTAAGGGGGTTGAGGCTGCGCCGCACGCTACCGTCACTCTAGCGCGCTGGCACCAGGAGGACGGGACGACGCGTCGGCGGCTGCGGACTGCGATGCGGTACGCACTTTCGTCGTCGCTGTCGTCGCCGAACATACTGTTGAAGAGCAACCCGGTCGGCGGTGTATCGCGTTTCGACCCGGCAGGCTGGTTCTGGCCCAGCGGGGTAACCCGGAACACTAGCGGCATCGCCCGGGCGGCCTGGTAGGGCCGCCGTACCGCGGAGACCGACGTCGTTGGTCGTCGACTATCGCCTCGACGACCCGTCGGTCGGGCGTCCTCGGGGTGGCGCCGCGTGTCTGGTTGTAGTGTTGACCGCGGGAACCCCCCTACTCTGACCGGGTTCTGACCCCGGACGGAGATCGGACGTCGGGTGTAAGAGTGCAGCGGAGTCGTTTAGTGGGTGGGCCCTAAAATCCTTGGGCCCGCGGTCTGCTCTCAACACCTGCAGACCGTTAAGTCTCACATACCTCGCGCGCCCCCTAGGCGCGGGGACACCGTAGGAGGTTCGGCCCCGGGCCAGAAAAAAAAATTGTATGGACATGTGATGCGTAGAGAGAAGATACATGTAACTAGGAGATGTACGGAAATGGTAGTGCAAGGTAGAGGGGGAAGAGGTCGACCGAAAAAGACATGTATGAAGTGTGTGAATGACGATATAAGAGAGAGAGAGAGAGAAGTGGACGTTGAGATGACGGCTGATAGAAGAGAATGGAAGAGAAAAATTAGCTGTGCCGACCCCACCTAGGGGTAAGGTAGAGAAAAAGAACCGTGTTATGAAACTTTAGATGATTAATAAATAAACTTTAAATTTCCAAGAATGCATAGCAACATATCTATAGATTTATTATGTTGAAACCGACTTATTATTTATTCGTAGTTGAAACCTTATTCCAGTGCCTTTAAAAACACAACCGCTATAACATTTTTTTTTTAATGTATTCTAATGTTTTAAACGAAGCACGAATTCCGATAGAACAAACTTGATTTATAAGTCGAAAGTTTTATTAAGCCTTCTAAAAATATTAATTATAGGAGCGGACTCAATGTTATATCGCCAATCGGAACGCCATTAGAGAATCGAGCTGAGAATCACCAGACGACAGAAAATTCGGGCAACGTTAATACCAATTTCTTCTTCAGAGATATGTTCGCAGATAGACATTGCTGGAAGAACATTTGGAAAGGAAAAACGTAAGTGATTTAAATATGCATAAAAAATAGAATAGAATGAAAAACGATATTGCTTTATAAAAACATACCAATCACACTATTTATTAAACTAAGATTGTTGTCCTATCGACAGTGGGAAACATATTTTTATTTAGTTGTCAATAAACGCTATCTAATCCACGTGTTGACTGCAGGTTTTTCACTTTCCACTAAAACCAGTCAAATCAAATCAAATCAAATCAAAAAAGTTTTATTCAACATAAATGAAAGTACATACTTGTTGAACGTCAAAAGAACTACCGCCAATTCACAAGAATTAGCCTCCGTCCTGAGAAGAATTGGCAAGAAACTCAGCGGGCATGTCTTTTTTTTTTTTTTTGAAATATTAGATTTTTTAAATATTCATTTCTATCCAAGCTGTCCACCTTGAGATGAGGTCGAAATCAGTTCTATTATTTAACATTTAACAGCTTGGTAGGCCAGCTGCTATTCAAGCCTGAGGGAATATATGCATTGAGGCAGTAAATTACTATTTTAGTTACTTGATAAAATAAACGAATAAGGAAATAAGTTTGATAATTAAGCCATTATTTTTTCTTAGGGATTCTTATCAGTACACTTTAGAAAATTAGTTATTTGTCATAACTTAGTGACCACAGAAATATCACATTTTTCATTATAACAAAATTTGTCGTAATTTCCTCATTGGCTTACCAATTAAAATTTACATTGTATTTTACATTAGGCTTCAATATATGGCAGATTTTTATGAAATATATGCTAGTCTTTAAAATTCTATTNAAAATGCCATAGGACATGACACTGTGGAAGTAACTAAAGTAAACTAAACGAGCCGTGTCCGCATTTGTTAACATTCTAATTTTTTTTACTGCGTATGCTGCAGAGCTGAGCTTACTCGCCAATTTATGAATATGAGGTCCCCACTGCAGTTTGGAGTCCACTGTTATACCAAGAAATACGGTTGACTCAACAAGCTCCAATGCTTCCTCAGAAACAATTACATTACTATCTACTTGTCTCACATTTAAAGATGATTTAATACATTTTAAAGTAAATTTAATACATTTCGTTTTCTTACTATTCAATAATAGGTTATTGATACGGAACCAATGAACCACACACGAAATCGCATCATTCACTTCGTCATAGTAACCATAAACACAGACGAGCGGCGTATACTTCTTTAAATCTGCTCAGAAACAAGCGTTTAAAACTCAACACTCTTTTGTACAGTGACGTCAACGCTTAACACCGCTATACTAATAGTAAATACTTTAATTTAACTCGATCAACTACTTTGTTAAGTACAATCTACTGTATTGGGGGGAATCAGGACGCTTTCCAATTCCAACACAAATTTTCAGCAGTTTTTTTAGGGTAATAAAATTGAGATTTAAAATGGTTACGGAGGTTTAAATTTTCATATACCGTGCATTATTATACATAGTTCATTGAAAAATATACACAAAAACTTAAAAAACTAGCTTGACCTGATCCACCTTGGCCTTTGGGGTGGATCGGGTCACGTAGGACAATAGAATTTTTCGATAGGGCTGGCACTGTTTAGTTACGTAGGTACTTATCTTTCGGTTATTAACTTTTCAATATCTTTAATCAGTTAAAAAACTCTGATGACTAAATTAAACTATTTAATATTCTTAAACACTAAATAAAAGTTATTTTCAATTCAACAAATGTAAATATCACAAAAGCATTGTGACAACCCAGATTTGTCCCTATTCCCCTTAATCTGCGGTATACTTCATACTCGTTGTCTTTGTTTCAGATGTAAAGAAGGATCAAAACGCAAAGAAATATTGGCGTGTATAAAACTATCGGGTATAAACGCGACGAGGTTGTGCCACGACGAGAATTTCTCGTGCTTCGTGACCGTGGACAATCCGGGCCACGTCCACATCATGAACGTGATGAGGGATCTTTGTACGTAGCACAATGTTAAACGCGTTCGTTTAACTAGCACAACGAAATTCATAAAGACTCTTTAGAACATTCGAATTTCGAATTTTGTTATGCCTTCTTATACTTTAACAAAACGTTTCCCAGAGATTTGTAATTTAAGTATACTTGTGTGCTCATGATAGGTCTATGAGAATTGTAAAAAGATTTGAATGCTAATTTTATCCTTAACTCGGTTTTCAAGTCTTCAATTATTATACTCAGTAACATAAACTGTTATAGAATGATCATGGAAGAAATATATATACGTACATATTATTTCAATAGCTGTACATAATTCACACACACTGCCAAATGCATTTACAATTTCTGTAAAAAATAACAAAGATATTGAAATGTTATTGTAAGTATGTAGCCTTCCTACAGTTTTAAGTCGGTGTCATTCAAGTAATTTGATTAAAAAAAACAAAAAACAGCCAACATTATTACAGTAAATACTTCTATGTGTGGTAACAGTGTTGCCATTTGTTGTAGAAAATATTACATTTATATTAGTACTTGTTCACAAATTGGGCACAAAGCTTAGATACGTTTCAAGACAATTGATAGTAATAGACTACTACCAAGTAATAGTAAAATAATATATTATTTCACATGCAGAAAAATATTCAAATAATTACAAGTAATATTTTTTTGGAACTGGAAAATAGTTAAGCAGAGACTCAGCTATGGCTCTCGCATTGCTGTTGACCATGAGCATCTATAACCAATTACCACCAGAGGAGCCGCAAGCTCTGTCTTTGAAGATAATTTTTTTTTTTTTAAAACGCAATTTAAACTATTTCTAAATCTCTAGCATTTCAGTGAATACTTTTTATTGACCACCGAACAATAATTTATATGTAATAAGATCAATTAGTATATAAATACGTACATAAGTTTAAGATTTTAGTAAAATTTAAGAATATGAAATAATTTTTAAAATATGTTATTTTATGGCTGATAAATGAAAATACATGATGAAATTAAAATTGAAAATACAATACTTTACAACGATTTTATGATAGTATAAACATTAATGTTTTTCAATCTATGACTTAAGATAAATGCAACGAAATTTAAATTTTGCTTATGGTTCTAAAATTATGATTTTGAAATATCACGACGAAGTATAGGTACACAATTTTTTTTTGAAATCACGTTTATATTCAATGTTAATATCGTTAGGTATTTTTTGATAAGTAAATGTTAATCCCACCAGTGTTTCTATGTATGTATTTCAATGAAATAAATGTCATAAAACGTGAAACGCGGATGTTCGTAAATAAACAAACTTTTAAAATTCGTAAATTCTCTCGATATAAACAAAAAAATATTAATTATCATAGCCAAGCCTGTTTTAATGTATCAAAAAAGTACAAACAGTTACTCTTGTTTAACATCAAACAATTATAGTCTGTGAAATATAGCTTGATACGTATGACAGTTGACTAGAGTGAGATTTATATGGTTAGATTTTGTTGAAAAAATCGATAGCCTGCCAAAAATCGTTTATAACCAAGTGAATATTAAAATGCTTAGGCAAAATAATTTTAACTTAACGTAAAAATGGCGCGAGACTGCTGAATAAACTGAAAATTGAAATTAAAATCAGGGATGTCGACACTATGTGGTCCAGAATTTGTTTTTGTGTTAAAATGGTCGCCTTACGTACTAGCGTATATGACGACTTTGTCTAACGAGAAATTAATCTGCCGCGTATTTTAATGAGTAGCAGACACAGGAGTGAATCTTAGCTGAAGAAGAATGACACGTGTGCAATTCATACGCGGCAAACGTGAAACTTTCAAAATTTTTCTGTCTCATTCTCTCACACGCTACTTCAGATGTAAGGTTTGCCTCTTTTTTCTCATCGCTGTTTGTCGCATCTAGTATCAAATCTAGTTGGTGCTAAAGAAGTGTTCACTTAAAAATCTTCGGTTTTGTATAACAATCGGAACATTCAGATTGTACCTAGCAAAGGTTTTCTCACTTAAAATTCAAAAAGGTGGTGCTATGCATGTTTCATATTTTAGTGATTGGCTCAAATTGCTGCTTAGAACTAGGACGTCCCTTTGTCAAAAAAAAACATGTAACTATACAGTAAATATCGTCAAATTAACAATCTGACGATAACGATATCTGTCCTTTTCATAGTCTGATTCGTCGCCTTGCCGTCGTCGACATACTTATGGTCAAAGATTAAAAACGTAAATTTGCTTGGACAAAGAAATTCCAACAATTGCTCAACACAATAAAAGGAAATATGTTTTTCGTTTTTCGTGTAATCTACAATACTGACTTAATCTCCATACGAAAGCTTTTGAATTATCACAAGTGCGATGAAATAATTTCTTCCGCATTGAATATGTTGCTAAAAAGTTAATTATGCCCATTTATAAACTATGTTTCCCATTTTTTTCTTATTTTAAGAAAATATTGAACATTATTATATAAGCAAATAATTAGTTAATACATAAATTAGTAATGTGGGTGAGGTAGTATTAAAAAAAATCTTAGTAAAAACTTTTGGGTGCCATTCTTTGGTTCATAAATATTAAATAAAATGTAAATATGTTTAAATATCGAAATGTGATGGAAACCATGTTATGTCATGGACGATCTCTTAATGAATAATTTTATCGTAGAGTTTATAGTGTTTTTGATGGTGCTATAACATAAGTACAGAATAGATCAATGCATTCTTATAAATACGTGAAAGTTGAACAAAATAGTTTTTACGTAAGAAATTGTAACGTTTTTGTACGAACGCCTTTATATCTATATAATATCTAACGCCATTTTGTTTTGCGTGCACGTGAAATGGAACGCGTCACTGCAAAAAAAACTAGGTAAATACTGACAAAACAGTTAATTTGAAAAGTTTGGATGTCTTATAGCCCTGGTAGCTATGAATCTCACTTAGAAACTTTAAAGTACGAATAAAAATCAATTTGCTTTTATTCAAAAATATATATATCGCTATCTATATGTTTAATACTTATTTGTTTTATAAATTTTGTTAGAGAATCAAAATTGTATGATAACCATTGTTCGAATATCGATTAATCGAACGGGATATCTCTAAACTAGCAAATACATTAGAGATATTTCATTCACACGCAATTTATACGAGCTTCGACTTTGGTTTAATATGAAATATCTTATGAGTCCCTTAAAGATATTATGATCTCGAAATAAAACGTACTCTTTGTATGCGTTCCAATTTCGTAGTTTTTTTCAAGGATGGTTATAATTTGGGCTCTACAATAATATAAACATCAGGCATATCGTAAACTGTCAATTTATTTTCAGTTCCAGTCCCATGATAATATAAGGTTAGATTATATTCATCATGCTCAATTTAGCATTTTGTTTTGTTTCTAAAAATAAAAGAATAATAACTGCATAAGTGTTTCGTGATGTCGCTTTGGACTGATTTTTTAAACTTGTTGAATTATGTAATAAAAATAATAATAGTTAAAATGCACTTGATTATTATTGATATGATTCGATACGATTGTTTTAATTCGTTTTTATATGTAATAACTATGTTCTATTGTTAGATATTTTACAAATAAATACAATATTTTATTAAGGTTTTGATCGTAAATAAATATACATTTTTTGTAAGAAGTCGTTTTAATGTTCCACTCCCTAAAATTTGACATCTTTTTTTTATTGCCGTATAGGCGTACGGCCCACCTGATGGTGAGTGGTTCCCGGCGCTCAAGGACGTCAGCAATGCCAGGGGCAGAGCCAAGCCGCTGCCTACCGTTTAATACTCTCCACAAGCCTCGTTTGAAGAAAGACGTGTCATAGCGCACGGGAAACATCGTGGAGGGGAGCTCATTCCATAGTCGGATGGTACGTGGCAAAAAAGATCTCCGGAAACGCACTGTGGATGACTGCAGTGGCTCCAGGTAGTATAAATGAACTCTACTCCGGTGGCGGGCGGTGCGATGGTAAAAACTTACGGATCGCTTGGAACCTCTGGGTCTGCGGAGGGACTTCGGTTCCCTCTGTATTCTGTATCGTATGTTCCATGGGGAGTGTTCTGAGGAATTGTTCGAGATGATACCAACGTCTCGTTTTTACCATCTAAGACATCTAAGTTTGACATCTAAGACAGTTTTCTGAAATAGTTTGAGATACGAAATTGAAATCAGTGCTAAGTAATCAGCAAGTAAGGTCTACAGCTGACGGAAGTCAAAAAATCTCAAGCTTTTTCAGTAATATTATATAATAGTATAAATTCCGGTCGCATATCTCTGTTGTTGTCCTTGTAATCTAGTAAATAAATTTAGACTATAATTTGAATACTACATTTTAGTAATATATTTGTATGTTCATCTGAATAAAATATAATATAACTGTGGCGTTTTATTATGCGTAAGCCGGAACGCACGAGATGTTGGAAAAAGGATATAGTCTGTGACGCAATACCTTTTTACCGCCAAATATGAAAAACATAAAAATAATTTATAATGAGTTAAATAACTAATTTAATGTAATTACTTTATGCCGCTACAACAATAAAATTTATATTGTTCCAACTGTGGTGTTAATTACATAAAACACGACCAGGCGAAATAAAGAAGGGACTCTATATGCACTCCCTCATAACGTAAAAATTACATTTTCTATGAAATAGGGAGTTATACCTACCATACTTCGAAAATTTTGTGAACGAGTAACAAATACAATTAATTTAATATATATCTAAATTAATTGCTTAATCCGTTGAGAAAAATAAGACACCGAAATTTAAATTTAAATTGTAAAAGTTCATTAAATCCAGCTTTGCTAGGTATCACATAGATATAGATATAGATTAACTAAAACTGGCTAAATGATTCCGTTTCTAGTGGCCGTAAACCATTGCCATTCTAGTTTTCAAAATTAACGAACTTCTCGAATCAACTGTCTAATGCCAGTTGTGATCGTGTTTTTTGAATTTATTCATCGTCGTTTAATTTAATAAAACATTCATAAATGTTTAGATGCGATTGAAAAGACTTATTTTTAATGAAAGAATTATAATTGTGTTTATTAATTTGTACGATAGATCGAGTTTCGTTGTATCATGTCCCAGTTTAACTATTTGAACGAAATAAACAGCTTAGCTACAATGGATGGCCCTATAACCCGAGGTCCATTGCAACGGTGGGCTAAAAAAGGCTGTAATGAAAATATAAATCCGTCTCTCAGTAACTCTTTCAAGAATCATTCAAATATTAACATAAGTTCGTGTAATCAATCGCTGCAGAAACTGTCCATATCTGCTAATCAAAGTTGTAACAATAGTGCATTGTCCAATAATAAAACACCAACGAGAAATGAAAATAAGAAAGGAAAAAAGACTCCTTCGAAAACGAAGTCTCCAGGTGACTGAATTTCTTAATAAGAAATAAACCAGTTTAATAAAATAAATAAAAGAAAAAGTAAAATACTAAAAACGATTACATTTGATGTTTCTTGTTTCGATTGACTTCATAATTCACTCACTGGCTTGACAATTTCAGGTCATTCGACAACACCAACCCCAAACAAAGCATCAAAGACACCTAATAAAGCTGATAGATTCATCCCATCAAGGAGTAATTCAAATTATGACCTATGCCACTATATGGTAAAAAACTTTTACTTGTAAATAAACACTTATACATATGTACATAATTTATATTTCATTTAGCCCAAGAGATTCTTGTATTAATAATAGAAATAAAAAATTTAATAAATATTTTTAAAAATAGTTGAGCCGTGATGATGACAAAAGTGAGGAAACCCCACAAACAGCTGCCGGAGAAGCAATAGGTAGAGCTCTGAATGATACTGAACCAGGTCGCCTCCTCCAGTATACTTGTAAAGCACCAGCAGCACCCGAAGGCTACCAGAACAGACTTAGAGTAGTATATTCACAGGTATTTTTTGGTCAATAATAGTGTTTTATCTTAAATTGTAAAACTTTTCTATTAAATATTCAGTACAAAAAGGATAAAAATTTGATAGTTTTCATAAACAAAGAGAATATTGGTGACAATATTATGATTAGTATGTACATTAAACTGTGTTTGATATGATTACCTCATAAGGAGAATCTAATGATGATCATTGTTTACAAAGTTGTCAGTACATGATTTAACAGTGAAAAGTTTTAATCATCACCTTAGGACCTTTCACAATCAGGTTGTCCTAAGGCTCTTTAACTATAATTGGGAATTGCTGCATGTGGATGTTTCAGTCTAAACACCTCAAAAAGCAATGACCTTCTGTTGTTTTCAAAATGTATTTTTAGTCTGTGCATAATGATGCAATGCATAAGATTTAAAAACTATACTACATACATTATGAACAGTAAAATATTTCTGTATTCATTTTTGTTTTTGACAAAACATAGAAATAACGTAATCCCCACTGTAAATACCTGTTAATAATTGTATTTCACCCCTTACAGACAAAAGTTCCGTCATCAGTAAAATGCAACACTAGATACATACCTCAAGCTCCTGACAGGATACTTGATGCTCCTGAAATTTTAGATGACTATTGTAAGTAAATAAGTGTTCCAAAGCTCCAAAGTGTTAAAGACACTATGAATAGACACTATGAACTTTTCTGTGAAAACAAAGTTAAAATTTAGATTTCGTCTGTATGATAAAGTGTAGGTGAAATTTGTGATTTAGTAACAGGAAAAATTTTATTATACAAAATTGTAAAAATTCTGATATTTTCAGATTTGAACCTTGTTGATTGGAGTGCATCAAACATTCTTGCAGTAGCATTAGGAAACTCTGTATATCTATGGAATGCTGGCACGGGACAAATAGAACAACTTCTAACTCTCGAAGGAGCAGAGACAGTCTGTTCTGTGGGATGGGTGCAAGGTGGTGGATCGCATCTGGCTGTTGGGACTTCAATGGCAACTGTAGAATTGTGGGACTGTGAAAAGATCAAACGTTTGAGGGTGTGTATTAAGAAATCCAAACATTTTGATTTATATTTAGCATCTTACAAGTAATATTTATATTTATATATAAGTAGTATAATTTAGAATCATAAAGCATTGACATAAAGCATTATTCAAAACAGGTATCACTTTTGAATACTACTGATTTAAGATTCTTTTCCAGGCTTATTGTAGATAATACAATACTAGATAGAATAACAAATAACTAGATAGTATTACTAAGTAGTAAGTAAGAAATACATCATGTTAACATAAAATCATTTTTCACAAAATCATATTTGTATTCAGGTAATGGATGGTCACAGCGGTCGTGTCGGTTCTCTGGCTTGGAACATGTACATAGTGTCAAGTGGTGCCAGAGATGGACACATTGTTCACCACGACGTCAGGCAAAGAGATCATGCTGTCGCCAACATACATGGACATACACAAGAGGTAAATAACAAAATCAATAAAGAAAATGTTTACGAATTTACTAAGGAACAGTTCCAAAAAGTTTACCCTGCCTAATACTGCTAAGAAGCAATCATAAAAATATATTTTAGACAATGGATTAAAAACTGCACTCTACTTACCTTATCTACCCTGTTGCACTATACATTGAGGCACAGAACTTGCATCTTTAGGTGGGTGGGGAAAGTATTCACATTGTGATATCTAGTTTTTGGTAACCACTTACGACAAGTTGGGAAATGAGCTCATTTATTCATTTATGCAATAAATACATAAACAAAACCTTTGTCTAATGTCCCAAGCTATAATTTATATAATAATATATGGGTCTTGGTAATTAACCACTTAGTATTAAGGGGATCATGGGTTACCCTTCTATAGTAAAAAAGCAATTAAATTTGAAATTGCTATTTAAAAAATGAAGATTCAAAAATATTTCAACCTTAAATCAAATGCTAGTTAAATATTTAGAGTATAAGAAACAATGCACTTTCTTCTGAACAATGGGGAAGTAAATTTTACACCAAAACGAAGTAAGAAAAGTACATTTTGTATTATGGTAAATATCAATTCTGTTTTTTGCATCCATTATCATTCAATATTCTCAGTGAGGTAGGTCGATATTCTTCTGATACAAGATAGATCAGATCTTCACATGTATCAAATGGTTGCCAGATCTGCGGACTGAAATGGTCACCTGACGGTAGATATCTTGCATCGGGCGGCAACGATAATCTGCTGAACATTTGGCCAATTGCACAAGGACAACATTATTCACAGCCACAACATATACTTTCATTCAAGTATGTACTATCAATATTTCATTTAAAAATATTTAATTTAATGCAATTCTATCATGTTAAAATCCAGTTTTAACACAATATATATGAAAAAAAATTGTAATGTGATATAAATGCTAGAAATAACAATAAAATGCAAACTAGTAATTTATTGTGAATGCCATGTGTTTGTCACGCGACAGTCACTTTCTTACATAATGAAATAAATAAATAAACCATTACAATTTTCCAGTCAACATCTAGCCGCAGTGAAAGGTCTCGCGTGGTGTCCGTGGAGCGCCGGCATCCTCGCGTCCGGCGGCGGTACGGCCGACAGAACTATACGGTTATGGAACATCAGTACTGGATCCAATCTTAATACTGTTGACACTAAATCTCAGGTATAGAAGAACACAAAATTAGTTAAAACCATATTTAAATCTCCTTAACTGGATGTATTTACGTTGAATAGCCAATAACGTCTTTACCATAAGGACACATGGGGCCCGTGCCCAGGGCCCCCATTCTCAGGGGGCCCCGAAGGACCGACAATTTCTCTGACACATTTATTCTTAAAACATTTTTGTTGGGCACATTACACTTTTTTCACAAATCAGTAATCTTATCAGAAGGTATTTAAAAGGCATATACTACGCCATTATATCCATGACTGCGCCTATTTCAACTGTACTAATTAATAATATTTCCGAACGCATCCTACCTAATTTACTAAGTACACCATCTAGCGATCACGATAACGGTTTCCGTAACCAAAAAACCAGCAGCATTCTAATATCATTAATGACACATTATATCATACTGTATTTGATTACCTATAATAAATGGTCATACTCAGTAAAAAAATGTTATTATAATTCGCTTTTTTTACTTTCCAAAAGGGCCTCAAATTCTTGTGTGCCCAAGGGCCCCAGCCTGATTTAAAACGTCCCTGGTTGCTTGGCCTTGCAAGGTTACCGTTCTACATTCGCTGGACCAGATCAACCTACCCTATTTAATATTGTATCGTCATGAAAAGCACACAAATGTTAGGTATCTCAATGTTTCAATTGAAGTGAAAATTATATAATGATTAATATAGGTAATTAAATAAGTTAATAATAATAATGAAAAGACTGAATACATTCATATGTAGAAAACGGTCACCGTTCTCGGCGACGAAAGGCTCGACTGTGCTATAATAAACCAAAGTTATAGATAAAAAAATATTAATCTATTCAATTATTAAACAGGTTTGCTCTATAGTATGGAGCACTCACTACAAGGAGCTTATCTCGGGTCATGGGTATGCTCATAACCAACTGATCATATGGAAGTATCCAACAATGTCAAGAGTTGCAGAATTGTCAGGACATATGGCCAGAGTACTGCACCTTGCATTATCGCCTGATGGTACTACAGTACTATCTGCTGGCGCTGACGAAACCCTAAGGTCAGTAAATTAAATTTCTGTTATTGGAACCCACTTTGATTTAAATTTTATAAACCATAATGTGTTATGGTCAATATTATTTGTATTCGGATAATTTTTAAACAAGTTGAATCAACTCATTTTCTATCCCTTTCAGATTATGGAAGTGCTTTATGTTAGATCCATCAAAGAAAAAAGAACCTACTGACGCGAAGGCAGCTAAGTCGCTGCTGAATCTCAATTCTCTCATCAGATAGTCTCTAATGCTATTATTGTAGCGTTACATATAATATTTGACTGAAATCAATTGTGATGTATCTTTTAATTCTTAATATAAAAAAAATTATAATTACATTCTTGCAAAACCTGACTCATTCCACCGACTATGTTACCTGTAATGACATTTTTATTTATGTTTGTTTCATAGCCAAGTTTAGTTTGAACATTTCTTAATAACTTCAAAGGCAGACAAGCTTACAGCCCACATGATCAAAAGATTAAAATTATAAAAAAATCCATAAGATATTGCATTGTTAATTTAAATTGAATGAGAAGATAAAATCCTGTCACCAATGTTTTATTTGAGTACCAATTAAAAATTCATCGGATTTAGTGCTCTAAATAGAACTGATTTGTATCAAAAAGTAACATGGGTTCTGTGTATATTTAACTGGTAGATCTGGTAATTAATTACTTTTCATTGAATTAGTTGGAAGTCCAATATTCCATTCTCTGTTTTCAACCAATACTAAATTGTGACATGATAATCTATAATTCGACGACTATTATTAGTTTTGAATCGAACGTAATGTTCTTTGAATTTTTAATAAATTTAAGTTCATATGAACTTATTCTATTTACGTGATATAATTTTGACGGTAAAGATGTTGTTTTAACATCTACTCTTGATTTTTGACATAATAGAAGTTGAGGTCGTAAAATGTGTAGCTGATGTTGAGTTCTTTCCTTTATGTTTTCTGTATTTTGTATGCTTCTTTTCTGGCTTTCTTTTAGTTCTCTAACATTTCATTACCTCGGCTTCCATGTTTTATGGGCTTTGTTTTATTATTCTTATCTGAATTAGTTTTGTGATTGTATTATTTCTATTACTTTTAAATATTAATTTCTAAAAGACCATTATTTTGTAATGTTTACAGTGAGATAATAAAGAGCTTGACATTTAAACTTTTTTACTTGATTATAATTCCTACTACATCATACTACATTCTAATTTTCAACCACCAAATCTAGTCTCTATAACATTAACCATTTCAGTTAAAACTATGTATTTATAATATGACCAATTAATAAATAAAAAGACTTGTTTCGTGTAAATGTTTTTAATATTTTTTAACTTTTAATGTTGCAACAAAACGGAATGTAGTTAAAGCCTAGATTATCTTAAAGAAAATAGTAAAACTTAATAATATGTGATTTATTGTTAGTGTGATGATTTAAACGCAAATTGAAGTGAAAGCATGTGTGACTAGAACTAAATATATTCGAACAATAGATTTTCTCAAATGATATTAAATGCATATAAGGAACTAAAGAAGCTGCCTGTAGTATAGTGGTTATTGTTTTTGATTCTTGAACCATAAATGAAAGCGATGCTTTTTTTTGTTCCATGTCAAAAATTTAAGATTTTCACTTACAACAACTAATTCATTGTACTTTTATAAATTCCCAGTAATGACATTCACAAAATCTTTGAAACTACAATATTCATGGCACAACCAATTTATTATTCGTAGAATAAAACTATGCTCATTCATTCGCACTTTACCACACTTTAAAATTCTTTATAATTTTATTTTTCATTTCATACAATCATAAATAAGTCTTTAAGAAAATAACCTCTAGTTTGTATTTGATAATGTTAATAACTTTGTGCCATGATTAAAATTATATATTGTTATTATACTAAATAGTGTTGATTTTTATATTCTATGTTCTTATAGAGCATCATAATTTAACAGGTTTTATAAAAATAAATTGCACACAAAAAAAACATAACAGCTGTATGTATAATCTTTTTACAAACTTCCAAGTGCCTTTTATATTGTTTATTCTTTTGTTACTAGAATAATGTGTGGTTTCTTTAGCATTTCTATTCGTTATATTTTTTAAAACATCATTTATTTCCTACACGGTACAAAATCTAACGTTACTCCAACACGTCTAAGAAACGGTGGAATCGATATTCTTCAATATTTTCCCTAAATACTATTTATTATCGAATGCATAAGTCGCGTTTTCATAACTATTCATATCATCCTCGTAAACCAAACATTCACAACACCAAGTCTCGCTTATTGAGAAAAAATACACTTCCATTACTAAAGAACACATCTAATCCGGGACCATTCTGCAAATACATCAAAATAATTTACCATAAACAACTCCATTTACTTACTAAGCTCACGATTTATTATCATTAAGTATACTTTCAGGGTAAGTCTTATTACTAAAATTAATACATTTGTTAACTAAAAGTTATTATTATGCTTATTCTCAATATTAAGGTTACAAAAATACAGGAGTTGCTAACTGAGATTCAAATTTTAAAACTATTTCGAGATGAGCATACCCTATTAGCGATTAAATATTCGTTAAAAATTNTTACTAAGCTCACGATTTATTATCATTAAGTATACTTTCAGGGTAAGTCTTATTACTAAAATTAATACATTTGTTAACTAAAAGTTATTATTATGCTTATTCTCAATATTAAGGTTACAAAAATACAGGAGTTGCTAACTGAGATTCAAATTTTAAAACTATTTCGAGATGAGCATACCCTATTAGCGATTAAATATTCGTTAAAAATTGAGTTTAATATTTAATGTACTAAACCGTTTTAATCTATTGTACTACTATCAAACTATAACCGTTTTGGCTGGTATGGATGCTAAAAAATTTTTGAACCTCTTCTCGTTCATATGTCATAAGATAATAAAAAGAGGTTAGTAAGACCTCGATAAATAAGTAAACAAAAATTATATTCTCGTCACAGTTTGATGCCTATTTATATAATTGGCCTTCTGATGCTAAGTAGTGTTTTGGCTTCCAAAACTTACAGGTATCTATAGGTATCTCATTTAAAATTACATAATTAAGTAAAAAGTATTTTCGGGATTCTTTAATCAAAGTCTAGGTTTAATAGATAACTACTGCTAGATAAATACTGTTAATTTGGGCTCTATTATATTAAAATTATTTCTGGGCTTGATCGAAGTATAAAGAAAAATATGTGATTTTTTGTGTAGAGAAAATTAAATTCTGTGTATACTTTTGCAGTCTTAAACTATTAAGCCCTTCGTCACACAACACAGAGTTTCTTTTGAACTTATTAAGGCTATTAAACGAAAAATATTGAAGATGTCATACTTATATTTTTAAGTAGTGACATCATGATTCTCTACGAAAATTAGTTTCGTTTTTTTTTTAAATATGAACATAAAGAGTTTAAATTTGTCAACATCCATATTAAGTAATTCGTGATGTTTTATCATATCACAGAGGCGATGCTGCGAGTGTGGGGCGCGTGGTCGACGTCGAGCATGGCCGACATCGCGACGGTGTTCGATATGGGTTCGGCTTCGCGTACCAAATGTTCGTGACTCGTGGTCAAGGCACCGCCGTACTTGAAGCTCCTGCGTAAGCTCGATCTGATGCTTTTCGCGGAGTCGCTCTTGCGTACGAACGATCTACGTAAGTAGTCGCGGGTGAGCGACAGCGAGTTCCTGGAGGTCGATGACCGCGGTCGGGTAACGCGCGAGTCAGTTTCGTCTGTAATGTCAATAGATGGCGTACCGCACACTCCGCTGTAGTCCGGTGGATGAGTTTGATTGCCGACGCGCTCGACGGCCTCGCTCAGCGTTATGGGCATTTGTGATGCGTCGTCCGTTTGTTGTTCGGGTCGAGACGTTATTCTGGAAGTTGGAAATAATGCGAACTTTAAATGTACCGTTTATATTCAATACTTAATATTGTACGTCTATCACGATATTATGATACAAAAAACTAGATCTTCGATTAGATCCTTTGAATTATTGATCATTTCGTAGAGTAATTAAAAGGGTGATTTAAACACATTATACTCAGAATACCGTCAAAGGTATCGCAGAATTTCTTTTTCCATTTGCATTTTAATGTTTCTTTAACGTTAAATAAATTGAATGATAATTTTTTTATTGGTCATTCTATTTTGTTAAATTTTAATTGTATATTTAGGGGTAATGGTCAATAATAGTTCAGTGCATTATCGGAAGTAAGATAATTATAATAATTAAATAACACAACTGGTTAATCCGAGCGTTTATTCGCGACTGAACTTGCAAAGGCAACGAGCTTGCGGGCACAACCGCATTCTATGATTACGCACAATTTTGTTTACATAACAACCTGTGTCCCTACATATACAAGGGTACTACTGTATATAGGAATAGGACATACCTCCTCAAAGTTCTGAAGCTCCTCCTGAGCGTGTGTAGGAGCCTGGCGCCGGTGGCCGTTGAGTATGAGGGCGGCGGCGTGTACTTGGGGGGCGGGTCGGGAGGCGCGGGGGCGGGTGCGGGTGCAGGGGGACCGCTCGAATGCTCCTCGCCCCCCACCGGGGGACGGTACAGGTTCTGAATGCGCTATACGACAACAAAATCACAATTTACTGCTCAAACTCCTACTGAAATAATTATTCATAAATGTACATGATATCCAACTACAGATGCTCAATTACATGACAATTTCCTTGCTAAAATGCTGCAATATATCATCTGATGTTAATTACGTTACGATTATCTATTGTGCTCGCCTTGTTAGTGTCATAATAAATAAAATAAAATATACATATATAAAATGAACAAATTAGAGAGAAACATTTAAAACAAATAATTATTAACGACTATCCATAAATAATGTTTTGTAATTATATTATGTAAAATAACTTATACTTGTGCTAATAACTATATTGATACGAAAGTTCACATAAGAATAATCTTACCAACTCGTCTATGCAATTACTAACACCGAAATCCTGGCAGCGTACAAAATGTAATATTGAGTTTTATGTTTTCCATTCTACGTGTAAATGTAATATATAAATAAACTCTAAATGCGTAGAAATAGTATAGTGTAGTGACTATTAAATTGTTTAATTCAACAAGTACTCACGTCTAGGATGTCCGGGGGTCCTTTATTCATGTACCTCCACGTTTGTATGAACGCTGTGACCGGTATGAGAAGCAAACAACCCTGTTGCATCAGGACGGCTACTTGACGACACCATATCGGATAGTATCTGTAATAGTGAGAGATTCTTTAAAAACGCTCCTTGGTGTGTTTTTTTATTTGTTTGATGCGTAAGAATAAGATAAGATGGGTGACATTTATCCGTTTGACTTAATAATGTATAGAAGTCGCTCGAAGTACTTTTTCCTCGGTCTCTTTAACCCCATACAAACTATGTATAATGCGTTTCAAATAAGAATGTGGATGAATCGCGCTATATTGTGACGTCATAGCTGTCAAAACGAAAAAAGGTAAAGTCAGTAAAAAAGGATGGAATTTTTAAATATTAATTTATAATCCAAATCTTCCGGGTTCTACTCATCACACTGCTTGAATAATCGTCATCATCGTCACCCATCCATAGATACTAGGGCTCGACAGTGTTACAGCCTTGACTTTTAGATAGATGATTTCTTTTATATTATTATAATCTAAATTCATATTTAATTTACCTCGACCAGTACTCAACATGTCAAGAAAATTATATAGGTATGTATGGTTCATTGAAACAAACATATTAATAGTCTTCATAATTGTGAAAAAAATTACTAAAAAATAGAAGATAAAAAATTTTTTGTTGCTAAAAAAGTATGGAATACTTTTTTATAGAACTTTGACAGATCTAGGTCATTGACGTGCGTATTCTTATTTGAAACTTTAAGCTATCGTCTTCATTCTCAACTTTAATATCAATGCTTAGTATAATTCTGGGGGTACACTCATTGTACTCTTTCGAAGGCCCCAAGTAGCCCAGCGATTTTGTATCATCATTTCACATTTCCTTTAAAGAGATAATAATGATTGTTTGACGTTGTATCTGATGAGCTCACCCAACAGGCTTCCTCCACGTGTACAGCTGCCGTTGTTGTCCAACTTTGAAGTCCATAACGCAAATCGCCTACGAACAAAATAAAATATATTTAATAAAATCCAAAGAGCATTGATTGGATATGTGGACTAAGGTTAAAGTAGGGCACACATATACGTTTCATATCACATCGTTTATACAATAGTTTATAATTGTGGATTTATGACCGTGGACAGCACCACCCCATCTCTGCCCGTGGAGTCGTGAGGCGACTAAGGCATCTACCGGAAAACGGGCAGCAGCGTCGTCTGAGTACAGCCTGAGTATTGCAACCGCCAAACGACGCAACATATTTTAAAGGTGCCCGCGACTCGAGGTGGGTGACGGCGTTCACGTTGTGATGTCCATGGGCAGCGGACGGTGTGGGACCAGTCGCTGGGGTGACGATTATCGGAATGCACGAGCACGAATTCCTCTACCTACTTGGAGATATGCAGATCTTAATCGCATTGTGTAACGAGTATTTCACCCTTCACGGCCATGATATAGTGTGAATTACCCAAAATATAACAATAGGTGTCAAGGAAGTAGAAAAAAATCTGCCATCTTATTTTCATTAATAAATTACAGTTCTCTAGATGAAGCTTTTTTTTTAACTTAAGCTGATAGATAGCCTTGAGAGGCTATGTCAGCGTAACCGGTAGAGTAGGTGAGCCCACGGAGCTCTAACCGGAAGTGGTGCTAACACTGGCCTTAGCAAGAGCAGTGCTTCGCAAAATCTATCACCGGATCGGAATCGCGATCCACTGGAAAGATCCGGTCAGAAACTCAGTGGGCTAATTTACTCGTCGAGCCCTTCGTCGCAAACGACGGATTCGTCGAGGAGGATGACCGGTGCTTGAGGTACCTAAAAGCACCGTTAATGGATCGGGAGGTTCCGTAATGACGTGTTTAGGGCGACGTCGACTGTTTACCATTCGGTCCACAGGATCGGGTATGTAATTACCGGCGGCCACGACTAGAGGGTTTTCATGTCGTGCCGCCTTCTCAAAGTTGCGCAATGATGCCGACTGTAGTCACACACTGACTGAGTCAAGCTCCAGGTCATCATGGAGACCCATGTTTCTTAGTAACCGTAGGCGAAGCGAGGGCGGGTCGCTAATATATTCTCTAAATTTCAATGTTCGCCTACTCGACACTATTGTTCTAGTCCAGGGGTAGGCAACGCGGCGCCCCCGATCGATTTTAATGCGCCCTCGCTGGACTAATGTAAATGTATGACAGCCAGAGCGATTTACTTACTCTTGTCTAACGGCGATATACAGAAAGTAGTCAATTGAGTTTAGGATTGTGCATAGATTAGTAGTTTGCTAACCTTGAGCGTATCTAATAATACGCACGTATTTTTTGTTAGTGTGTCATTGTATTTCGAATAGACCACGCGTAGACCGTGCATTTAAAACTACCAAGTAATCCGAAATAATTCTTTTCTTTCAATACCGAACAAAGCTTAATGACTCACATTTAGATAATTGTTTAAGGACCGGGAACTCTACATATATCCCCAATTATAGGAAATTAGCAGAAAATACGGACACCCAAGTTTCACACTAAATTATATGTATCATTATGTATGACACCAACAAAATAAAGTTATAAAAAAATCCGTTTTTTTTAATGCCTATTTATACCTGTTGATTATCTGTAAAATTAGCGCCCTCGGTGATTTTCAAATTTAGTATTGTGCCCCCTTAAGGACAAACAGGTTGCCGACCCCTGTTCTAGTGTAGACACTTACACACAGACAGACTGGCAGCACGACGGTCCAGACGAAGCTGAGCAGCGCGGCGGGCAGGCGGCGGCGGCACAGCGCGGCCACCAGCACGTCGGCGGAGTAGGGCCGCCCGCGCACCACGAACACCCCGCACGCCGCCACCACCTGCACCGCGCACGACCACCACGACCCCGCCCACACGTAGTCCCAGAACTGCACCACCGCTATACCCGCCTGCAGGACACGGATACTTTTTTTTATTTTTTAGAATTATTTTTTATTGCCTTTGTAAGCAGACGAGCACACGACCCCCTGATGGTGACTGGTTACCGTCACCCATGGACTTCAGCAATGCCAGGGGCAGAACCGAGCCGCTGCCTACCTCTTAATATTCTCCACGAGCCTCGTTTGAAGAAGGACATGTCATGTGTTAAGTAGCTATTGAAGCCCATAGACATCTACGACGTAAATGCGCCACCCACCTGGAGATATAAGTTCTTCGAGTATAGTTATAGCGGCTGCCCCACCCTTCAAACCGTAACGCGTTACTGCTTCATTACAGAAATAGGCAGGGTGGTGGTACCTACACGCACGGACTCTCAAGAGGTCCACCAGTAAAATGGTTTGTTATGTGAAGTTTATTAGAAGTGGTTACCGGAGCCCATGGGCAACTACAATTTAAATGCCGATACTCTCCTCGAGACATGAGATCTAAGTTCTCTGTACAATACAACGGTCGCCCCGCCCTTCAAATCGAAACGCATCCGAACTTCATAAAATATGTTCGCGCTGGACGACGTTGATGTGGGACTTGACAGTTTGCAGACGTTGGAACAAATTTGGGGACCAAAGGGGCATTGGTACCCACCCGTGCGAGTTCACAGTATTTCTCAACTCACATCAGTGCTTAGTACAAGTCCAACGGCCAGTCCCACGACGCAGCTGAGGAACGTTATCGTAGTCTCCCAGATGCGAAGCGTCTTCGCGTTGATAGCCATCACACCGGCAATGACGCAGTGCCAGATCGCGATCTGCTGCGCTACTCCGAACATTATTATGATGAAGTAGAATATCACGGCCCAGGCAGGTGAGAGCTGGAATGCGATTTGCGTACACTCTAATTGGAGCTCAACTTGTGTTGGACAAACGAGCTCTTATGGTACGCGTCCATTGGTCCGCGCCGGACGCACCGCACGCAACGAATTTTATTTTGCTTTGTATGATTTCACATAGATTCAACGCCGACATTTTAGAGCAAAAAAATAGGGAAATAAAATCCGTTGCGTGTGGTGCGTCCGGCGCGGGTCAATGGACGCGTATCTTTAATAAAACACTAGCTGTACCCGTCCGCTTCGCTGGACTTTTAAAATTAACATTATTATTTCTCACCCCCACAAAGATTCTCATCATTAACGCCCCCGCAACTGGTGTAGCGAATCCAACACTCATATAAATATTAGCCTATACATTAAGTACATGTATTTTCTACATGGATACCAAGTTTCAAGTCAATCGGATGCACGGTTCAGTAGTTATAACGGAACATCCGTAAAAACCACTGTAGATTTATATATATACATATATTAGTATAGATATTAAAATTCTCAATGTTCGACCAAACGAACAAACAAGAAATGGAATTATTGTTAATATAGACATATTTTATACACAAACACTGTATCTGTTATAAATATTGATACATAAAAATTCAAGCCGTAATTGAATCAAATCAGTTATCATGTAAAAAGGTTTATTTACACCCTTAATTAGGTTTCATTAAACTTTATCAATAAGTTTTGAATTGTTCAAACAATAACTCCTTTTGTTATTGCAGCAGACTATTCTGTTATGTAAAGTAGGATACGGTTTGTAAATAACTCATTATTTAATTTACACTATTTATAACATAATAACATGATTATATAAAGTTATCGATATAAAGAAAACAGTAGATTAGCGAAAGTAAATTTCTAAAACACGACTATGCTCAGACTATTTAGATTTGTAATTACAGCCTATCTAATGTACGAAATTAAGTTCTATGATTCATAATTCAGTTTCGTTGCCGAGAAAGTTTATTAAGCGTGAAAATACAGAAACGAAATTATACAATAGTTTTTTTTATATTTTATAATACGTAAGAGGCTCGTATGCGAATTCGTCACGTTAAATAACAATTTAGTTTGGCAATTGTCAGGTGAAACTATTACGCTATAACAAAACTCGTAGACACGCTTGGCTTACTACTCTTTTACATATATGTATATAAAAGTCGATGTGTGTATCTGTGAAACAGTGGGACTGATTTCGATGAAATTTTGAAGATATCTTGAGACTGATCAAAGTCAGACTTATGAATAGCGTTCAACTATTATTCCATGTTATTATGTTAGAACTATCGTTTATAATTAGACATGCTTCTTTTAATTTCTAATTTTAGGTAAGCAGCAAGTTTTAACTTAAATATCTTTTTTTTTATTTCCTGTGTGGGTGGACGAGCATACGACCCACCTGATGATGATGGGTTCCCTTGGCCCTTTGACGTGTGCAATGCCAGGGGTAGAGCCAAACCAGTGCCTACCATTTGATACCACAGATAGATAAATAAATCCTCGATTAATATTATAATTAATATTATTTATGATTATAATTAATGTTATATTTCATAATATTGAAAATTCATGAAAATTTACATGTACATTTATGAAACTTTACGTACACAAAACTCAGGACAAAGAAGAATATTTTTCCAATTGAAATATATTAATATCAACTACATATAATATTATAAGATATTGAACACGAAATGTCATGTCTGAATAAAGGCTGCGAAAACAAAACCAAATATGCGAATTATTATTTGGGATTAAAATAAAAATATTATGGGTAACAAAAATTGCTTACCAAATTAGCTGGCAACACTGCCAAAGTGGCCGGCACTAGCTGTGTGGCCAGTTGCAGAGGCTGCCATCCGCTGTATATTCGAGCCGCATTGCCAGTCCGCCAAACCGTAACACCGACGATACTGCCGTAATGTCCCATATAACGCAAAGGAGTCGAGGCAGAATTTCCAGGCAGTGGCTCCGATTTCGGCCACAGGAATTGTGATGATTTGACTGTTTCTAAAAATTATAATTCAAATAAAATGGTTTATATTATTATAAAAAAACTTTGTCGCATTCAATGTAAAGACTGCTCCAGGCAGTTTGATTTGCCGTTGTTTTTATTAATTTTCATTCACTACCACGAAAAAATATTGACTACGGTATGACTACGGTATATTAGGGTTGCCAGATAAATAATTCTCCATGGCATTAAATTAATTTTTTTATTGCCCTTGTAGGCAGACGAGCAAACGGCCCACCTGGTGGTGAGTGGTTACCGTCGCCAATGGACCTCAGCAATGCCAGGGGTAGAGCCAGGCCGCTGCCTACCGCTAAATACTCCATGTATTTATTTCTGTTGCAGTACGTACCAGGGTTGTCAGATAAATAATTATCTATAGCATTATAACCGTCCTTGTACCTATTTCTTGTTACAGTCCAAAATTATCAGAAACGTACTCACCAAAGCTGCCGGGTATGTAAACGTATCCATAGTTCTTCAGTATCTGTACGCAGGTGTTAGCTAAAAACGAGCCGAGCAACAAAACCGCGAAAGTGAATGCTATGATGCAGGCGCTCTCCCTCTGCAGCATACCACTGGTTTTGTTCTTCGCGTTCTTGTGGGACGTCAGTTGCATCACGCAGGCCCCTAGCAAGCCCCACGTTAGGAATGTCTCCTGTGCCGCCGCCGCCCAACTCTAAAACGATAAGTACTTTGGAAACTGAGACTTTTTTTCCTACCAAAGCTTTTTTTTATTGCTTAGATGGGTGGACGAGCTCACAGCCCACTTGGTGTTAAGTGGTTACTGGAGCCCATAGACATCTACGACGTAAATGTGCCACCCACCTTGAGATATAAGTTCTAAGGTCTCAAGTATAGTTACAACGGCTCCCCACCCTTCAAACCGAAACACATTACTGCTTCACGGCAGAAATAGGCAGGGTGGTGGTACCTACACGCGCGGACTCACAAGAGGTCCTACCACCAGTAAAATAAAGTAAGATGGTCTTCAGAAAGCATTTCCGCGTAACCTTAACTAGTAGGTGAGCTCACGGGACTGTTTGTTGAACAATTCAGAGGCCCAACCAGATGTTATCTTTCTTTTCAAAATTGAAAATTACTACTAAAGGAATAGAGCTTTTTTTAGCTAGCTCCGTTGTGACTCAACAATCTCTCGATTATGACGATGCTCGATACGTGTGTAAATTTTCACGTTAATCAGACGTCTTAAATTCGGTTAAAGATTACATTAAAAGATTCCGATATATAGACAGACAAGGGCAAGCTAATGAAAAAAAAAAAGTATGTTAAAAAACGAAATTCTTCCTCTAGCGAAGCAGCAAGACAATTAATTTAATCATCACGTACGAATAACAAAACGTTATCAGTGACAATTAAAGAGAACTTAGAGTAAATACTAAATACAGCAATCGTATCTAGGAGTAATTTAGATTATGAATTTGAAAGCAAATATTTTTGTATAACTCAAACGAACAATTATTTGCACTTTCACTAGTTCACCTTTAGAGACACAGTATAATAGATAGATCTAGCTCACTGAGTTTCTCGACGGATCTCCCCAGTGGGTCGCGATTCCGATCCGATGGTCGAATCCCCAAACACTGCCCTTGATAGGGCTAGTGTTAACAAATTCTTTGAGGTTGAGCCCGTGAGCTCACTTAACCTTTCGCGCGTAGCTGGAATAGCCCATTAAACTACCAACGAATTGATAGGGAAGAAAAAAAAACAGTGTAACATCATTACACGATCGTGTTTTATAGGACAGTCTTATTCAAGCCAAATCTGATATTAAAGAACATCTGTGCAATAAAGCTTACTATAAAGTCAATGATTATCTAGAAGATTGCACAAAGTGGGAATGAGTTGCTCGCTCCGGGCATTTCAATATCGTAGTAGTAAAAAATTCATATTTAAAAAAATAATAATCTAATATTAAAAAATAAACAAAATAATAATTTCATATTAAAAAAAAAAAAGACATGCCCGCTGAGTTTCTTGCCAATTCTTCTCAGGACGGAGGCTAGTTCTTGTGAATTGGCGGTAGTTCTTTTGACGTTCAACAAGTATGTACTTTCATTTATGTTGAATAAATTTTTTTTGATTTGATTTTATTTGATTTGATAAATTATTTATACAAAAATCTTTATAGACAATGATGGTTAGGCTAAAGATGGTTGTGCGAAGAATTTGCATATCGGTCATTCTTTGGAATCTTTGACGTTAATTTGTAAATACTGTCTCACTGAATTCAAGGACTTCGTGCCACCTCGAAAACAATTGGCACCTTTCAGACTTCGACAAACGATCCACTAGCAAGTTGCATATGTGTCCATATAACTCGCTGTACCATAATGTGAAATTCGATTCCCGGTCTTAGACAAGAACTGTATAAAAAAAATTATTAAGCATTCGGATCTAAATATCTTGTATTTTAATTTATTTATGTAACCAGTAATACAAAACCTCTGTATAGCATATTAAAAATGGGTAAACAAAAACCGAACAAGTTTCCACCGATAACCAAACACGAGGAGAAAGTGACAAAAAAAAACCAGACATTAATTAACGATTATGTACTACTAATGGCCATTACATAGACTACCCTCTGATTGTGTTTGTTAAATGAAGAACAAATTTAAAAAAAATCGCCTTCCCAAATTCGGATTACTAATTTACCATATTCAATTTTTATTAATGGTTTGTTATAATTAAAAGACTCGTATAACATCCTTTTGCCACTATGTGTTTTTACATTTGCTGCAACTTAAACGTAATTCGTAAACTATAGATGAGCCCAGTACAGCAACTTCTTCGATATGATAAGATCAACATATTGTCTATGAAATCAAGTCAATTAAATAAAAGGATAATTCAAAAATTGCTGATCAGTTCTAAGTAAAATTTAAATGCACATCTCATGCACATGAGACGCCACAAGAAGCCACAAGAAGCCACAAGAGGCTTAAAAATAAAAAAAAACCATTAAGCTCGGTTCACCTAGACAAATATTCAGGGGCAACACACAAAACAATAATTGAGAACCTCCTCCTCTTCTTTTTAAAGTCGGTTAAAAACAATAGCGTCGTTTGCGGATTTAGGACAAGGCTTCGACTAGATAATTCTTAATCCTCAACGCGCTATTGTTTGTTTAATACTAAACTAGAACGAGCACGGTAATCAGGTTACATACAAATAAATAATAGTTTAAAAAAACTAACAAAATTCGCTTTTATAGAAAATCCAACTAAAAAATAGAAAATAAATTTTAATAAACTTGAATTAAAAATAGTGTAAGAAAAAATGATTTTATTGTAAAAAAAAAGCGTGGGGTGCTTTTCAGGATATTATCAAAATAACCCTTCAACTCATATCTGTTCATAAAATATTTATAACTATTGATACCATGTTATACAAACATGTGATACAAACATACATACGTCTGAAGCTAATAAAAGCGTATTAATATACATACGTTACTGTTCACGAAGAACTCCGTCCATTCGGTCTCGGCGAATATATTCGTGACGGTGTCGTACGGTATCAGCGTCAACAGTTTCGTGCACAGCACAAGGGTTCCGCATATCGGCAGAAATATTAATATGTAAACGGCCTGAAACAACGCGTAACGTTATGCGGATACATTCACGATTTCACGGCTAGTTTCAAACCTTCGATGTTCTAAAAAACAAAAAACGGACGTGTCGTGACTTTGATTATGTACGTGATTGGTAATTTTTCGAGAAAGATTCGATTAAAAAAAATCAAAATTTTGTTTTATTTTTGTTATCATTTTCTTGCATTAAAAAGCCCTAATTACAAATCGAGTTACGATTGTGTGACTTCATTTGTACCACATTTATCTGGAATTAGACACTAAATAAATAATAACTGGGAAAATATTATTATCACGCACAGTCATCCGACCCCAAATTAAGATTCCCTGTGTTATGGGTACCAAAGACTGACATAGATAATTATATGTGTTTAAATATATACATAATTAGATAAAAATCCACAAAAAGAACAAAACAACATGTTCATTATACGAATGTTTAGTCATGTGGGAATCGAACCTGCGACCCTGTGCGCAATAGTTAAGGGCGCTAATTACTGCACAACCGAGTCAGTCTAACAAATTACATTAGTGCAAATTTTCCGTCGCATCACAACAACTGTAAGTTTCCTATACTGTGTACACGTCATCACCTTGCCGTACGATCGCAGTCCTTTGCTCAGCGCGACGAAAACGATCATCCACACCACGGCCAAATTGAACGCAACTTGAAACTTAATCGTTCCGAAATACGTATTGCCGTTAGAAAGCAGATTTCTTTGTAGGACCTCGCCGTGAAAATATTGTGGTATCGTCTCGTGAATTTTGTATGTACCGTTTCGGCTCGCTGGATCTGTGAATAAATATTTATATAATAGTTTTAATTAATTTAGGTTTTGGACCCTATTCCATTTTAAGGTTCGTGCAACACTATTCGCAAGGGTTTAATATATCAACAGAATGTGTCAAGAACGAAAACATTTAAGAACTGCATTTAATGCGTACACGTATTTTTGATGAAAGCTCTCGATCTAAACTAAAAGACACTAATAAAATTTCATTTTTAGACGAACATAACAATCATCACATCGAGGATAGTTTAATTCCCTTCTGATCAATTTCACTAGTGATGTCATCATGTTATTGAGTTCTTTCAGTTAAATCATGACCAATTTCTAATTCTACTAGTTTCGCGGTAACTTCAATTAGTGTCGAATGATTTAACGGTTCAGCGTTGGCAATCGGGAAATTGTAATCTCGATGGTAAAATTCATTTTACGTCAAAATCATTCGCTTCGATTTCCTTATTGATACTTTATTTAAACGTAATTGACTAAATAACGCGACCTTCGTTTGTTTCCTGATTGTTATAACGCCAAATTCGTGACATTGGACCAACAATAAGCAAACGTTTGCACTAATTAAGCAATATTGTCTCACCTTCGATATTGAATTCATGCGGCAGCGCCCATTTGTATTTGTCGTTTGAATTAATGAATGAATCTCGAAAATACACGAATATCCAAGAAAGACCAATTATGCTGTACATTCCAATTACGGCTTGGGTGATGAGCAATGATATACCAACACCTTGGAATATTGGCGAAATCCTCCACATATCCACTGGCCCAGCTTCCAATACTTGACCCAAACATAAGTACAGTGTAAAAAGGGGTATTCCAACAAACAGAGACAGTATTAAAAACTGTATTATAAAANAGTACACGAATATCCAAGAAAGACCAATTATGCTGTACATTCCAATTACGGCTTGGGTGATGAGCAATGATATACCAACACCTTGGAATATTGGCGAAATCCTCCACATATCCACTGGCCCAGCTTCCAATACTTGACCCAAACATAAGTACAGTGTAAAAAGGGGTATTCCAACAAACAGAGACAGTATTAAAAACTGTATTATAAAACTCGCTGAAAAACGAAAAATATTAATTTTGTAACGATAATTCTAACATTCTCAACAACATTTGTTAGTTATTAACTTACCTCCAAAATGAACGCTGAATATGGCAAATCTAGAAATGTTGAAAATACCAACAGTACAACTCAAACAGGCCAACATCGAACTCATACGATGAGGCCAAACTCCAAAAGGAGGTTCTTCAGTCTCTTCGTTTCTATGAACAAAATATTTTTCATTAGTATTATCTATTTGTCGAAGTCGCCGTGGCCTAAAGGATTAGTGTTCAGATCCCGTAAACAAAAGTTTTTCTAATGAAATACGTTCTCAATACGTATTCACGAATAACTTCAACGATGAAGTAATAGCATCGTGCTATAAAATATGCTATATGCAATAAATAAAAAAATATTTATGTTTTATTTGTTGTACGTTTTATAATTTCTTTGTTTACATAAATATTAATTATTATTACATATATCCAAATATTAATTTACACGCTTACTGGATACCTAATTTATGAAATTCGTATGTGAAGTTACGTCGAAAATCAAGTTAGATCCATTCACTTCTACTCATATCATAATTAATTGTAATTATGACACAATATAAGGTGTTGTGGCCTCAATTTCTGAAGAATCAACCAGTTAAAAAAAAAAGAATACAGAACCGTCAAGGTTGTTTGAAGTAATATTTCATTATGATCAGATTTTATGATAACTGAAATAAATTCCGTGTGGAAGATATAAACAAGGTAATTTCGTAATTGTAAATATATGTACATAGTTTAAAAACTGAAAAACACACTTTTTTTTCCTCTATTCGCTGGTAGCCTAAGAGGCTATTCTAGCTACGCCCGGACCGGTAGGTGGGCTCACGGGCTCAACCTGAGAGAATTTGCTAACACTAGCCCTAGCAAGAGCAGTGCTTCACAGAACCTACCACCGGATTGGAATCGCGACCCACTGAGAAGATACGGCGAGAAACTTAATGGGTTGAAAACACACGTCTAAATAAGCAAACCGACATATCAATTAATTTAATCGGTTTTATTATGTTGATACTGGTCAGGATATTAGAGGACAGTTGGTAAAATTATTGTATTGTCATCGGAATTCGATGCGTGTGCAAATTTTCAAGTTAATCGGACGTCTTCAAGTCGGTAAAAATGAGATTCAACGATTTCGTTACATTTTTACTGGTGGTAGGACCTCTTGTGAGTCCGCACAGTTAGGTACCACCACCCCGCCTATTTCTGCCGTGAAGCAGTAATGCGTTTCGGTTTGAAGGGTGGGGCAGCCGTTGTAACTATACCGAGACCTCAGAACTTATATCTCAACGTGGGTGGCGCATTTTCCTTTTAGATGTCTATGGGCTCCGGTAACCACTTAACACCAGGTGGGCTGTGAGCTCGTCCACCCGTCAAAGCAATAAATAAAAAAATACATATTATATGTTTCATTCCAAGCTAATAAAAGCGTGTTATAAACATACCTCTCCTCCGTACCATTGTTGGCACTTTGATTGACCACAGCAACATTTAACGATTCGTTTGACGAGCTCGATGTGGTGCTGCTTCTTGCTGTACTCCTGGCAGTGTTTCGACCCGTCCACTCTCCGGCTGCGGCTTCACTGTCGCCCGGAGAAGGCAACGAGAGGGCCCGATTCATGAGTAGAGTACGCCGTCCGACGATCAGCGGTCCTGATGCTCCGTCAGTGCTCAGATTAGCAGCCGTCACCTGAAGCTGTATCGGTACGCTTGTCGGGCGCATATTAACATTATGTTCCAAGAACAATATAACCGGCAACGTCAAAGGCTGTTCTGTTGTTATCGCCGGTAAAACAATCGGATCTAATCTCCTCATTGAATTACGCACATTGTCATTTGTAGTGCTGGCTCTCTCCACGCTTGAAACGACATCACGGGCTGACACATCTGAGTAGCTTTTCGATCTTCCCAAGCCTGTAGTTTGCGGTCGTTGCGATACACCTTGCGTTATATCTAAATCTTCTATCGAAGGTACAGAGGGTGCGTAGTTTGTACAAGTGACTACTTGAGTATTTTCGTCCATTGAACTTAATGCTTCGGAATGTTCCGACTGATCTTGAGTATCCCCGATACATTCTTTAATTTTACAAATAAGATCGTTTTCGTCGCTGTCGTAGTTTGCTGTTTCGTCGTCTAAGCATGCCAAGAGAGACTTGTCTAGAACTTCGTCCAGGTCATTCAGTATATCCATGAACTGGACGAGCGCAGTCGCCTGAAATTCTTCGTCATTTGTGATGTCGCTTGTTGCTTGAGATGAAAAATTCGAGTCGGACCTGTAGCATTCTGCGATAGATTTCTGCAGGTCTTCTCTTAGATCGCCGTCATCTGATATCCCGTCAAAGTCCTCACTACACCGATCGCTATCGTTGCCTTCGAAAACACTACTCGAAGCGTCGCTATCGGCCGCACTGTTCCCTGGTAAATTTTCAGTTTGTTCATAGCGCCCTTCATCTGTGTTAACAACTTCCATTTTTATCGCATGGCCTAAGTCATAGCCGCTGCGTTGCGATGAAAGCCCTGCAACAACAACTTCACTTATAATCGAATCACTGCATATTAATAACTTTTAAACGAATTTTGAAATGCACATTTCGCCGCTGTTACGATTCTCCACAGCCTGTTCATGCTGCGATGCTCCTTGAATGCACGAGACGAGTTATATGAGTATTTACATATGAATTAACTCGCTAATGGAGTTAATTACTGCAAATAACACATGAGAGACGGCTAAACGGTCACACGTTAGCATCGAAAATCCTCGCAATAAGATGTTTGTACACATGATTCATGAAAGATTAACGCGTCCTCGTGTTGATAGAACATGTTTAACGCTATAAAATGATGTCAAAATAAGAATCAAGAATAAAAACTTAAGAAGAATGTATAAACAGTACCAGAGAAAATTTATTTTATTACACTATTTTACTTTTTCTTATTAATTATTAACTGTAATATGAAATTTTACTGATCGCAGCTGTACACGTCTTTTGGTTCACCTTATGACCTTATTGACTAAAGTTACATTTGACTAAGAACATTATATATAAAGCTCCGTATTATCAGGGTTGCTCTAGTGGCCGAGAAATAGAGATGAGTAACATACATCAATGACGCATTTACAATTTCAGCCAAAGTTTATGAATGAGAGAATACGCTTGGTACAATTCCGTGGATATTGAACTTTAACCAATTAACCTACACTAACAAATTTTTAAGAATACTAAAATATTAACATTCTTCCACAATAACCCAAGATCAATTTCAGGTTTCCCTGTTATATTTCAGCTGCGGACTTGCAATCGTACATTTAATTACATAATTACAGTGCATAAGCTAATATTATTGTGTCGAAAATTCGTACTGAAACGTGAGAAAAAAATTTGTTAAATTATGCAAGTGCATTTCATAACATCTTCAGTCTTTGATTACATAAAAATATTAATTGGAACATTTGAAATTCAAAGTATTGGACAATATACTTATTAGTTAAAAGATCTATCATTCAAATGATGATAAAGACGACGAATGAAGACGATTTTAAGACGGTCGAGATTATAAGACTAATATAATCCTAATCTTGATTTTAAATAATTTTTAAGCGAAAAAAAAATCATGTTTTTCATCTGTGATTCCAAAGATTTAACTAGGTAAAATCAATGATATGTTTTATCAAAAAGATATATTATTTTTCATAATGTTCAACATAATAAAAAAAGGGATACTCACGTCCTACACGACTTGATGACGAATTTCACGATTTAAAAACAAAATTATAGGAAAATCACTTAAAACAGTGTACTGATGCACCGTTAAATACACAATGCAATCATTTATCACTTTTATGATTAAATTTTCAAGATAAGACACTCGCTAGGAGAAAATCATGTTATAAATACAATAATATCTACTATTTGTTTCGTATCATCAACTTCAATTGTGAGTGCAGTATAACGTAGACGAAATGACGTGGCATCGTCATACCATAACCTTTCCTCGTATCTGGGTCGCCTGACGTAAGTTTGCAGACTAACCGAGATACATCATATCCTCTAGGCCAGAATCAGAGATAATCAAGGAAAGCCATTCCCGTAATGGCTCACGTAATGCTCACTAAACAAGGGTAGAGCTTTAGCAAGTTCTTTATAGAACTCGGAAATGAATATAAAGAGAGGATCCCGAAGCACTTAAAAGGTTGATCGAGGATGAGCTACCTAACTAGCCTATATTGCTGTTAGAGACTAGTTACTTTACTCTGCGACAGCAGAATAATAGCAATTTTCCTCAATGATAACGCTGCATAGGATATGATACATTCAAAAATTAAAACATAAAGGGTGTTTCTCTCCGGTATCTTATGCACAAAGGATTAGATATAAGACATATAATACAGAGTGAATTTATCAAATTTCGAGTTCTAAATATTAATTACTTTAATTTGATCCATGTGATAAAATGATTAAAATATATCTACGGTAATAAATTTATTAAATATTGAAATAGGTGTTGTAGATGAACATTAAAAAATAATAATAGGTATTTGTAATATTTATTCATAAATACACAATGGCATTTTTTCTTTGCTTTTCACAAACAACTGCAATAGAAATGAATTCGTATTAACAAAATAGTATCTTGAAAGGTAAGTATGATGTCATTCAAATCCTGTTAATTCAATGATATCATTATATTTTTCTTGAATAGTCATATCTGAACAATCAATTTAAAATCATCACATACACCCACAACCTATGTACCTTGTTGCAGTCTGATAGGAAGTGGTATGACATTATCTTATTCCAAATCAGAGAAGATTGTTTTGTTAAGATTTTTTATATTCATGACTTAAAAACATAAATATTGGACATTTAATTAGAAATGTTATGTATGTGTATGTATGAAATGTATGTGTGTAATTAATTAGAAAATTTAATTATTACTGACAGACTGCCTGCCAGAAATACTTGTGAAGACACTACATGTTGTATTTGGTCATAAAAAAGCCTCTTATCTCAACGTCTATTGATTAAATTAAAAATGTGAAAATCACAACTTATACTGGATTATTTTATTAATTAGTTATTTTTGTATTTAGTATAAAAAACACTACAAAAAGAATGAGAAAAGTTGGTCTATATGGCACATTGCAATGGATATATTATAGGAGATATAACACAAAAAGATTTGATGTTAGGGATTCTACCAGTCGTAAAACTGATGCCAAATTCCTATACAGCATGATAAGAGGAGATGCTGCACTGACCCCACATAATGTGAAATAGTGACAAGAAGAAGATTTAGGTATTTTCGTTCACATAATAACAATATAGCTGTATAAATAAAAATATTGTAATTTAACACAAACCAACAAACACAGGCTTATTTTAATAGAAATACCTGGCATTGACTGGGTGATGTGATTATTCATGATCAAAATTTTTAAAAATTTATAATTTTACCTTCCATCTGGAGTTATTATTGAAATTAACAATGTTTTATTTTTACGCAATTACAACAGAAAATTTTACTTTGTACTGTTTACAATATTTTACAATTAGTAACAATTGTTGACAGAGCAAAACAAACTTAGCTAACTTTAAATAATAAATAAGCATCCAGCTAATATCCAAAACTGGTCAAGTTCAATTACTTAAAATACTTTCAAAGTGGCATAAGTAAACTTATTAATAGGTTGATAAGCTTTTTTATTTATTGTTTTCTATTTTACAGTTGTAACTATGGAGATGTACATAATTAAATAAAGATTATTATTAGTGTTAGTTATCATTTTTTCAGTTATTAGTTCTCATTTTTTCATCCACTGCTTTCAAGTTTACAACAAAATGAAGAAAACAATAATCTAGACAAATTTTTATGAGAATCTTTTGAAATTTTTCTGAATTAAGAGTGTGAAGATTTTAAAGTATGAATTTTGTTAGTTTTAATTCACTGTCCATACACACACTGTGCATTTAAAATTTTTAATTTTTTTATGGCAGGTACATAATTGGACTACTTTCCCGAAATCCGGGTGTGTACACTGTAAGCGTGTTTAAAATGTAGGTATCAAACAGATAGAAATTAAGACATTTAAGTCTTTGTGAAAATAGTAGTATGGTAAAAATAATAAATGTCACCTGTTGTATTCGGAACAAGAGAAACAAATGAAATGAGAGAATAAGGAACGGAAAATAAATATAGTCTTAAAATTTAAAACAACACCATTACTATTTTTACATCTTCAATATATTAATGTATAGATATTTACATTGCCTAATATGCAAAGAATTCAAAATGTTACATATCTAAATCAATTCAAGTTACATTTTTATTTAGCAGAAAGCTCAAAAATAATGCATTCCAAATTCAAACCTGGGTTGCCTAACTTTTGTGTGTATCAGCCATCGAACTGTCAGCTGTCTCGTGTCTTGCGTTATAATCGTTATTATATTTCCATATTAAACTCAGACATAACTCAAATTTTGAAATAATTGAACTATTCTAGTTATGTTATTTATAATTGTGATGTTTTTTCAACTATAGCACTAATTAACTCAACACGAACTTATTGAGAATTATAGGTACAAAACACTACACTACGAAGCATCAGAATCAGACACTGAACAAATTACAAAATATTAGTTAGTATCTGTGTTTTTTTAAGGGATTTTATGACCTGGTAACTAAGATCTTTAAGTCATGTCTTATTTTAATTTATTTTCTTATTTTTATGAAAAATTATGAAATGAAATGAAGATGATTAAGTTGAGACATTAATCAACTGGGATGAAATCAAATGAAATGAGATGAGATGATATGGGATGAAATATAATCTCAGTAAAATGGTGGTCATCGGCGGTCATCGCTGGACGTCCAGCGGCTTTGTTTCATTTTCTCACATTTGTGCACTGTCACAGATATTAAATAATTAATAAACCACCGTTATTACACCTATAAACCTAAATAGATAAAATAAAACAAATCACACAACTTCACTCCTCGCGTTCCCGCCAAAAATCTATTAACTGCGTGAAGAAATATTTGTACAGATTAACTATAAAACTCAGAGATATTTGTGTGGAGCAGTGATGCTTGATTTGTATCGATGCCAAAACAGGAAATTAATACCACAATGTTGAAGTCTGTATTGGGATTTTAATATTTAATACGGCTAGCCTGATTTTGGCAGTAGAATTAAGTAGTATCGTAGTATCCACCGAGGTGAGCTGAGAATACGCCCCACTACCTGTAATAAACTCGATATTTGTATATTTTTGAAAACAAAGTTTAGGCATTTAAATTGTGGCAGTGTAACAATGCCACTTTTTTTAAACACACTTAAGTATTATCTTTGGTTTTCACGCGTCGTAGACATAATTAAATCTACCTTTGCAGTATCGATTCGAATTATTTATTTATTTTCCCTACCTAAGCTGATAGCCTTGAGAGGCTATATCAGCGTCGCCTTAATTAGTAGGTGAGCTCACGGGGCTCAAACCTGATGACGTTGCTAACACGAACCCTAGCAAGAGCCGTACCGTAACCGATCGGAAGGATCCGAAATGACGTGTTTGGGGCGACGTCGCCTGCTTTCCATTCTGTCCACAGGATCAGGAATGTAGTTACCGGCGGCCACGATGAGAGGGTTCTCGTGTCGTGCCGCTTTATCGAAGTGGCGCATCAACGCCGACTGCAGATACTGATGGACTCTAAGTCCAGGCCGTCATGGAGGTCGACGTTCCATTTATTTATAAAAACAGCATAAAGTTTAAATGTCGATAAATACTACATTGGTTAGTCCGCGACCACGAAAACTGTAAACTAATCGATGGAAAAATATAATGATAATAATAAAGATCGCGAGATTAAACGGCGAAGGTAGTTAATTAGGTTTAAAAATAATACAATAATGTACAAATTAAAATGTCTTATTCTTTAGAAATTATTGAAGTATGAGGACAACGAATCAAGTGTAAAAAAGGCTATTGAATATTACGTTAACTAAAAATCTTTCACCATTTTAATATTTTTATTTAGTTGTTTGACAGTGTTGGTAACCAGTTAGCTTCAGTTTCAGGCAGCGGCACTCTTACGAGTAAGACCATTTGTCTCGGTAGTAATTGTCACAACACTCAATAGTCTACTAATTTGCATCACAGCTAAATAGTTTATGAGGTTTGTATAGGTAAATGGTATACATAACTAAGATGTTAATTGAAGGTTTAATAAACAAGCACCGATTTTTCAATTACCACATAGAACACAGACTACTTAATTATAATGAATTACTTACATACCTACCACTTTCTGAATTTGCATTCTGCATCATAGAATATATCACTTAACTGCATTGGTTACCCAGTAAGCTAGCGCGGGTCAAAGTTTCTTTAAAATAATACGACGTCAGTATTATTTTTGTACACTTTATGTAACAGAACATAAGATCTATAATGCAATAGCATAATGAACGTGAATGAATAATTTCAAGATTTATTTAATTTCAAAGCGATAACATATCATTTTTAGTCAGTACGATCTCTTGCCATTGTCCGTTAATACTCAAAATAGATTTGTAAAGAATAAATCATGATCTTCTTAAAAGGAAATAGAATTATTAACATCAAAATGAAGCCAGTAAGTACAATTAGTTTTCCTGTTCTCAAAGTTCTGAAAACAACTCTCAAACCGTAATCCGTTTTGTCAGTCATTGATTAACTGTCTTAGGAGATAGTGGTTACTGTGTCCAACAGAAACATCGTCTTATTGGACTTTAACGTCTTATTGCAGATATTTACAGCAATGGCAGCATTCTCGACCAAAGTTTCCCTCAACGAAGTAGTAATTGCATCAGCAGTTAGAACTCCTATGGGTTCTTTCCGAGGGAGCTTATCTAGTTTATCAGCATCAGAATTGGGCGCTGTCGCTGTTAACGCGGCAATCGAAAGAGCCGGTATTCCTAAAGAAGAAATAAAAGAGGTTAGTAGATTGAGCTCACTTTCACCCATTAATTCTAATGTCGAAACAGTTGAAACAAACGAGAATTCGAACGGTTGTCACTCACAATAGTCTCTGAATAATAATTCATTGGTGACATGAAAAAAAATATTAATGTTATGCATTTTAATAAAATGTTACCACATCAACCTTATCTATCACTGATTTCCGATTAACTCATTTGTTATAATTTAAGACATTAAAATGTCAAAAAAAAAGGAACAAAAGATAAGGAAATGATATATAACCTTTTTGAGGTGTAACACAATCATGAATCTATTTTGCACAATTTTTTTTCTATATTAAAAAAATCAGAGTAAAAATTTCAATTACAAAGATTGAAATCTTAAGTATTACTTATATGATCTATTGTTGCATCATTATTTTAACTCCATAGGTCTACATTGGCAATGTTTGTTCTGCAAATTTGGGCCAAGCACCTGCAAGACAAGCTGTAATATTTGCAGGTTTGCCAAAAAGTACCATATGTACAACTGTAAACAAAGTATGTGCCTCTGGCATGAAATCTATAATGTTGGCAGCACAAGGTCTACAAACTGGAGCCCAAGATATAATACTTGCTGGTGGGATGGAATCTATGTCAAATGTACCTTTTTATTTGAAGAGAGGTGAAACTTCGTATGGAGGAATGCAGTTAGTTGATGGAATAGTGTTTGATGGGCTCACAGATGTGTACAACAAATTTCACATGGGAAATTGTGCTGAAAACACAGCAAAAAAATTACAAATTACTAGACAAGATCAAGATGAATATGCTGTCAATAGTTACAAGAGAAGTGCAGCTGCTTATGAAGCTAAAGCTTTTGTTGATGAACTTGTACCTGTACCCGTTCCACAGAAAAGAGGGGCTCCTGTAATATTTGCTGAAGATGAAGAGTATAAAAGAGTTAATTTTGAAAAGTTTACAAAATTGTCTACGGTATTCCAAAAGGAAAATGGCACTGTTACTGCAGGCAATGCTTCAACATTAAATGATGGAGCTGCAGCTTTAGTGTTAATGACGGCTGATGCCGCTAAAAGATTAAATGTCAAGCCGATTGCCCGAATTGTTGGATTTGCTGATGGGGAATGTGATCCCATTGACTTCCCGATAGCACCAGCGGTTGCCATTCCTAAATTATTAGAGAAGACTGGTGTCAGGAAGGAAGATGTTGCATTGTGGGAGATAAATGAAGCTTTCAGTGTTGTTGCTGTTGCAAATCAAAAATTATTAGGATTAGATCCATCAAAAATTAATGTACATGGTGGAGCTGTCAGTTTGGGTCATCCAATTGGTATGTCTGGAGCTCGCATTGTTGTACATCTGTGCCATGCTTTAAAAAAAGGAGAAAAGGGAGTTGCTTCAATTTGTAATGGCGGAGGTGGTGCATCATCTGTAATGATTGAAAAAATGTAAGTCGATAACATAAAATGTAAAGTATAGTCATTGCTGTGCCTTCTTAGTACACTGTTTCAAATATTTTTTTGTTAATGTAGGTATAAGATAAAAGAAGTTTTTATAAATTGTTAATAAATTAAAATTATATATTTGAAAATGGATCAATGTATGGAATCAAAATAAATTATATACTTTTTAGTTTTTTTGTTTAATCTTTTCATAATTTCAGAGCCGAAACTCCAGAAGAGCTACCGGTTTTGACATTTTATACCAAAGATCCATGTGGTCTCTGTGATTTAGTTATGGAAGACCTTGAACCATATAAAAAGAGACTTATCATACAAAAAATTGATATCACTCAAAAAGAAAATTTGCGGTGGTTACGCCTTTATAGACTCGAAATACCAGTCTTATTCTTGAATGGACATTTTTTATGTAAACATAAGTTAAACAAAGATCTTCTTGAGAAAAAGTTGACATTAATTGAAATAGAAAAAAAACAAACATCATAAATACTAAATGATAGTTTTAAATGTTTTAAAAATGTTCAAAATATACTACGGAGGTATAATATAATACAGAGGTGTATACAAGATTTTTTTCCTTTTGTAACATGGAAATTTCGCTGAAATATTTCATGGAATTTACTATAGATTTACACACAGTCCTATCCCAACGTAGTATGTCCCAAGACCAAATCATTTCTATTCTTCCATTGTAATTGTTTAAAACATTATGAAGATAGAAATCTAGTAATTCTCTCTTCTAGTAATAGCTCAATAATTTCATACTATCGAACTCATTATTTTGATAAATCATGAATGTTCCTCAGTTTTGCCTTTGCCTGATTTTTAAGTCTTCACTTAAAAGCTTGTAATTATATAAATCAAATCGAATCTTGGTCTCTGGCCTATAATTGGTAAATCAATAAAGATTTTCTCTTAGATGTTTCTACCAAAACACATAAATGATGATATGTTTTCTAATGAAACAAAAAGCAAATCATTCAGAGAATACCGTTTTCAATGGAAAAAAAAAACTAATATGAATAAATTTAAAATTTAAAAATAAAGTTTATCCTCCATTATAAAATAGTTCTTAAATATTGTATTAAGATCAATGAAAGTAATAAACGCGAGATCAAACTGTAAAAGTTTTAATTTTATTTCAAATTTTTTTCGGAGTTAAATTTTAACTACGTGCCATGCATTGTGCTATATAATAAGTGTTAAAGCGTACGTTAATAATAATTAACAAAAAATCTTCAAAACAGAAATCTAGAAAATAAAAGTGGAATTAAGTACGGTACCTACATACTAAAGGAAATAACTTCAAAAAGAAGTTGAAAGTCGTTGCGGCCTAAAGATTTCAAATCCCGCAGGCGAGTACCTACCAATTTTTTTAATGAAATACGTAGGTGCTAAAAAATTTTCACGATTGACTTCCAGGGTGAAGGAATAGCATCGTGTATTAAAAATCCAACCCGCAAAATTATAATTTGCGTAATTACTGGTAGTAGAATCTTTTTTTTTTATTGCTAGATGGGTGGACGAGCTCACAGCCCACCTGGTGTTAAGGGGTTACTAAAGCCCTTGGACATCTACGACGTAAATGCGCCACTCACCTTGAGATATAAGTTTTAAGGTCTCAAGTATAGTTACAACGGCTGCCTCACCCTTCAAACCGAAACGCATTACTGCTTCACTGCAGAAATACGCAGGGCGGTGGTACCTACCCGTGCGGACTCACAATAGGTCCTACCACCAGCAATAAATAATCTCTTGTGAGTCCGCACGGGTAGGTACCAACACCCTGCTAATTTATGCAGTGAACCAGTTCGGTTTGAAGGGTGGGGCAGCCGTTGTAACTATACTGAGACCTTAGAACTAATATCTCAAGGTGGATGGCGGGATTTATATTGTAGATAGATGTTTATGGGCTCAGCTAAACACTTAACACCAGGTGGGCTTTGTGAGCTCGTCCTCTCATATATGCAATGAAAAAATAAAAAAATTATGTAATGCAACGTGACTACAGAACATTGCATAAATGCAAGGTTGAACTGAAATTATATTACATACATAAAATACATAATTTGTGCCCAACTTGACAAAAAGAACAAACAAAAAAGTACATATAGGTAAATTTTACACAATATAAGTAGGTATTTAAGGTACCAAATGAAAAAATTGACATGATTGACGTAAGAAATGGTTTTGTTAGCTGCACGAATGCTAACGGGAACGCGAGGTTTCTGGTTTCCAGATATTATTATGTAAATTATTGTCAATTGTTTTACTTTGTGTTGGACGGTTAAATTTGAGAGGATTGGGTTCTGTAGGTTGGTGAGCGGCTATTTAAAAACACACTGCTTCATTATAATTTTATTGTAAATAATTTGAATTACAAAATTTTAAATAATAAAAGAGGTTGAGCAGGAGATTAAAGTTATTATAGTTAGAGGTTAAAAAGGAGTTAAGGTTATTATAGTTAAAGAGGTTAAGATGGAGTTTAAGGCTATTAAAAAACACACTGCTTCATTATAATTATATTGCAAATACTTTGAACACTGTTACACCATTTATTTTATTATCTTTATATTTTTACAAAACTCTTACATGTTTCTTTGACCGGGTCTAGATCAGAAGTCTTGACTTTTTCTTACGAGAAGACAATCATCTGTTTTTTAAACATTTAAAATAATTCTAATATTCGAAATCTGTAATCATGTGTCAAGTGTCGCCTGCCATTACATTTATATTCAAACTCCAACACTTTGTTAATTTTTTTTCCTTCAGGTTCAAACCTTTAATAATGGCAGCTTAAATAATAATAATAATAAAATAAATAACTGAGAAAGGGGAACATAATTAATTAATAAACAAAATAATCTTTAGCATACGTGAAAGTTGGAACGTATGGAAATAAGGAATGCGTTTTACTGGTGGTAGGACCACTTGTGAGTCTGTGCGGATAGGTACCACCGCCCTGCCTATTTCTGCCGTGAAGCAGTAATGCGTTTCGGTTTGAAGGGTGGGGTAGCCGTTGTAACTATACTATGACTTTAGAACTTGTATCTCAAGGTGAGTGGCGCGTCTACGTTGTAGATGTCTATGGGCTCCAGTAATCACTTAACACCAGGTGGGCTGTGAGCTCGTCCACCCATCTAAGCAATAAAACAAAAAGTGTGGTGGAATACGGAATTCGTAATAATACGTGTGGGAATTAAATTACTGGTGGTAGGACCTCTTATGAGTCCGCACGGGTAGGTACCACCACCTCGCCTATTTCTGCTGTGAAGCAGTAATGCGTTTCGGCTTGAAGAGTATAGTTACATCTCACGGTGGGTGGCGCATTTACGTTGTAGATGTCTATGGGCTCCAGTAACCACCACTTAACACCAGGTGGGCTGTAAGCTCGTCCACTAATCTAAGCAATAAAAAAAAAAACTTAATCGTTGAACGTAAACTCTCGGTTCCTTTAAAAACTCCATTAAACTCTCCGGAAAATCCTACCAGGAAGAGTTTATTTCAATTTATCAAGCACTACGGTGCTATCATATAAATTCATCACATGTATTTCTATATCATTTTACAAAGCTATTTCCAAAACCAAGTTCATTTCAACTATTCCTGTTTACTTTTAAAAATATTTGTAGTATAGGCTCTATTTCCTTTGCTTTTTCAATAAGCGAGTAAAATGAAAACTTGACGTTTTGACGTAGAGATGTTAGATTGTAAATTCGAGTTTTATGATTTTTATTGTAGGTGTACACAACATTAAGCAGGAAAGGATGTGAGTTGCTGATCGAATTTTAATCTAAAAAATTTCTCCTGAATTAACATATCTTCCATTCAGAAAAAAAAGTGATTTAATTGTTTTAGAATGGATAACTCGGCCATACAAACATTGGAAGCAGCCGCTCAAATACTAATGGTAAGAAAAATAAAAGCGATATTATGTATCAGGCATGCAATATGAAATTAAATTTATCAAATCATTTAAACTGAAGGATATGTGTGCTATCTGTTTTATTTACATATTCTTTTATTTAACATCAATCATTATCAATAGTAAAAATAAATTACAATAGACATGTACACTTGACATATCCTTAAATTCTGATAATTAAATAATTTTGCTAACTATAATTAAAATTACTATGTAATTTTTAATAGTCAAATAAATTTAACACAGAAAAATCTTAAAAAAATTAAAATACACAACAAAGACTTGATTGCCTATAAAATTATGTATTTAAAAAAAGACCATCTATAATTTTGTTGTTTTCTTTTGTTTTTAATATTGTCAGACAAAGAAAATTTTTATATTAAGGAATATACTTGAACATATTTTTTCCTTTCACGTTTAGTAGAATTTACTTGTAACAAAAATAATAAAGAAACTGTTTTAACAACAAGTTTTCTTCATATTTTTGTTTTTTTTTATGAAATGTGCGAGAATTTGTGTAAGTTAATTCTTCAGTCTGTGAACATCCCCATTTTAATCTGTTTTTTAAGGCACCACCAAATTTGGTAACATCAGAGCAAAGGCAGCAAGCACAAAATGTTTTCCTGGAGTTTCGCAGCACAAAGAACCCTTATCAACTGTGTAGAGAAATATTAGAAAAATCTACAACAGATATAGTGCTATTTGAGGCTGCAGGCTTATTAAAAGCTGCTTTAATTAGAGAATGGAGCTTACTTTCTGAAAATGATATTTCATCATTAAGAGAGTATTTATTCAATTATTTATTGACTAGAGATACTCCACCATTTCTGAGAGAGAAACTATTGCAGGTAAGTAATATTCATAAAAAGGTTGTAGTAGGTAGTGCAAACATGTCTATAAAGCTTCTTGATTATACTTAAAAACAAATTAAAAATCAAATATTAAATTTTAGACAATTGCAATTATCATAAAGAGAGGCAGCATTGATGATGGTGGAAGAGAAAGAAAAGCTTTACTAAGTGAGTTAGAGAAAATAATTCTTGGTTCACCAATAAACCAACAAAAATTAGCCTGCTCATTGATATTGGCTATAATGCAAGAATATGCTATAACAGTCAAATCAACTGATGTTGGTTTGATTTGGGAGATACACTTCCGATTGAAGAAATCTTTTGAAGCTGTGGATTTGAAAAGAATATTTAGATTTACAGTTGGAGTTTTAGAACAAATAATACGATCAGGACATCGTCTTGAGGGGGAACAAATGAATTTGACAAAGCAACTTTTGACTATTGTTGAAACTGTGCTCTGTTGGAGTCATGTATCCCCACTGCTGTCAAAACGTTTGATAGGAGCTTTTGAAGCTATATATGAAAGCGACACTGCACCAGCATTAAGGCTGAATTTAAATTGGAAAGATACAATTATGCAACCAGAATTATTAGCATTGTTATTTGAAATCCATATGTATGTAAGAACTAATCCAGAATTAGCTAGTCCTTCTCTAACTTGCTTGGTACAACTGGCAAGTTTGAGTGGAGTTGTAGTTTCAGCAAATCATATGAAACAGCAGTATTTAGAAAATTATGTGGCTAGTTTCTTGAATATGATGACTTATATACAGCCAATGGACAGAGAAATGCTTGGTTTGTCAGAAATATACAGAAGGCTTGTTCAGTTTTTCACTCCTGTAATGATAGCTGGTCTGCCACCGGCATTTCTGATCAATTTGAAGAATTTAACTTGTCACTGTATCAGAGGATCTGTTTTAGAAGAAATGGTTAGTATTATTTAAATAGAAAATTTGAAATTATGAGGCATGTAAGTTAATGATATTTTTGTTTATATGGGTTTTCAACAATATAATAATAACATTTCAACTGAGTTCACAATGTAGCATACTAACTAAAATATATACTTATATTGGATACTGGATCCAAAAAGAGGAGTCAAAAAGCTATTTTTCAATTCAGAACAAAATACATAATATGATATCAGTAACAACAATAAAGTGAAACAGTTAAGAGCAAACATTTGTTTCATTTTATTTTTTAGGTAATTGTGTATAACCATGGAAAATTTATTTCTACAACATATATTTTGACAGTTTTCTTAAAAACATGTTAAATATGTACATTGAAACATTTCCTTTTTTTGGACAAATATTTTTTTTTGCATTCTAATTAGTCCAAAAACCAATAAAGTTGTTTTGATTTAAGGAAAATAGTGATTCAGTATGGCGGGAAGCATTGAGCAAATTCCTCCACACATGGAGTTCGATTGTAAACGATATGGATGGATTACCAATTGAAAATTTATCAGGGCCATGTATAGAGATCTTCAATACTTATCTACAGTGCAGATTAGCACCTCCAGATGGAACTAGGTTTGTTTTTATATTTTTGTAGAAAAGCCGACGATCTCATATCATGCTGGCTGCAGCAGGTGCATTTCTTGATTAATATTTGCCAACCATTCAAGCTATAATACCACTTGACCAACTTGATTGCAGCATAGCATGCATAAAAATATTATTGCCTGACTTACACACTCACTCACCTCACTTCTAATTTATAATGAAAATCATTTCGTTACTATATATTCTATGACTGTAATGTAGTCAGAGTTGCATGCTAACAATAATAATTCATAGAAAGTGTCTGAGCTGTGCCTCTGGTATTGATAATTCTATAAGGAGAATGTGACACCTTATCATCAGATGGAGTACTCATCTGCCTTCGAAACCATAAAAAATAATCCACAAAAACCATATTTAGATATTTTTCATTGCTAAGAAAATTAACAAATATAAACAGCTAAGTGAAAATGCAACTCAACCATACTGCCTTTTATAACAAGGTATGCAGATTGATGAAGAAGCAGAGGAGGCCATGATAATGAGTGGTAGCAAATTATGATATCTGTCCTAATAAAAATAAAGAAGCAAATGATTCTGTGGAACAGAGGAAAACCTAAAAAATGCTTAATCTAGATAAACATGCTCAGTTATTAATAACAATAACGATAGCACGTTTCAATAATAATAGAATAAATTGTAGTGTTGTAAATGTAAAGTGTTGTATGATTTACTTATGACGTGATATACTTACGTTTAAAGTCAATCTGGAAAATAAATTTAAAACTAAGTAATAAACCTTGCTCTGCTTGTTTCAGGGGCACTGAAAATGTAGATGAAGATATTAAACATGAGCTAGAAGAAGACGAACGTAAACTGCATAGCAATAACTTGCTCACCATAGGAGCATTAGCTAGGAAGGCACCAGCACATTGTTGTCATGTCTTATTTTCATTACTACAGGATAGAAGTAAAAAGTAAGCTTTAATTCCACTATCACTTGAGACTATATTTTCTTAGTCAGTAGTATTAGCGCTACATAATCTATATATCTTATATCTATATATATAAAAATGAAACTCGAGAACGGCTGGACCGATTTGGCTAATTTTGGTCTTGAATTATTTGTGAAAGTCCAGTGAAGGTTTAAAAGGTAAATAAACAATATGAAAATGCTTGGAATTAAATAAAAAGATTCCTTTGAGAAAGATTGTTTGTTTTAAGTTTATTTTATATAAAACTTTGGGTTTTTTATTTATCGATTGAGGCACTACGAAGTCGGCCGGACCAGCTAGTACTGAATAAAACACATTATTGACGAAATAATTTCATCATTCATTTAAAATTCTGAAATTAAGATCTTAAATTTTTATGTGACTATAAATATTCATTATGATGTTTTCTCGTAGACTGGAAAGTCATCTTCAACTAATGCATATGGGAAAGTTGCCTGTTAGCGGCGGTGAGCAACTAGTCAACCTGTTTGAAGATTTACATTGGATTTTAATGATTACAGGTAACTGAATGGGTAACACATAACTATTTAAATTCGGCTAAATATATGGGTACTCTTTGCTTGAATAATAAAAAAGAAATGATATAAGTTTATTAACATTAGATATCAAACATTTAAAAATCTTTATTCAGGTCATTTTCTAGCAATAGACTGTACGGAGGGTGAGACGATAATGATTCCTTCAGAGATCATACGTTACAGCATCTCCGAGCATGCTGATTTAGACGCATCTTTGCGATATCTAGTAGGAGTCAGTACTGATACAGATAATGTTGATCCTATTCTCAAGTAAGTAAAATTGTATTAAATTATCTTAATATTCAATAGAGCAAATGGTCAGATCAAATTTAGATACAAGTCGTTACGAGTCGCAGATATAAATTTTACAGAACTCTATATTTAAGGGTTAAATTTCATAGGTAAATCTTATTTTAGACCAATAAATATTTTACTTTAATTAAACATTACTCATTTAATTACCTACTACCTAATTTTGGAATATAAAAGAGTTATATTACATAGTATTGTAATACAATCAGGTGGGCCATAAGCTTATCTGCTTATATAGAAAATAAAATAAAATAAAATTTAAATGACTTCTTAACTTATTCACGTTTTGTACATATTTGTAATAATTACACTAATGATATTTGTGCTTGCTTAAAACTGTAAAGATACTGAAATTATAAGTATAATTCCTTCAGTACCTTGAGAAGTGCACTAAAGATACTTATTAACCAACTTCAAAAAAGGAGAAGGTTCTGAATTCCACTTTTTATGTGTGTTACCTCAAAACTTTTTAATAGGTTTATTTCATACTTGGGACACCTCGTGTGGATCCATATTAATTTTATCTATAATTTATTAATATATAGTATTAGTATAATTTTAAATACTTTTGATTTATCATTAATATTTCACGTTTAATTGACTTCAACTACGTTGATAAATTTTAACTTTATTTTGTTATTGTCAGTTTTCTTTTTTGTTAACATTTCGTATTATTAATATTTTTGCAAACCCTATTTCATGAATTCTGGATGGGAAGCGAAGTATGATAAAAATATGCAATTGTTGTTAAAACAGAACCATGTTAAAGATGCATTTTTTTATGTTAAGGTACTGGTTTACTGGGGGTAGGACCTCTTATGAGTCCGCACGGATAGGTTCCACCGCCCCACCTATTACTGCCGTGAAGCAGTAATGCGTTTCGGTTTGAAGGGTGGGGTAGCCGTTGTAACTATACTGAGAATTCAAAACGTATATCTCAAAATGGGTGGCGCATTTACGTTGTAGATGTCTATGGGCTCCAGTAACCACTTAACACCACCTGGGCTGTGAGCTCGTCCGCCCAATTAAGCAATAAAAAAAGGTATTTTTTGTAGATTACTTGGTGAAATTCTTCGTATAAGTTCGTGGGAATGTGCGGCGTTGGAAGCTGGCCTCGGGACTGTGTTCAGTCCTGAACTATCGGCCACTTTATCGTGGCTTCTCAAAATTTGGACGAACTCTTATTTGATGCCGCAATCCGTTTTCTATAATGAGGTAAGCTAAGCAGCAAATTATGCTCTATATTATTAATTTGAAAATTGCTTGCGATTAAGCAATTTTAGATTAGATTCGAATCAGTAGAATTCTAATAGAATGTTTACAAAATAATAATAAAATAGTAATAATTTTTGCAAATAGTATAAGTGATTGGATAGGACTATACTAAATAATTAGGCACGGATTATAATTATATAGTATTTCCTCTGTCTAAGAAACTTAAAATCTGCTTCAAGAAAACAAGAAGCAATTGCGGTAGCAGAGACAATACTTGTACAACAATTATTTTCGATAAATTTATTTGCCTTATTATTTAAAAATTGATTCGATGTAGATTTACTTGTTTTTTTTTTGGGTATGTTTGTGTCGCGTCCCTTATCCGATTAGGTTGAAACTATTACATACAGTTATAGTTCAGATATATGTAACAAAATATATACTATCATATATGTATATGATTTAGTGCATAAGTATATATCATAGACCTATATAGTAGGGACACGACATATTGTTCTATACGTACAATTGCTTATATAAATAGCACCCATTTTGAAGGCACACACATAAACATATATCTATCTCGTTCTTACTCAGCACTTTAACTCGCAGGAAAACAATATAACAGTATTTCAGTGCTTACATAAAATGAAACATGAATACACGTAAATGTCTCCGTCTCCGTCTAATGAGGCCGAAAACCCGCCATGTTTAGCGCGCCAAATGTCATTGTCACGTCAGTTCGGCCGTCTGTTTTGGGTTGTACATTATTTATTGACTTTGATATCGATTTAATATGATTGCTTATATAAAATTTCTAATTTTATCTTGCTTAAAACATACAAAAATAATAATTAAAACATATTTTATAGGATCTCAAGAAAGTCGATGCCCCAAAACTATTATCTATATATATTTAAATTCATTATGGAGCCCTCATCCGAAACATAAATTATACACTTTGAATCCGAAATATCGGACACCATTTTTCGGTCGGAATCTATTCATCATGACACTGATCATAAATACCTCTTTAAAATATGTCATCAAAACATATTTAGACATTCTGTTTAGATATTTCGGGAAAAAGGCTACCGACAAAATCTCTTCGGACTTATTTAAATAAAATAGTTTTATTCCGCAGTGAGTAAAACACTATTGTAAATTCGTTAAATATTTATTAATTATGTGATTTTAGAGAGGAAGTCACAAGGAATGATGTTTGTAATTTCATTAACGAATAAATGTTCTGTAGGTGTATTTTTTTATCAGGCGGTCCCTGGATAAGTTTAAAATTTGCGTGCGGTGCGGTAGTGCGGTGCACCTTCCTTGAGGTGCGCTGCGGTAGTGTGTTACGGACTTTAGGTCAGCAAAACAATTAAAATAGATTGTAATAGTCTAAGAAAAACACCTACTCAAAATACGATAACATTCAGCATGCTAGAAATGGGCTGATGGCACTGTACTATGCCATATCTGTATGTTTTGCGGCAAACGACAACTTTATAAAATCAGTGTAGCTTAAAAATCGTCATATCGTTTACTTGGAAAATTTGAAGTACGAACTCGTCTTAGATTTCACATAATATCTAAATCACATCATCTTTGCACATAACAATATACTTACTTCCTATTAAAGTATAAATTCTACAAATACATTCATACTCAACAATATTTAAAATAAAATAAGCCAAGAACGTTTATCGATAAAACCTACTAACATTAAAATCTTCTGGGCAGCACTAAAACCGCCATGTTTTGTGGCCAGATGACGTCACAGTGGCACGAATTTTTTGTTGACGTTTCATTTCCATAGGTTTCCTACTTCAGTGGTATATATCGTTTATCCAGTAATAGAAAAATTTTGAAAACAAATTTCGCGGTTCTCTGACTGTAATGAATTTAATATTGTGTAGATGTCTCCGATATTGGAATCAGCGTTTGGACGTGGCTCTCGTGGATCATCCTGGGTGGTGTCCCGACTGGCGGCCCGAGCTGGTACCTGCCTCAGGTACCTGTCCGCCCAGCCGACGGCCGCCTTTCACGCACTCAAACTGCTGACGACATTGGCTCACGCACATCATAAGTGAGTACATATTTTCGACGTGACCACAAAAACTGTAAAGCATGGGTTCTCAAACTTATTTTGTCTACTGCCCACTTTGAGAATAAATTATTTTATAGCGCCCCCATTTTTTCGCCTACATAAAAACTATTACACCGAGAGCTCAGTCAGTATCTAAGAGTTCTAGATGAAATAAAAAATTCCAAGCCTACACAACAGTCCCATTTTTTTCTGGTTCTCTTACCGCTCCCCTTCAGGCCTGGAGTGCCCACAAGGGGGCGTTATCGCCCACTTTGGGAAAGACTGCTTGCTGTAAAGTATGCGAAATGTTGAAAATGATATAATGATAATAATAAACTCGGGATTAAACCGTAAGCGAAAGTTCTACTTGTGAATATTGTCAAGGTTATTTCGATTCCAAAAAAAATATCGTCAGTTAAAAGAATTTAGGGATATTCAGAATTACATATTATGTAGATACATTGAGAAATAACATTAATAATTTTTCGTGCCGAATAATACGTAATATAGGTTATCGGATTTATAATTTGTAACCTGAAGGGATCGTAAGAGACACAAGGATCCTAATATCGTGTAAAACCTTCGTAATACGACAACTTTGTACTTTTAACTATAGACAGAACCCTTCGGAGAGCTGCGAGGAGTTCTTGGCGCTGATCGCCTGGGAGGCGGCCGGAAGCAACTTGCCCGGTGAACTGAGGAAAGAATTGCACCGAGCATTCGCAATCGCCGCCACTTACGCTCAGGGTGAGTTACTTTTGAAAAGGTCATATTTATATACACTAAGTAGTGGTCGACGACGGTGGTCGAGATTCGACTATAATTCATTGAAATTATAAATTTCTACGCTGTTATGATTCTAAGGTCAATAAGTACAACCAATAAAGACAAACATTATTTAATTTATTCTCAATTTGACCACAGAGGTCATAAGAAAGGTTTGACAATAAACAAATAGTATACATGCATGTGTGTGTCAAATACATGGTAGTGTGTGTAATGTTTTTTTATTTATTGATTTAATAAATTTTTCATGCATATTTTAAAAAGTTTTAACATTCTGCACTCCTTCTCTATATAAACTACTAACTGTACCCGTCCACTTCGCTGAGCATTTAAAATTAACATTATTATTTCTCACCCCCACAAAGATTCTCATCATTAACGTCCCCGCAACTGGTGTAGGGAGTCCAACACTCATATAAATATTAGCCTATCCATCAAATGCATGTACATATTTTCTAGATGGATACCAAGTTTCAAGTCAATCGGATGCATAGTTCAGTAGTTATAACGGAACATCCGTAAAAACCACTGTAGATTTATATATTAGTATAGACTAGTGGTCCCGCAGTAGTCGAAATTCGAATATAATTAATTGAAATTATAAGCTTGAACATTATTATGGTTATATTATCAAAGACTATTATACTTCTATAATCACAGATTTCGTCAAGAGTACACTATAGACAAATAATAATAAAGATAAACAATATTAACCTATTTTTAATTTGACCACAGTTTTTGACAAACTAAAGTTTGACAATAAACAAAGAGTATATATACATATGTGTGTGTGTCAAATACATGGCAGTGTGTGTAATGTTTTCTTTATTGATTTAATGTATCTTTTATTCATTATTTTTAAAAAATTTCAGCATTGTGCACTTCTTCTCTATATTCTCTATAAGTGTGGAAAATTTTATACTCCTCCGTCCGCGGAATTTTCCTAAAAAGGGATAAAAAGTTTTTGCTTCACGTATTAATATATAGATAAACGTGTGAAATTTCATATTCCTTTTTCCGCATAATTTTCGTACAAAGGAGTACAAAGTTTTTACTTCACGTTCTTTATTCGCCTAGGAAATGTGAGGACTCGCCTGCTAGACAGCACTGAGGCGCTGCAGAAGAAGCTAATCAACATACTGAACATGGAATCCGACACGGAACCTGTGCGGAGCATGCTCGCCGATACTCTGGACTGTTTCATCGGGGTCACCGAAGGTGTTCTCGAGGTATTGAAGCTTCACGTTTTTTTTTATTGCTCAGATTGGTGGACGAGCTCAAAGCCCACCTGGTGTTAAGTGGTTACTGGAGCCCATAGAGATCTACAACGTAAATGCGCCACCCACCTTGAGATATAATTCTAAGGTCTCAAGTGTAGTTATAACGGCTGCCTCACCCTTCAAACCGAAATGCATTACTGCTTCACATAAAGTCGTTTTACGGACATCCCTACGCACATCCCTATTGGTTTTTCCTTGTGGGTCTTTGGGGGACATGGATGCGGACAGAGCGGCAGAAAAAGCTCCAGAAAAAGTCAGTCCCTCAGTCGATATAGACAAGTGCTTAATTGTGTTTACCTCAATTGCTTATCTCTAAGTTCACTGTTGATTGTTCAAATTCCATTGCTTGGTAGGCAGCGGTTTGGCTCTGCCCCTGGCATTGCTGAGGTCCACGAGCGACAGTGACCACTTACTATCGGGTAGGCTGTATGCTAGTCTGCCTACTCGGGCAATAAAATTAATAATTAAACTATACCTTAAACTGTGATAGTTTTAATTCGTTATAAGTTTAATTATTTCGTAGGTCGGAGCGATGGACGAACAGTTTGTGATGTTAATCGGCGCCTTAGACAAAGTACCGGGTATCTTGTACAGATATCACAACTACCCCGGCGTTGTGTTGCCAGCACTGAATTTGTTATCGAAAAGCGCCAAGAGAATGCTGCACTCGGTTCAACCTCAAAACGTTGATAAGTAAATATATCTTATTAATAATATAATTATCTCAATAATAAAGATAAATAATATCTAAATATAAGACATGAAATTAACAAGTATGTATACACAATTATATATTTGGTATTTTCGTGTTTCTGTAATCATAAAAAAAACGAATATTCAGAAGTTATTTTAGTTGACTGTTAATGAAAACATTTTATCTCAAAATTATGCAGAATTATATTGGGTTTTAAATCTTTTTAGGTTCTTAGAAGTATGCAATACTACGTTTGAAGTTTATAAACAATGGAATTCTGGAAAGATCTCGAGTATACCACAAGACGCTGAGGATGAAGTGTATGAGGTATGTGTATTCAGTATTTATTAGGGAAGTACATATATATAAATCGGGCTAAAGTAGAAAAGTGGATGGTGATATTCATGTTGTAGTATCAAATTCTACTGTCATGTTTCAATATGATGCCCATAGGCTCTGGAAATTGCTAATTTAATGTAGACAGCGAGTTCTTGTACCAACTTAGAAATAATCATTATTGTGAGTCCGCGCGGGTGGGTGCCACCGTCCTGCCTATTTCTGCCGTGAAGCAGTAATAATGCGTTTCGGTTTGAAGGGCGGGGCAGCCGTTGTAACTATACTTGAGACCTTAGAACTTATATCTTAAGGTGGCTGCCCAATTACGTTGAAGATGTCTATGGACTCCAGTAACCACTTAACACCAGGTGCGCTGTGTGCTCGTCCGCCAATATAAGCAATAAAAAAAATTATTCACTCTTAATAATTTTCAGGATATATGCGCAATAATGGAACTGATCTGTAGTATAGCGCGGTCAGGGGCCCACACTAACGTTAATGAGACCTGCGCCCGGGGACTGCGGCTGTTGCTGCCCTTGATCACTCCTCCGCTGTTGGCGCTGCCGTCACTGGCCCAGCACGCGTATCGAATGATTAGGGATCTGGATAATTGTGATCAGGTAAGGAATCCTTCACTAGTATTTTGTTTCATTCGCGCTCGAGACTAAATCACACATGTATCTTCTATCTCTTCTAGTGTCGTTTTCTCGTTAAATCCAGTTTCAACTTGTAATGGTGATAAAGAAGTTTTTAAAATTAAAATTCACCAAATTTTATATCCTATACAGTAGATTGGGGGAATAGAGGGCTAGATTTAGAATGGGGACAAATCTGGGATGTCACAATACTTTTGTTAAGTTGTTAGATTTAACTTTATGAACTGAAAATTACTTTTATGTAGTGTTTAAGAATATTAAATAGTTTAATTTAGTCATCAACGTTTTGTTCAGCTCATTAAAGCTATTCAAAAAGTTCATTACCTAAAGTTAGGTACCTACTTAACAATTAAATAGTACCAGCCCTATCGAAAAATTATATAGTCCCCTTAAGCGAACCCATTCACCCTATGCCTGGGTGAATAGGGACAAGTGAGTTTTTGTAACTTTTTATGATTATTCTATAATAGACTATATCATGATGCATTATAAATGAAAATTTAAACTACCGGGACCATTACGATCTCCGTTTATTACTATAACTACAAAAAAAACGGTAAAAGTCAATGTCGAACATAACAAGTGTCCGTATACTCTGGTACATTTCTTATTTATTTAAATATGGAGGATAACTGCTTCGCCGATATTATTAAAATTTCGACTTTATGTCCCAAGGTGGGTAGCGGTGATTTACAACAATCAGTGTGTATCAGGTGATCTTGAGAGTTTCTGTACATCATTTGTTTGTGTTTCAGCTCACAAATCTACCGATCGAGGACTTCAACATGGTAATATCGGCGTTACGCGTCGGGCTGACGGCGGTCTCGTGCGACGTCTCGACGCTGTGCTGCGATACCATCGTGGGTTTGGCGAACAGAGCGCGGACGCTGGGCGACAACAATCCTTACGCCATGTCCTTACTGACCCTGGCCGAACTCTTACTAATGTTGATAATTAAAATGGAAATACCCCCGGACTCGATACCGGCTGCCGGCTCGGCGATATACGCCTTGACGTGCGTGAAGCCGGCTCTCTTAGAGGGCTTAGCCAGACAGCTGATCGAAGCGTACGCGGTCAACGACCCCGCGAACGTGCCCAGACTAGAGGAGGCCTTCAGTCTCCTAACCAACGGTGTACTGTTCGACGGTCTGAGACCTCACAAGATACGCTTCCAAGATAACTTCGATAAGTTCCTAGCCAGCGTTCACGGATTTCTGATTGTCAAATAAACGACTCCGACATAGTCTTTGTTCGGGTTGTATTTTTAATGACGTCAGCGGGGTTACGTACGCGAACGCGTGTGTGGCGTGTGGGAGTATATCGTCTCGGTATCGTTTTCTTAGCATCCGCGATGGTAGCGCCTCCCAAAATTATTACTCGGATGGAACTTGAAAAAAGGCTATACGTGTGTGCTATGTTTGAAAAGTTTTCCGTTGAAACAAGGTTGGATGATGTACCGAAGAAGGCATCGAAGATGGCGGTGAGATTAGTTTTCTTATTGAATTAAAATGAATTTAATTTTTATGTTTAAAGTACACTGTTAGTTATAAAGAGGTATGTCCGAATAATTATTGTTTTATGAAAAAATATTATAATAATATGATAGAAATATAGTAATTATGTACTTTCTTGTCGACATGGTGTTATTACGGTGTATTACACTTCCCTTTAATATTGCTTAGAAGAAATGAAATGAATGTGAATTCAAAGGTTTACTTATTATTCAATATGTAAACTGATCCGGTTTATCTTTAAAATTGGCTTGGGCAGTATATCAAATGCATCTTACAATAAATACTTCGAAGGAATAATGTAATTTTTTTATAATTTATTCGTACTTCATTTGTAGAATATTTTAGTTTTCATTTTCATGAAATTACGTGAGACTTTAACTTAATATGGCCTAAATTATATGTAATTTATAGGGCCCTGGGACATATCGGTTACAAACTTTATATGAATACAACCGTAGGGTAGAATCTCACTGTATTAGTAGCTTGCAAACGAATATGTTGCCCGCCACTCGCTAATTCCAACAGAGAAATTATAACGTGAATTTATAAAAGTTATAGAATTTAGTTATTATATTTGTGCAGTTCTTACTTTAATCCCGAGAATAACTTCTCAAAATAGTTTAAAACAAAGTTGCTGTGTACTTGACTGTTTCTCCGCTTATTCGTTCTAAGGTTTTTACTAATAGAAAGAGCGGTGAACAAAGAAGGCTTGAATATGATAATTTGTAAATAATTTGGACAAAATTGATGAATTATGAGAGTGTTATACCATAATCATTAAGCAAGTTTTTGTATGCTTAGATGGTATGCAGATGAACTTCACACGAGCTGACAAAATTGACGATTAAACTTCTAGAAATTATCTAATTTGTAAACCGTACCATTGTGGATTCCCATTCGAATATCAGTCTTATGTTTACAACGATAAAGCAGAGAATACGTTTTACTACTATTGTGGTTGTGAATAAAAAATGATGACGTATGCGCTTTATTATAAATTTAAGTAAAACGAAGAAGCACATTTTAATATTTGAATCTAGGTAATAATGGTATTTTATCAATTGAATTGTAATCTAAAAAAATGATTTATTCAATTTAGAGCCTATTTTTTATTAAATTCTAAATGTAATTTAAGGAATTAAATTTACTTTAGATAGGGCTCCGTTCGAAATCCGTCGGAAACATCGCGTAATCACAAATGTTCCTTATTATACTGCAATTGATTTGACATTTTTAAATTATTATCGCCTGATTATTTTTATTAGACTTCACATTTGCCAGAATTACCTTTATACCTATACAGATGATAGCACATAAATTTAAATGCTATGGCGCTTGTAAATAAGAGTATTTTTCAAATCGTTTCCTGTGGTCTTCGATCAACACTATTGTTGATCGAAGCCTGTAGTATATAATATCAATATTCACTAATACGACACTCGAACTGGTATTCCTATTCGCATGAGCGATAAACATATTATGTTTGTTTCTTTCAATTTCGTCGTACTCTTCTGCGTTCCTCTTTCATGTAGCGATGTGATTACTTTAGAACTCGAATTTAATAATAAACCTATAGCCATTTGAAATACCGTGATATTATAGGTGATCACTTTAAACTAAAATATAACAATCAAAATTAACAACGGAAATTCTGAAACAAACTTTTTTTTGCATCTAACTCGAACTCCGAAAAGTATTTCGTCTTAAATTAGTTTATAAGTAATCATCTATCATAATATTAAAATTTAAAAAACCTACGAAAACCAATACAGAATGTACGAGAACTGTTAACGAAGGCGAAACGGCAACAAAAAGTGCATGACGTATTTAAAATAAATCTTAATTTGGAAAGTTAAAGAAAGAAAAAATACTATTCTATTTTTTTTAAAAGAACTACAGATTTTAATAAAGCATAAATATAATAAATACATTGTCCAATTGTTATACAACAAAATGAGTTGAATTTAATAAAACTTTTGATTTTATTTATTGCCATGAGATTTTATAAGATTTTACTAAGTCTTTCCCCCCGTTATGAGCTCACGTAATTAATGGACACTGCTTTGGACCTATTATGTATGTCCGTTGCCCTGAAAATTAAACGCGATTTAGAAAACAGCACTAAGATCTGTCCAATATTTCGTATTTGGGATTTTTTCAAAAAATTAATTTTAATAAGGATTGACTTTTATATTTTATAGCATTAAGTGAAATGTTAGTTAATTTTGAATCAATCTCAATGGTACATAATATATTTAACTACGATAAAAAGATATTTGCCGTCTTATTGATATCTAAAAGTATGAGTTGTTGTTAATGTTAATCCGGCCTAACTTTTATTTTTTAGTTTTTCGTAATATATTGTTCTAAATTTTGTGTCATTCGAAGAATTAGTAATATAATTTTGTAAACTAAATATGAATATAAATAAGACTGTGTTAACGTTTCCCATCACAACTGAAGTTTTTAATCGGTAATTCGGATAATTAATATTTTGATACGGACAGCTTCACAAAACTCCTCAATTGAATAATGCTCTTTCTCGTTTCTCGAAAATTATTTGAGTTTTTTCGGGAGAAATTCCCAATGTGGGACATCACCTAAACATGGTGGATCCTTTCCTTTGATTTTATAATTATTGGAGGCCTGCTTTATTACGGTCAAGAAGCACTTTTAACAAGATCAAGGGTCTATTATGATAGTGGTTCAGAAAGTGCTGTAAAACTTTAAAAACTGTATTACTAGTTCTTATGTTTTTTAAGTTTAGAGTAGAGTTTTATTTTTAAAGTGGTTTTCGACTAAAACGGAGTTGATAACTTCTAAGTATTAGGACTCGAAGTCTTTTTAATTCTAACGAATTCATTACGTTCTGTAAGTAATTGATAATTTCAGATTTTTATCATCGCACCTTCCTTTCTTCTAAAATAGAGGCTTTTTATTGTTGACTACCGTGATTCTATTCATAGTATATAGATTTTGTAAATACTCAAATGTTTCAATACCGAAACGATTATTCTTTTAAAATATTGATTTCACTTTCAATTCAATAAATGATTTAAATTTTCTAAAACTGAATGTTGTTTCTTTTATGAATGTCACGAGTAATTATTGCATCCGGCGTTATATTGGAGCCTCATTTCAGTTAGCTAACTAAAGTTGATACCTGTAAAATTTGAATGTAATGTTATTATTTGAACATTCGCATTCGTTAGTACAGCGAGCCGAACCTTAATTTTGCCGTGTGGTGACAATGAATAACGATTGCAATTAATAAATTTTATTTTGTTAATTGTTACCATCGTTGAAACATTGAAGCCAGTAGTGGCTAGAAATAAATGAATGAAAAGAGCCGCAGACTGAGCTCACTGACGTACATTAGGAGAATCCGATCCAGCAGTGGACAACGGGATTGCTTAATTAATATATTTAAAAATGCAAAATCGTGGGAAAAAAATAGGTCACAAAACAATTATTATACATAGATTCTCGATTTCTTCCAAAAAGAAGTTCATAAAATATCCACAAATTCCCATTATTTTACTCGAAAGATTCTTTCATTTTCATTTTAATAGACTTATATATATTGTTTTTATCTTACCTCATTAAATTGTTGGCTTTATTTTTTACCTTTTGTTTTTTGCCATAATGGCTACGTACCCTTTGCCGGTCCAGTGGAAAAATTATAGAAATAACTCTTTGACATACCGTAAAATGGGGCGATTCGGGACAAATTCCAACTTTATGAGCAATTTTAAGGTAGTTGTTGATGTATATAATGCTATATCAGGATCAAAATGATTGAGTCTTGGGGGCATCTTTGTTGTCTAATTTAAAATTATGCAACTAGCATTCCAGTTTAAGCAAAAAATGCAAAAATAGGTGTAATCCCTATTTACCCGAAAATTGCGGTTAATTGGGACGAAATGAGAAATTTGCTAGGGTTGGCACTACTTTTATTTTTATATATAGTTTTAATTTATTTATTTATTTAGTTGCACCAACAAAGTGATCATCAATAAAAAAAATTGAAAAACTGACAAAAGTACATGGCAGACATCACCTCAATTATAGGTGCAATCGACAGTGCTGATATTTCTATCTGGGTTAAGAGATTAGGTGTGTCGGTTATTCCATGGATTAATCAGATGAATACCCCCACTCTGAACAAATATTAAATATTTTATTATGTATTACTTAGACATTTTTGTCCACCTTGAGATTTCATTGATCTTGTTACATGTCTCTGCAAAATCGACTTACTTATATTAAATTGCTTATCTATTTCAACTAAAGACTTATTCCCAATTTCGCTTCGAATAAACCAGATTTTTACCAACAAATTTAAAAAATATTGTTATAACTACATAGACAACCCTACAAACCTGTACCTATTTATACTTAGGTCGTTTCCATTTCACGTATTCTCATCCCAATTGACCCCTTTTTCGTTGTTATTTGTACCTAAGACGTCCCCAATATCCCCAAAAACAACAGATTTTTACATGTATTTTTATTTAATCAAATACATTAAAACCAATAACAACTGAGACTTACCTTTAATATATATGCTGGTTCAAACACTAAATAACGTTTATAAATCATAGTCGTCTTCTATTATTATCAAATAAATAAAAGAGAGCAAAGTTTCTAGCACTAAAATAATTACCACCACAGGAAGTTAATTTGAAACGCGATTTTTTATAAGTTAGCAGCTATTATCATGCATATTCAGAGTTGTTTTGTGAACTTTCAACATTCTACTATTAAACTACAAAAAATGGAAGATTTTGCAACGAATATAAAACTTATATTGAGCGTCGAAAGATTTTCCCGGTTTTTTCCCGATTCGCCTTTCAATCCCTAATCGCCCCATTTTACCGGTAATTTATTTGTCTTATTTGTGTTGTTTGTTAGCTTATTTTATTTACGTGCTTACGTTTTAAAATCATTACATAGTAATAATATTACAGTAATCACAGTGTTATTGAACACATGACAAATTAATATAATTTTAAACACACGAAAAAGTACCTAACAAAAAAATTGAGTATTCTTATAATAGTCTTGCCAAAATGAGTAGTGCCTTAGAATCGAACCAAACTATTAATTCTTCAATGGATATATCACAATGCGATAGTAATGAAAGTATGGAAACAATCAAAACAAAACAATACCTAAGAAATTTATTAAAGGCACGAATATTTCTTGGACGATATCTGGAAAGAAGACTTATCGATGAACGCATTGGGTATCGCGATATTGTTCTTCTTAGTACTGCTGAAGTTGAATTGAAGAACGACTTAACAGAGGCCCTTCGCAAGCTCCGTACTTTGTGTCCTAAAATTCATTGGATCGGCATTACTGACTCACATGTTGTTGGATGTGGTTCATCAGGCATTTGTATTTGGACTGAGATAGATAATCAACCACTGGGTCCTTTTTGGTTTCAGATAAAGAACTTAAAATTCAAAGAGCTTGAGATTATCATAACATTAAAGTGCTTGCGACACATTTCCGATTCATTCTTAGAATTGGAGCCAATATTGATTGGCAAATCTAACAAAACAATAGAGAGATTAGATAATAAAATAGAAAACAGTGTAGAAGTATTAAATGAAACATATACAGAAGTTGTTGGTACCCTGAAGAATGCATTGTCAATTCGAAATGCCAAAGAATTTTTTACATTTTTATTAGTATTTGTTATTGCAATAGTCACCGGCAGTGTTTCTTTTGTAAATTTTATAGGAAATTTCATTCTTGCTCTGATGAGGGAGTTATCCATGTTAATAAAAAACTCTACACCTATGTTTTTGGGGCTTTTAGATTTTTTTAGTAAAATAGTAGGTGGATTTTATATATTGCTTGCAATGTTATTCAAACAGAATGCTCCTGCACCTATGGACAAGAGAAGTTTAGCACATTATGATAACTATGCTCAAAATAAACATTACAATCGTCAATTTGATTAATTTTAATTCTTTGAAAAAGCAATTTAAAAGGTTGTCTAAATATATTGAGCGCAATTTATATTGTTAAATAAACCACAGATTGAATATAAAAGCATAGATCTCATTTTAGGAATCTTAAATTATATCAAAATTTAAGGGAAAAAATCATAATTTATGATTTAGCCACTAAACAATATTTTAATGCTATTGCTATTGTTTAAAGTGTATTTTAATATTAATTACAAAGTAATTTAAATAAAAGTGCATTTATGTAAATGTATTTAATATTTTTATTGCATAAAGTTTATATACTCTTTAAGATATTTTATACAAAAATGTTACAATGTTGTAAATGTGATTGATTTTACTACACTTTTTGTTTAGCTTTATTTTTCTATTGGCACAATGATTACTGGTTTCCTTGACTCAGCTGGAAAATAAAGGTGTTGTTATTAATGTGTATTTTGTTTTAGCAAATTTTATATGATTAGCTTAACATGGGAAACAAAGTTAGATCTAAATTTTGTTAGACATAAAATATTTTGTTTTCGACTTTCTCAAGGTAGGTTGTGACATTTATTCCCTAGATAATGGTTAGTAGCCAAAGGGCTATTCCAAATATGAACGGTTTGGTAAGTGAGCTCATGCTCTTAGTGCTCAACTTGGGAGGTTAGTTATTTTGGTCCCGAATGACGTCACACAATGTAATTAAATTCAGTAGGAGTTATGTAGTGCAGCTATTTTCAAATTTATTAAAAAGTTCCATTGTAATTGGCTTATGGTGCCGAAAATTTAAAAATAAATTGGATAATATAAGAAAAAGGGGGGTTATACTACCCTAACGCGAGATTAAAAGTAAAGTAAGGCCAACCAGACGAGATAAAAAATGTAAACAAAGTTTCAGGAGTAAAAAACATTTTTATTTCAATAAATTATTACAAAGTTCGAATTTTAATCGCTGTCATCTGTACTAGACAAAGATGATTCGTCGGAAGAGTACGAGTCAGCTGTGTTTATGATAAAACTATCTATTGTATTATCAATCATGTTGTCAATATTGCTATTGTCCTTAAAATTCTAACGCAATCCAAACAGGAATGAACTTGTTCACAAAATGGCGAACCAAATGTTGACAACTGCGGTACTCAGTGCTTTCCTGTACCACGAAACCATAGACCTTTAATTCAGTGCACGAAACACACAACGACAGCTGTTGTCGACCAACTGACGCCATAACTGCGCGAACGAGTGATAAGGACAGAGATAATAATCCCTTGCTATCGCAATGTAACTCAGTAACGGTCCGCTTGTTTACGTTTATTATCTCGTCTGGTTGGCCTAAGTTTAGATTAATTTTGTAAAGTATATAATGTGAAAATAGCGGCAATATACATATTATTACAGTGCAATAATTAAATCACTCAACCTTTAGTTTTGGATGGTTGCCGATATTTGTTTAATAATATTAATTTAGACTTGTTGATCTTCTTAAAATGCATTTTCTTCAAGGATATTTGGATTGATTCATTTACTAGATGCGTTGGCTGAGAAATAAATTTAGAAGCACTCATTACCTAGTCTCATCAATAGGTAGTTAACTGGGAACAACTCAGGCATGGTCATTTGGCCCCAACGTAGGATTTTCTGTGTTATGGGTACCAGAAACCGACAAACACACTTATATATACGTTTAAAGAATCACACGAATGCCGATGCGGGAATCGAACCCACGACCCTCGGCGCAATAGTCAGGGCTGCTAACTACCGCATTACAGAGTCAGTTAATTATTTTACAGAAATAACAAAAGAACAAATAAGATAGGACAAAAAAAGATCAAGTAGACAAAATATCTTTAAATTCCAGGTCTGACATGAATACTACGATATTTTTCAAAAAAGTCCTCAGTGATAGGCAGTGCAGTTTGGATGTGCTTCGGACGTCTACAAGTAATCTTGACGATACACATTACGTTGACTATAAACTAGACGGCCTTCGCCGGACTAAAAAATACATTTGCTGCATAAAATTCATTACCTCTGTGCCGACACCAGCGGAAACTGTAGTTGTAAGGTAACGATCATCGTCATTTACCTTCGGTGATAAATTGCTCAGTATATTAGTAATGACAACATTCATTAGGCTATTATCGTGCTGAGTTAGTAATGATTTAATTAAATTAAGCATCTCCGGTAAAAGTTTGATGAGCTCTATTTGCCCATCTTCTTGTTTACTAAGATTTTGTAGTAAATCTAAATGAGTTAGAAGTTCGTCCAGAGTCATGTAGTCTTTATAGTTTAACAGGATATTCAATATTTTCCTTCCGTATCCTTAAAAGAGCAATGATAGATAATGTAACCACGTCATCAACTACAAATTTTCATTGGGTCTAGTCGGTATAAACTGGAATAATTTTGGGTCTTTTCGATTGATAACTTTTATAAATATTCCAATATTGGATTGTATTCGAACTTTTATTAATATGGTTATAGAGATTGTAGAGCCCAATATATTCTTTACCTTCGCGAACAGCTTGACAGTTATATGCGAAATTTGAAGATTCGTTTAACGGAGGATGCATTAAGTTTATTGTGCTGGTTAGAAGCTCGATAGTATTCGATTCTAGTTTGGACGATTTCTTTCGCAAAACTTTCTTTATTTCCGAAGTTATTTTAGAATTAAAGTTAAGATATCGTCGACCTTCTGTAAGCTGTGACAGTTTGAACAGTAAATACGCTGTTGAGTTCTGAAACAAAATTGGTTGCTATCCGATTAAGTATCTTATCATAAGTTAAGTAATCCTACTTTAAGTCTTTAAGTATCTTAAGTTAAATTATAATAAAAGCTAGAAGAATTTGGCTTTAATAACTTACTTGAACTACAACGTCTTTGAGATCCTCGTATCTAGATGGCCAATTAATAAACGTGAAGACTAATGAATGATCTTCAAAAATATTACACAGATCTGCATGTGAAACACCTTCCATTATTTCCGCTTTTTCAGCGAATGAAGATTCGGAAAGAGCCTGTTGAAATTGTATAAATCAATACACACAATAGCAAGGATCCAAATTTAACGAGCCACGAAGAATGACCTTGGATCATATTCATGCCCCACTTATGAGCACCAATATGGACCACCAATTGGAATAAGTCCGGTTATTTTCTCATTACAAAAAAGTGGCCAATGCAAAAAAGGGGTTTGTACGAAACCAGTGTAGGTATGTGCGGCGGCGTAGAGGAACGGGTGGTTGTACACATAAATAATAAAATGGTGGCAGTCGACGTGAAGTAATGAGGCACAAGTTATTTTATTTATTTATAATTACATTACCTTTAGAGCATGAGGTAGAGCATCAGTATATCTTGAAAGCAAAAACGGTATAATCTATATGTGCCAATTTAAAAGAGAGGGGATTTTCAACTTAGTAGCATTAACATTACGGTCAGTTCATAGGTTGTGACTAACATAATTCTATTACCTTTAGTGATTATAGTTAGTTTTAACGATAGATTAAATGATATTTATATTTTATATGAACAAGTGTTAGTAAGCACTCACTTCGTTTAAAAATACAAGCGCATTTTTTGTGTACGGTCCACCCATATACAGGAACTTCTTGACTATGCGAACATTTTTTATAATTTCTCCAAGTGTATTTGTAAAATGTTTCGTATCTTCATTAAAATGAATGATAAAATCATTGAATTCTTCTCTATTAAGACAGTGACATTTTCTTATCAATCTTTTATACACAGAACAATCTTCATCTTCATTCGTCTATACATAGGTATTGTATGGGAAATGAAAGGAATTTTGTTTGTGGATAATTATTTGTCACCTAGCTGTAACTTATTAAATTTTGGTAGATCGAAGACAATATAAGTAGATATTATTCATTATGGTCGAAATTAAAGTTGGGACTTATAGAAAGTATAGATGTTCGTTTAATCGCGTGTTGTGCTATGTAGGGATTAATTATAATCTTAAAATTTTAAACGATGTTATTTCTTTAAAATCTCACAATAATCTCGACAATATAAAAATTAATTCTGGTATTAAAATATTACGATAGGCCTGTGATTGTAACAGGAAGTTGCACTTAACGCATTTTTATTAATTTAGTATTAGCTTGGTCTATCTATTGACGAAATTAAAAGTAATTTTTACCAACTTCAAGTCATCCGACGAACTTGAAAATTTCCACATCAAGAAAATAAGATAAAAATATACTTTTTTAGGGCGACCTAAGCACAACCATCAGTAAAAAGTGATTAACTTTTCAGTTCGGCTTGCTATTTTAACTTAGCTGAGACTTATTAAACGTATTTAAGAAATAAATATTGTGAAATAGGTTTTTACGACAAGAATTCTGAGGAAAATGCCGCGTCCATGATAAATAAATGCAAGTACCGCCCCAATAACATTCCGATGGTCGATTTCTTTATTATAAAAAAACATAATAGCATACGTCGTCCAGTAATGGAATCGGCCTTTCATTATTGCGGTCCTCCACATATGAAGTGTTTCTGTGGATTCTCAATTGGATTTCTTCAACTAATAAAAGTAGTCTTTTTGTACTTTGTTTTAATTCGTTGACCGGATCCTGGGTATTAAAATTAAACAAACATTATTACGCCTTTATAAGAGCCAACTCTTTCAGTATTTCATAACTATATATAGGAATATTATAAGAACTTAATCGTGTTCACTACAAATTCTTTTATTATTCTACTTAACAATTCGATCTGATCAATGATCCCCCAGGATTGAGGATTGAAATAACGAAAAACGCAAAATCCATTGAGCGACTTGGGTCGCTAATTAATTGGATAATATTACAGGCGTAGATATTAATATACAGGTAAGGAAAGACAGGAAAGGTAGATGGCAAACGTCCCAGAGGACGCAGTCCCACGAGATGGTCGGACCAAATACGATCTTCTCTAAGCATCAACTTCCACAATGCCCTTCATGATGAAGCTAAGGATCGCAGCAGATGGAGGGAAATCGTACGGGAGAAACTGATGCAGCGGGGGAGTCGCGGCCCTCAATAATGAGGAAAATGACGCGAGGAGGAGGAGGTATTAATATACTACAGTTAAAAGCGATGGAACATTAATAGATCAGTAGAACAACAACAAGCGATCTTATTTTAATAGATACATTTTACTGGTCTGGCCGTATAGTCCTCAATAATGGTTGCGAAAAAAAATTGGTTTGGTCTGTGTCTGTTTTAATTACATATTGAGTAACAAGGAAATAAATAACCTTTGGTGTTTAATATAAAATTTAATTTAAAATGTAACGACAACTGTTACGTACTTGTTTTAAGTGATAGAAAGACTGTAAGGATTCTTTACATTCTGCGTATTGTCGCATCTGTTGCATATTAGACTGTTCATTCTTGGGTATTTTAATATTTTCCTGATTCACAAAAGGAGTCCATGACTTATCGTTGAACTCAAATAAGTTTTTGAAAGGATATTCTCTTGAAATAATACTTTCAGTCTGTTTTTGTGTGCTGTTTTGTGATAGAATGTTACTATTCGATGAATTTTCTGAATCGTATTTTTCTTCAAAGCTTATATTTTCCATGGTTTTAATTACTAATCAATGTTAATTTTTTCATTAGTTAGCTTCATTTAAAGTGTTCATATTTAAAGAGTCTTATGAAATTGAACTACCGCAAATGGCAAAATAAAAATATCATTATGTATTCAGCACATTCAGATACACCAAATTATGAGAAATAGAGGCTATAATAAATTTTACACATTTCGACATTTTACATTGTTATATATTAAGACTTTTAGATTTAATTTTTCTATTCTCTTCTGTCGTGTCAGGCGTCGTTGTCATTTAAGTGACAAAGAGACTATAATGTATCTTAAAGTTGTATACGATTCTGCTGAGTGTTGGTAAATTTCGAACATTTATGAATATGTACTATTTTTTTGTTGACCAAAGACGGCGTCACTTAGCAGGTTATCGAAAAAAGTCAGCTCGATTGATATTAGAATTGACGGTATGTTGTTCCAGATTCAACGGCCTCTAGTAATAAAATTGTAGCCTGTTTACAGTACAGTTTCACAATCCATACGGCTCGGAAGCGAATGTACTTTCAAAGAGTAATGCGGGATTTACATTACGAAATTAGTGTCATGCATGTTGAACTCAGTTTCACGAAAGTAGTTTCGATATATGCGAAAGTAATTTCGTCAAAAAATTAGTGTCGCGAAATCCACAGTATCACAGTAACCATGGCGCCATCACCATCAAAGCTAAATTCTATGCTATATGCTATATTCAATGTAGCTAAAGAAATGCTTATATACCTATACCTAAACTTAAAAAAAAGACTATCAAGAAAAAAAAAAGGTTGGTAGATTCGAGGATGGTCAACAAGAAGGCATTTAGGTGCAATGAAGTTAGTCTCTGAATTAACAGATTATGAAGATCCTGAGAGTTATAAAAACTATTATCGAATGAGTGAATATAATTTTTTACTGTAGGTGTTTCGGGTCCCAGAGACACCGTTGTCGCTGATATTCATTAATAAGATCTATATTTTTATCTGTACTCCATCGTTGGTTTGCCATTTTCAACGTTTGTAGCGCGTCCGAACTAACAATACACACGTCCGCACAGCGCAGGCCCTTTCGCGACATTAGTTTCACGTCGCGTTTACACTATGAAATTAGTTGCATGACAATAATTTCACCAAAAAATCGCGCAGGGCACGAAACTAATTTCCATGCATGAAATTAATGCATGCATTACGAAAGTATTAAATTACACGTGAAACTGTTAGTAAAACTAATGTCACGAAATTAATTTCACGCCACTAATTTCGTAATGTAAATCCGCCTTAAAGGCCGTATCTGGTGGGAAGGTAGGCCGATCGCGGCCCCCGATCGCATTTAGTTTGAGCACTCAAACGCTGTCTGCAGATACGACCGTTTATACACTGCAATTTTTTTTTGCGGTAATCATTATTTAAATTCAATAAAATGATGGAAACTGATGCGAGTTGAATTAAATAAATAAATAAAATATTTGAATATCGGTTGGATCTATTCTATCTATCTATCTATTATACGAATTGTTTTATTTGTTAATTTCATATTGAGTTGTAATTACTGTGTGGTAACCGAATTTCTCATTTCTTTATTAGGACGTACTTATGAGGTCGAGCGTTATCGTGTAAGATCAAAGGAAAGGAGTGATTAACTAAGGCTGGCCGGGGATTGGTGAGCTTCTCCATCATTCCATCCAGTTCCTTACAGTACACATTCACAGTAATTTATTTTAATATACCTATAGGAATTGAAATACCCTTTCAGTGAAATGGTGGTCTTAAATATTAAGTGTACTATGAATGAGGGGGATTTTGACAGTTCAATGGACATATGTTAAGAACTAGGTCTATGTCTAGTCATATGATTAATGAGTCACCACTACGAGGCATTTTATATAAGGTGAAACATTATAACACCAATTTCATAACATTTAGAGATATGTGTGTTTGGATGTACCTATTAGGTACTTTTTTTTCCTACCTAAGCTTGTAGCCTTGAGAGGCTATTTCAGCGGAACCTTAACTAGTAGATGAGCTCACGGGGCCCAAACCTGACAACGTTGCTAACACGAACCCTAGCAAGAGCCGTGCTTCGCAGAATCTACTACCGGATCGGAATCTCGACCCACTGAGAAGATCCGGCGAGAAACTTAGTGGGCTGTGTCTGAGGGTTAATTTACTCGTCGAGCCCTTCGTCGCAAGCGACGGGTTCGACGAGAGCGGTGACCGGTGCTTGAGTTATCTAAAAGCACCGTTAGTGGATCGGGAGGATCCGAAATGACGTGTTTGGGGCAACGTCGACTGCTTTCCATTCTTTCCGCAGGATCGGGGATGTAGTTACCGGCGGCCACGATGAGAGGGTTCTCGTGTCGTGCCGTTTTATCGAAGTGGCGCATCGACGCCGGCTGCAGATACTTACTGATGGACTCTAAGTCCAGGTCGTCATAGAGGTCGACGTTCCTGACGAACCACGGGGCTCCGACGGCTATCCTGCAAAAACGGGATTGAATGACTTGGAATGATTTTAAGTGAGTGCGGGCCGCGTGAGCGAATACTACACTTGCATAGGTCATGACGGGGCGTATGCAAGTTTTGTAGAGTGTCACCTTATTTCTAAGGGACATTTTACTTCGCCTGCATATCATCGGGTAGAGACGTCCTAGTATGAAGGCGGCACGGTCGCGTACCGTCTTTATATGGGGGCGGAATGTCAACCTTCTGTCGAGAGTGACACCTACGTATTTGACCTTCGGGGCCCATGGTATAGGTTGGTCGTACATCGTGATTGGGCAAATGGTGGAGGCGGAGGTGTTGACGCGCCTAGTTGGGAGAGGGATGCTCAACGTGGTGTTCGGAGGGCGACCCTTTTTGAAGAGCACCGCTGTGCTTTTCGTGGGGTTGATGTCGATGCGCCACTTTCGGAACCACTGTCCCATGGTGGTAGCTGCGGTCTGAAGTCGCCGATGTAGCAACGACTTCTTCCTACACGAGTAGTAGATAGCCGTGTCATCGACGAAGAGCGCCAGATGGGTCTCCGGAGACCGGTGTATATCATTGATATACAAACTGAACAGTAACGGGGAGAGGGCGGAGCCTTGCGGGACTCCGGCTGTGACGTGACGGGGGCGAGAGCGCGTTCCCTCGACTAGATATCGGAACGATTAGGTACTTAATTCAGGCACCCACTTAAATAGGCTGTCAAATATTAAGTGTATTATCTATGAAATAGGCTATAGAAAAAAATTCAGACTATTTGGCGGGAACGCGAGGAACAAAGTTGTGTGGTTTGTTTTAATTTGTCTATTTAGTGTTTGTTCATATCATCTCATCTCATTTCATTTCATTTCGTCCCAGTTGATTAATGTCTCAAATTCATCATCTTCATTTAATCTCATTTCACTCTATATTATCATTTTTCATAAAAATAAGACGTGATAAAATAAAAATAAGACATGACTTATGGTCTTAGTTACCAGGTCATAAAATCCCTAAAAAAAAAGAAACGAATCGTCCGTTTCAGATTTACAGAGTTTTGCTAATTTTGCTTTTAATTTTATCTATTGAAACATTTTACTGCGAGGAAAATATTAACGGTGCCCTGTTGCATACATACATGTACATTGTATCGATACTGTAAATTGAGGAGTAGAGCTGGATCCATGCTGGTTTTGTGTATTATCTCGAATTATTTTTGAATTGTTTTAGTCATTGCATGGCAGGACGACGGAGAATACAAACGTTACATATCAGTTAAGAACTTAAGTTACAAGAATGAGTAACTTTAAGGGTGTGAACTACGACAGCCCTTGTGATACTGATGACGATTGGACAGATTCATCTGACGATTCGAAATATTCTGATTCCGCAAGGTACATAAAACTAATAGCAAAGCAAAGCAAAATAACTACTTATGAGCTATGATTAACAAATAATGTATTTATTATAATATAACACAAAGCATAATTGATGGCCTTTAAAATGTCTTATTGTTATTTTTGTAAATCTTATAGAGTTACACTTAAAAAATAATAATGCTATAAATTAATTTTAAACTTAATTCATTTTCAAGTTCTGTACCAGAATGGGACTCTGATGTTGAAGAGAATGGTGAACTGGTATTTATAAGAATTAAAAGAAGAAAAGAAAAATGTAATGAAAATAAACCACCATTGTTAGAGAACTGTGAAACATTTAAACTGAGAAATAATTTTAAAAGAACCTCAACTAGGCGATCGACAAAAGGTTTGTTTCGCAAATCATGATCATCTTAATCAGCTATTATATCAGCAGTAAACATTTTTTTAGGAGAATAACAATGATTGTCATCAATTAAAACCTGTAAACATAGTTTTAAAATTTAATAGGAGCAAATGAATATATAGTATTTATTAAAATGCGAAACAAAAATCTGTGTTAAAGCCTTTTTGTTACAAAGTCCTATAAGTTTGATTCAAAATACTCTCCATACTATGCATATATTATTCTTCTCTGCTAAAGAGTGTATTATAGACATCCACAAATTTATCAGAAACCTCACAAAAAAACACCTTTTGCCTCCATATTTTAAGGCAGATTCTGAAGTTATTGTATTTCAGGTAAAATCTTTAAAGTATTAAAGGGACAAAGCTCAAAAAATAAAGCACAAAGCAAGAAGAAAGACTTAGAGAATATTAGAGCCACAAGTACTGCTACTTTAAACACAAATGAACTGACAGAAAATTCTAAAGAATCTGTAATAATTCAGGTATGTACCTACTTTTAATGAAGGATTCATTACATTATTTTTGAAAGTAATAACTTAATAGGTACTTAAATTATTTAAAAAGTGACAAGTTACGCAAATGTCCAAGATATATTATTTGTTAAATAATTATTTTATTTAAAAAAAAAGGCTGTTTATGTTGTAATGCTTTATTAGTAAATGCTTTTTGTTCAGTTTGCACATGTTTTGGTACTTTATTTATTTATGCAAGTTTTACATGTGATTCATAATTATATTAATGCTATAAGGGTATTATTATTTACTTTTTAAAGATAATATGAACTGAATGTAATATATTTCCAGGTAAGCAGGAATATGATTTTCAGCAGTGAAAAGAATTGTCAAATAGAAAAGTTGTTTGGTATTAGTTTGGAAACCCATTCTGATGGAAAATCTTTGATTGTTGCTGATTTTTTAACAGAAGCAATGCCTATTTATGGATCTAAAGTGAAAAAAGGTTACTACTTTACAAAAGTCAATGGCATTGAAGTAAATTCTTATAATATAAATAACATCCTCCAAAGAGTTTATGAGGAACCCAATAATCCAAAACTACAGTTTCAAATGCCTGAGGAGAGCTCTTTAATATCATTAGAACGACTTCTGAAATCAAAGAATTTACCAGAAAATAAGTCAACACAATTATTAAAAGATTTCTCATGTTCTGTATTATACATTTCCTGCAATGATATAGAAAACACTAGAAATGATGATAAAGGAGTAATATACTGTTATCCAAGGCCTTTCAGTCAAAATTTTCTGTACAACACAAGAGGTGCTTACCTAACATTAAACCATTTAGCACCAAAGTCATTGGGAACTAGTGAGCCAACATGTTCAACAGTTCTTCACAATGACAACTTAATTCATGTGAATTACACATCCCATTGTAACGATTTGCTACTAATAACATTTCCAAATAAATACATAGATGCATTTTCATCCAAAAAAGTAAATGCAGACATAGTGAAACTATTGGAATTTTTGTATGGATCATTGAAAACTTGCTTCACAAAACCTAACAATGTTGACAGACTGGATAGTTTATTCTGTAGAATTTTTGTTACTTTGCTATTCAATAATGAGCAAGCAAGTGCTTCTGATGTTCACTTTGAAGATATCTTAGCTGCATATTCTGTGACCTTGCCATTAGAAGTAAGAGTGCAAGTTGATGACGCCATTACAGAATTGGAAGCTGCTGATTATAGAGAATGGGTATGTTCTTGCTCTTTATACAATCTTTAGCCATATAGGTGATCATACAATTTTACAGTCAATCTCATTATATGTGGCCATTGTTCATCCTGATTATCTAACATTAATGCCAGAGGTGCTTCTGAATTATGGTTGAATATTTATATATAAATCCCACTTGAAAAGAGATAAAAAGAGATAAGCAGTAACTCTGCAAGGCCTTATCTGTTAGCATTGCTAGTTATTGTTTATTACTAATAAGTTAATTTTCAAATTTTCAGACAGATGATTTTGAAAACTTTCAACGTCTCTACACAGTAATAGGGTCATGCCTGTATTACTCTGGTCATTTGTTAAGTTCTCATTTACAAGATGAAGACTTGAAAGAAATAAATGCTTTTTTAAAACTTAACGGAGTATTGGCATTAAGTACTGATAATGAACTGGAAAAACTTGTTATGTGGAAGGAAGTTTTTATTCACGAACATAGAAAGCAAAGCAAAAATGATGGGCAGGACTACAGGTAGATAAAGCTTAATTCTTTCACTATTGCCATTTTTTATAGTTTACTGACTTGGAATATATTGCATTGTTATAAAAACTACTTACTGTTTCAAAACTTAAAAACCTGTTTTAAATTTTCTGTATTTATGTATTGGAATTGTAAAAAAATTGAAAAAATGTTTAACACATTCCATGAGCCAGTAACGACCAACCAACTGGTAATAGAGATGGCGGCCATAATCATATAATAAACAATTATGAAATGGCATTTTACAGTTTATTGAATACAATATAGATTGGTAATAGATTTTTTATTTATTTTTCATATTCAGGATACCCGATGGGCGTTGGTTCTTACTCATAGTTGGCAAGGGGCATTTCATTTTAGCTACATTAATGGAAGCCGGTGGATGTACCGAAGACGTATGTAAATGCACAAAGTTTCAATGTTATATTGTTCAAACATGTACATATATACATAGCGTTCTTTTTTGTAGGCTGTTGGTGTTACACCCCCTTCGCCGTTTTACGTAGAAGAATGCGAGAGCTGCCTCGAACTTTTCTATGAAGTAAGTCTGGATAAATATCTCGCTTCATGGTTGTCATCAAATACACACCCACAGATCGAAACAACTCCAGAACGTCTCACTAAATACGGGAAGAAAATGAAGGAAATGAACTGTAAGTATTTTTCTTTAATAAAAAAAAAAAAACAAAACAGTAGTAATTAAATGGAGTTAGATTGATATTACTAGTAAAAATAAACAATCTAATAGTGGTTTGCAGAAGCAGTCGCCCTGAACGCGTCATTTTCGATGCTCCCAATCCACTCACAGTGCTCTGCTTTTAGGCACTCGAAACTGATCACCGTTCTCGTCGAATGCGACGAAGAGTTCGACGACCTAGCTTAGAAACACAACCCACTAAGTTTTCACCGGATCTTAGTGGGTCGCTATTACGATCCGGTGGTAGATTCTGCGAAGCGTTGCTCTTGCTAGGGTTGGTGTCATCGAATTCTCTTAGGCTGAGTCCCGTGAGCTCGCCTATCAGCTAGATGAAGCTGGAATAGCTCGTCGAAGCTACCAGTGAATGGCTCTGATTCAATTAATAAACATGTTAGTTTATTATTTAACTAGTTATTGGAAATATTTAATAATATTAGAAATTAATACAAAGGAAAATAATTTTGTATAAGTAAAACAGGTTGTATTTTATAAATTTACAGCCTTTAGAGCAGACACGCTAAGACCAACACTGAGAACATCAAAATCATCAGCAGATCTAAAGAAACGCCACAGTTCCTCTGAACAAATATACATGGGGTCCAGTTTGAGTGATAATTCTAATTACGGAAGCCATCACAACCTTTACAGTCAATGGTATCATGGCACGCAGAAGTACAGACACTCTAGTTTAGATGTCAGCCATTCAGAGGACTCGAACAGCCTCAAGAGTAACAGGTAAAATGTTAATTGTCAATATCTATTTATTTACTTCTTCTCTGTATTTTATTTTCTTCACTTTGTTTCTTCTCTTTACATTTGGCTATAAAAAAACTACTTCTTTAAAAACTACTTGTATAAACCAATGTTGTTACTTTGATATTTTATTAATGAAGTTTAACGGTGTCTGTGTTTTAGAACTTCAATTAATATTTAGTTAATAATTCAGTACTAATGAAGTCATGGTTTGTGATTTTAGCCAATTATATACATATACTAGGATATATGTATATACACCAATTTCCTAGGACAAATGTTATCTTATTTTTAATTCGCCAATTGTCCAGAAGCAGCTATGGAATAAAGAACTAATTTATTTTCATCGTGTTCAAACGAACCAAGTTTCATTATGACTTCGATTAGTCAACGTTGAAAATAAGTTTTTTTTTTTTTAGGGATTTTATGACCTGGTAACTAAGACTTTGAAGTCATCTTATTTTAATTTATATTCTTATTTTTATGAAAAATGATAATATAGAGTGAAATTAAATGAAGATGATTAATTTGAGACATTAATCAAGTGGGGTGAAATTAAATAAAACGAGATGCAATGATATGAGTTGAAATATAAACTCAGTAAAATGGTGGTCGTTTACTGAGATTTTTCAGTGGACTTTTTGGAGGATCCCGAGAAGTTACGTCCAGCGGCTTTGTTTCATTTTCCTACATTTGTGCACAGACACTAAACCGTTAATAAACCACCGTTATTACACATTTAAACCTGAAGAAACACTAAATAGACAAAATAAAACAAATCACACAACTTCACTCCTCGCGTTCCCGCCAAAAAGTCGAAAATAAGAAATGTCCATCAGTGTTGGGTGACCATGAATATTAGTAAATTGGTAAAATTGCTATTTACACATTTACATAACTATTTTACAGTGAAATCAGCGACGATAGAGTCCAAGGTAGAAGAGCGGATAGAGAACAAAGAAACCGTAGAGATTCTTCGGGATCCGATTCCGATTGGGACAGACAGGTGTTTATTATTCGTTGTTATAATTTAATAACTCAACATGTTATTATTGATGGAGCTCCTTAAGTTTTATGACATATGAGAGGTATTTTAGTATTTCTATTTGAGACAATTTATAAATTATAATTTGTCGAACCTTACGCAGAGAAGACATTCGTCTCTGAATTGAACACCAGTGTTTTTTGAGGTTTTTTTATTGCTTGCATTGGCAAACGTGCTCACGGCCCACCTGGTGTTAATTGGTCACCGGAGCCCATATACATCGACACCCAGCAGTCTTCAACAATGTGCTTTTTATTTTCAAACAGTGGTTATTTCATTTTTTTATACATCCTGTTAAAATTCAACAAAGAAAACTGACAATTCGAAATACCATAAATATTTTGTTCCAGGAAAAGCATGTGTTGACGCTGCTACAAAATATTTTAATTCATTTATGCTCTGGAAGTAAGAAATTTTTCGTTTAGTCTTGGTATTGGTCACTTAGTCTTGGTCTTGCTAGTTTAGTTTAGTTTAGTCTAGTTTAGTTTTGATACCTTTTTTGAATTATTTTTTTTGCAATGATGGTGGACGAGCTCACAGCTCACCTGGTGTTAAGTGGTTACCGCTCATAGACATCTACAACGTAAATTCCGCCACCCACCTTGAAATATGAGTTCTAAGATCTCAGTATAGTTACAACGTCTGCTCCACCCTTCAAACGGAAACGCTTTACAGCTTCACGGCAGAAATAAGTAGGATTGGGGTACCTACGAGGGCTGCACTAAAAGTATCGGGAATGGAATATTTCCACTGTTCCTATCATATTAAAATCTTTTTAATTGAAAACTCCTTAGTTTTAAAAATCGAATACCATTTATTTATTTAAAAAAAGATTCTCGGTCTTGTCACGAGGTTTTGTCAAACTTGTTTAGTCGTTGAGAAAATGGAATTGACTCGAGAAAATTCAAGAGCGATGATTTATTATGACTTTCGAAGTGGTTTAACACAAAAACAGTGTGTTGACCGGATGATTTCTGCATTTGGTGATGAAGCCCCATCCAAAACCACAATTTATCGCTGGTTTGCTGAGTTTCAACGTGGACGTGTCAAGCTCAGTGATGATCCCCGTCAAGGTCGTCCAAAAACTGCAGTCACCCAAGAAAACGTTGATGCTGTGCGTAAGCTGATTGAGGAAGATCGACATGTGACATACCGCGAAATTCAGGCAACTTTAGACATTGGCATGAGTCAAATACAAATAATCTTGCATGAACAATTAGGTGTAAAAAAGTTGTTTTCCCGATGGATACCGCATTCGCTCTGTGAAGAGCAAAAAGCGGCTCGCGTTACTTGGTGCGTCAGAACTCTCGAAAGATTCCACGCAGGATCCTCAAATGCTGTATACAACATTGTATCAGGTGACGAATCCTGGATATACGCGTACGAACCCGAAACAAAAAACCAGTCACGAGTTTGGGTGTTCGAAAATGAGTTAAAGCCAACAAAAATTGTTCGTTCACGGAGTGTTGCAAAAAAAATGGTGGCCACGTTTGTCTCCAAAACCGGCCATGTTACGACTATTCCTCTTGAGGGACAAAGAACGGTTAATGCAGAATGGTATGCTAGCATTTGTTTGCCACAGGTCGTTTCTGAACTCCGTAAAGAGAACTGCAACCGCCGCATCATCCTCCATCACGACAATGCGAGTTCTCACACCGCGCACAGAACAAAAGAGTTTTTAGAGCAAGAAAACATAGAATTATTAGACCATCCGCCGTACAGCCCCGACCTAAGCCCTAATGATTTCTATACTTTCCCTAAAATAAAGAATAAATTGCGTGGACAGAGATTTTCATCACCTGAAGAAGCTGTGGACGCCTACAAAACGGCCATTTTGGAGACCCCAACTTCCGAATGGAATGGTTGCTTCAATGATTGGTTCCATCGTATGGAAAAATGTGTCAAATTTCGCGGAGAATACTTCGAAAAGCAATAAATACATTTTTAAATAGTAATGTTGTGTCACTTCGTTAATTCCCGAAATTTTCAGTGCCGCCTAGGTACCCGTGCGGACTCGCAAGAGATCCTACCTGATATAATTTAAAGATCTCGGTAGCAGTCCTATCTTTAAATCATAGAGCACAGGCAGTTACGAAATAATATACTAACACACTTTTATAAATTAGAATTAATTATGTGGGTGTTTTAGAATTTTTTATCGAAATAACAGTTTTGTTATTTTATTTTACTTCAGGAACCGACAGACATTTTTTCACTTGTCAAGACACCTATTGTGACTGCTGTCTATGTATATGTTTTCTTTGTTTTTGATAAGGGGTTTCTTTACCTATCAACTCCAGCACTACCACCAGTACTTTTGATACTTGATCTTACAAATTTCAGGATGGTAGCAGAGCCAGCGGCAGCATCGACATGACCGACATCAGAAAGTCTTTACTGAACGAAATTAATCGGGTAACTGTTCACCGGTAAGATTTTTTTGTTTTATTAAATGCAGACGAGTGTTATAAACTTTCACTTATCACACTCAACGTCGTGCCTATTTTCCCTGCGAATCAATCAATCTTTCAGTTCGGCATGGATGTTAGGGAAACTGCTAATCCAACTGAATAAAGATTTCGATCTCATTCAAGACCGATTCAAGCAGAGCCTAGTAATTTATAACATAGATAAATATTTATACAACTATAAATTGAAGACATGAGTGGATGAAGGGGATATGATACAATTTTGATAAAACAAGTAACAAACCTTTGTTACTTGTACTTATTCTTCGTATATAACTCCTTCATCAGATGCAATTTCTAAAAATAGCCTTTAAGCAAGGAGTTTTAAGGTCTAATATGGTTTATAGGGACATAATACCTTCATTCAATGTAAATACTCAAAAATCTTAAAAATGATACTTAACCCCTTCATCCATTTATGTCTTCAATTATCCCCTCTCTATATGTAATTATAGAAGTTAACATCGTGGTTCAAATACGATCTAGTAACCGATATTAAGTGATATTTAAACACATTTAACTGATAAAAGTAAGAAGTTTACCTATCAAACCCGCTAAAGGCAGTTGTTGAATTATTGATATAAATAACAGATTTCAATTTTCAGTATCACAACGGGCGAAGAAAACGTTTTGTTTCACTTCATACAACTCGAAGCAGAGAAAGGAATGTTCATAGCTCCCGTGCGGAACATCGAGGAGCAGGCCAATAACGTTTTGTATTCGTTTATCATACGAACATTTCGGAGCGCGTGTAAAAAAATACACGAATTACTTCAGCAAAGTATTAGGTATGAAAGATGTTCTAGTGCAGGGGTTCCCAAACTTATTTTGTGTACTGCCCACTTTGAGAATAAATTCTTTTTTAGCGCCCCTATTTTTTCACCTACTAATAACCACTATAGCGAGAGCTCAGTCGGTGTCTAAGAGTCCTCCTAGATAAAATTAAAAATCGCCTCCCAAGTTTCTACACAACGAAACAAAATTATAATTTGCGTAATTACTGGTCGTAGGACGTCTTTTGAGTCCGCACGGGTAGGTACCACCACCACCCTGCCTATTTCTGCCGTGAACCAGTAATGCGTTTAGCTGGCGGCATTTACGTTGATGTCTATGGGCTCCAGTAACCACTTAACACAAAGTGATTCGTCGACGAACCTTAAAAAATAATTCGAGCTCACTACTCAGTTTTTTTGGTTAATGAGAAAAAAATGCATTTTCTCAAACTTCCTGTCTTGACCACTAGGCCCTGGGGTAAATACAACTTTGCATATAGGCAAAACATCTCTACTGACCGGCGAAGACTCAACCCGCCTCACCATAACAAATTCATAAATTTCACTGCTTTGATTTATATAATTATGTATCTTCTTCACCATGGAAGTCATATATCAATATATTTCAAATTACAGGTTCAAAAGGAACCACGCTCCGGTGAATCCATTAAACAAAATTCTGGTTGCAGTTAAAGAATATGGAATGCTATTTCAAGTTCCACAGGATGTATTGAATCAATGCACTTCCAGTAGGAAAACCAATGAAATATTTAAATTTTGGGTTGTAGGGTAAGTGGGGCTTTTTTAAAGATCACATTAAATAATGCCTTCTTTTAGCACAGACTATATAAAAGCATTTTACAAGCAATCTTCTTTTTTATTGAATAAAAAAACAACATTATTTTGTAAAAACTTCGATTATTTTCGCCTCGACCAATTTACGTGAATACAAACAATACAGCAAGTTACATTAAAATTTATGTTTCATTATGAGTGAAAATGGAGGAAAAAAACTTCAATTTGTAGAACTTAAAAATGAACGCATATTTTGATTTACAGACGTATCTTCAGTGAACCTGAACCGAGAGAGTTGTATATCTGCTACCACGAATCAATACCACAAGACCTGACTGAAGTTGGATATATGTTATCTTATTTGGAATGAAATTTGTCTAGAATAACGAAATAATCATATTAGTGATGAAATGAATCCGTCCTCCTTTTTTACTAATAAAGTTAATGTGCGATGTAAAATGTGTTGTGATTATAATATTCCTTGTGATTCTTATGAAACGCAAATTTAGCTTTTTCTCCGTTTTCACGGTTATATGAAATAGTAGAAAGGATTTTCACTACCCAAATAAAATATCTCCCACTTAAAGCTACTAAACCTCAAAGTAATGTGCCCAGAATAGAGTGATGTGATCATGTTGGATTTCCAGTTCTGCAATGACAGCTGGTAGCTACATAATCCATGAACTCTTCCAATCTCAGCATTTCGAAAAATATGTTTGTGTCTCCCAAGCGAAGACATACATCGCTTGTGTGCCTAAGATTGAGGTATGGAGGGCAGAGGTAAGGAGAATCGTCTGGTATGAAAAAGTGTCCGTTAAAATCTGCTAAATAAGGGTGGCGCTACAGTAGCAACCGGGTAAATTTTAAAAAAAGCGCTGAAAGTTATTAGAATAAGATAGAGAAATAAAAGAAAACGAAAGAACTGTAAGCACTACAAAATCACAAAAAGTATTTTATTTAAGCTGATAAAAAAATGCAATCGATGTCTCCACGTTTTACCACAGCAATAATTTTAGCTTATATTAACGAAATTAGTTTGGACTATGTAAACATGTGAGGTCTTGTATATTACACTGTCACTAACTACTCTAGTCATTAAATATATTAAATTTCCTAACTCAGCACACTTCAATCAGTTAACAACTGCTCAATTCATATCATACCTGGTGCCTATGCTAGCGCCATTTTGGAGCATTTTTGAACTGTTATCTAGTACTGAAAGTGGGACACTTTTTCAAGCTTCTCCCATATAAGATGATTCTCCTTACCTCTAGCCTCCATAGATTGAGGATAAAAGGTTTAAGTAATGTGATTAAGGAGTCTATGACAGTCACTGGTAGACGATAGAATAAATTAATTATTTAATTATTTTTACCTCGAGGTCTCAATAAGTTCTATTTTGAAAAGTAGGACAGTGGTTGTTGTATAGAACTCAGACTACAACTCGCATATAAAGGTGCATGGCGGCTTTTACGTTTTTTATGTCTTTAAGTTCAAGTAACTGCTGAATACTAGGTGGGCCGTAAACTTGTTCACCCATATAGGCAATAAAAGAAATCAAATTAACTATTATTATTACTGCTATTACTATTACTAGAAAACTATTTTTTGTTTAATTTAGCTAATTTAGTTTTGTAAAAGTACCTAATCTAACATACCCCAGTTAATAGTCTTAATGATATAGGGAAAAGACGGTGTAATAAAGATGATAATGCACTAAAAAGAAAAGGGTGCATGTACTTATGTACGCTCGTAAGAAGCTATACTTTATTTTTTATTTTTTTTTAAAGATGAATAATTAATAATAAATATTTAACGTTAATAATTTAATAATATTTAGTATGATAATAATACTTTTGTCATTTATATTACTAAAAAATGAATGCTAATAACACTTTTTTTACGAGTGTACATGCGCGAAAGTTCACCTGCGGCTATATTCAGACTCGCCAAGTTACGTCGGTCGTATTGTAATGAGCGATTTAGCGGGCAACTTCATTTCTGTTAATATTGTGTCACGGTGCGCGCGCATAATAAAATTTCACTCTCATCAATTTTTCATAACGCGCCTAAAGAAGTATAACTTAAAAAATAGCAATTATAGAATTTTACTACCATGAATAATTGTGAACAACAGTACTGAATTATAGAGGTTAGAAGAATTATTTATCCACTGGCAGTAGGTAGACAATTCATGTTGTATAACTAATCGCTGGCATTAATTGTTCATAATCGTGATAATTTGTCTCTGAAAAGTTCTGAATGATGCATTTACCGTTAAAAAACACCGAGGTTTAAATAGTATGGTCAGTCTAATTCAAATACATTGATAAAAAATAAGTCTAAAATAATGATTTTTTGGTTTCTAACATGCCGGTTTCAATATTTAACTACGATAGTTTTGCTCCATACACATTATTTAATTGAGGATCAGAAAATATTGAAGCAATTTAAGTAAAAAGTTAGATAAGAATCTTGCATGCCATTAATGTCAGCTTCTAGTTTACATTTTTTGAAGTAAATGGGATTTTTTTAAAGTTGACATCACTTTGTATGAGTGTCTATAACAAGGACTTGGCGTGGCATTACTATTATTTTTGCCATTGAAAAAAACATGCACTACGACGATTGCCGTACTAAAAAAATCTGAAGAAACTGAGCATCCGCTTAAATCATTTATCCAATTTTATTCGTATCTCAATGCCATAAAGACTATAGTAGTATGTTTGTTCCATTATTGACATCATATTGACAATTCGACAATTAAAAAGTTATAGGATGTTTCCGCTATCCGTCGCGTCGTTGGGATTTGCAGTTTGCACTTATGAAGTAAATTTAGCTAGATTATACATGGAGATTAAAATCAGTAACTATTTATTACTTACAAATGTTTAGTGATTTATATGTGTGCCTGTGATCAGTCTTCAAATTGAACGATGATAACAAAAATGCAACCGCAAGCAAATGTAGCAGTGCCACAGTCTGTCACGACGCAACCCCAAGCTCAGCAAATCGTCGGTGTGCCTGCAAATGCTGTGATATTGAAAATGTCGGACTTACAACAAATATCTACTGTGGGTAAGTCTCTGGAAAGGTTTAATATTGAATTAGTTAATATTAAGTATTACATTTTGTCTGGAAATTTGCAAAATTTGCAAATTGGTGCCTACATAGTATGGTATGTCATGTTAGAGTAATGTCTCTTGGAATTTTTTGTACACGTCTTGTTTAAAATAGCGATGCATTCATTTACTGATTCGGATTACTCACGTATTTATAATATTAATTTATGTTTCTAAGATTTAAGTGAAATCCTTTGAAAAAAGCCCGACGCGCTATTCATCAATGACTAAAATGACCCGAAATATTTTAGGTTCTCATTGCTTTTTTGGTGATTAAATTGCTGCCTATTATAAACTTGTAGAAGAATCCTTTGTCTAATGAAGTATCTGGGATGATTGACATGTTTAGTTACATGAATTTACCTCTGCCTCTTTGTTTCATTAAAAGGCTTTGTTGCCCTCATTGAGATTAGTTTATTGAAATCTTGTATATTTTGAGCAGTAGATAGGTAGAGTAAGACTCCAAAATTTAGATAAAAATAAACTTTTTGGATTGTATTTTCTGAATCTATATAAATTGAATAGCTGTTTGCTTTCCTTTCATCAATGTAGGTTTCAATTACTTCCTACAATAACTGTATTGTCCTGTTCAATATATGTAATGTAAAACTATTATTTTAGCCTAAATGCTTTCAGAGAGCTAATGAAGCCACTGAATTATAGAAACAAATAAAACACTAAATCGCTACTTCTACATTGATGGGAAATAGTTGCTTGCCAAACCCACAAACAATTGATAATAAGATCTCTTATACTGGGTATTTATTTACTTTTAATTTTGCCTTAGGCTTACTTGAACTAGCACATCGAGAATATCAAGCTGGTGATTATGAAAGTGCAGAACATCACTGTATGCAGTTATGGCGCCAGGACAGTACAAACACAGGGGTGCTACTCCTACTATCGTCTATACATTTCCAGTGTCGGAGACTGGACAAGTCTGCTCATTTTTCCACATTGGCGATCAAACAGAATCCTTTGTTGGCTGAAGCCTACAGGTGAGGAAGAGCACTATATACTCTGATGTATTTCTCCTATAATTTAAAGGTTTGTCTTCTTGAATTCTTAAAAAAATATGAAACCTTTATTACTGTATAATCAGTTGTTCTGTATTTCGAGAATCAATTTGGAACAAGTCCAAGTGATTTGTGACCATTCCTATAATTTATAAAATAGTTTATAAAAATAACTGTTTGCAGTGTATTGTAATGACAGCTTTGAGAGACAAGACATGTGTCTGTCTGGCTGTGAAAGTTATTTAGATCATACTTTAACTATAACATATATGATATTGTAATGTATAGAAAGTTTAAATTAAATACAAGTTGGAAATATTGAATTTCTAATTTGCTTCATTTTACTTCACTTTTACCTTAACATTTTATTAATAATAAAATATGGACTAAATGAAAGTGCTAATAATAAAAGTTGTTTATACAATAAAGATTTATACAATAAAATAAGTTACATCCAGCGATGTGTGCATGATGTAGTTTATTTCATTTGGTCAATACAAAAATTGTGTATTGCTTATTATGGACACATACAATACATACATTTTTTGTTATAAGAAAGTTTACGGACAGTTTTAGCTAAAAATATTTAGTATTTTGAATACCTTTTTGTCAAAATAAATTCAATTTGGCACAAACAGCACATTAAAAATTTGGAGCAACTACTTATTTAGGACGAATGTGGTGTATGACCTTGATTAATTAATTGTTTAAATCATTAACATTCACTGCAATAAATCTAATTAGTTGATTAACAAAAATAACTCATTTTCTATGTGGAAACATGTTTCAATTTTTACAATAATTATTAAAACTACTGGTATGGTTTAATCTCCTGTTTTCATAATCAAGTATAAGGCTGAGAAAATAATTCACTAATTCACAAATGAAAAACCTAAAACATTATGTAATACTGTAAGGTACCTAGTACCTACTACCTAGTAATAATTTCTAGATCTTCTGTGTCAATGTTATTATAAATTAAATATTGTCTATTGTTTTAAAACTACTAAAAATTAGTAGATTTTTAAATGAACAATGTATTTGGGTTAAAATGGTGTCTTATTTTTTTTTTAAGCTACCTCATCATGCTTTTTAACTAACTAATTTTTGTCATAAGTACATTCAAGAACATCCGTATATTTTGAAACAGAATTGATTATAAAATCAGACACCCGGCTCATAATCAATTCAAACTACAACACATTCTGAATAATGGTGAACTATATAACTTAAATTTAATATTCAATAGCCTCAGGGTAGTATTTTCTCAGTAATTTGCACTCTTAGCAGAGAGGTCGTGATCATCATTTCGGGTTGTGGTATCTCTAGTATTCCAATACCTAACATATTTAATAATCACACTGACTCCGATAATTAATCAAAACAGGATCCTATGGTGCATACACGAGTATCACTAGCCTGTTTGTAATGATCATAATTTGTCTTAAATTTCGTGCAGCAATTTGGGCAATGTTTACAAAGAACGCGGGCAGCTTCAGGAGGCGCTGGAGAACTATCGTCACGCTGTCCGTCTGAAGCCGGACTTCATCGATGGATACATCAACTTGGCTGCGGCTCTCGTTGCCGCCGGCGATATGGAGCAAGCTGTGCAGGCTTACGTTACCGCACTGCAGTATAACCCTGTGAGTATGTAAAAGTTTTTAAGGGATGATTCTAATCAGTATTATTTGTTTTCCATGTGGGCGGGCACATGCTGATATTAATTTTATTTGCTACTATCTGCCCCGGCAGACTTCGTAGTGCCTCAACCGATAAATAAAAGACCTAAACTTTTGTATAAAATAAATTTAAAACAAACTAAAGGAATCCGACCGACGGGGGACACATCAAAGGGAAAATTACGACCATTTTCTTAATTATCTACCTTTTAAACCATCTCTGGACTTCCACAAATAACTCAAGACCAAAATTAGCCAAATCGGTCCAGCCGTTCTCGAGTTTTAGCGAGACTAACGAACAGCAATTCATTTTTATATATATAGATAACATGAGCTATACATAATGTCAAATGAATCATTTGTTATTTGTTTTCCTGATGGCTTGGAAAATTTCATACGATTTTTTTGTTAACATCGGTAATTATGTGGTTGCAGCTCATTGGATATCTCGTCATATCGATCGTCTACCATTGTGACATGAACTATTCAATTTCAAATCAGACAAAGTATTTTTGAATGAAATTAAATAAGTGAAACGCACAACGTGTATTGTTTGCTTCGAAGTGAAAGGAGTATGCTCTAGTTTGGCTTAGTCTAAGCATTTGTATTGTATTATGTATCAAGCAGGCAGTGGTAATTTTAAATCGTAATTCGTAAGATTCTAAAAAGGCGAGTAAGCCTTTTTGTAAATATAATTTAAATTTTATATTATTTTGGATATATTTACGTGTAGACCTTTAGTATTCGACAACTAGTATTCTTTGATTCATAGGAATAAGATACGAGCATTATTTAACTGTAGAATATAACGCGTATTGCACACTGATAAGAATAAATTAAAAACAATAATAAAATTGCAAAGGGTCAATAAGGGACAAGTAATTTTTCCTGAATATTCCTGAATATGTAAGACAACCACTTTATTCAAGAAAATGTAGACAGTTTATAAATGAAACGTCGATTAAAAGCTCAAGAAAAAAGTTTGCAGCGATGTATTAATTGACTTAACTACGTAGGAATATACATTCACATCCGCTGTTAAAAAGAAAACGATTGGTTGGAAATATACCTGAGTGTTGATCCCCAGTAAATCAGCTACCCCTGCAATGCATTCAATGCCTGCTACATTACTATTATTACCATGTTTTACGAAGCCGGTTTTGAAGAATAGATTTTGAACTCGATGGAACTTTTCAATTGACATATCCTCACCTGGCTTCTATTATAAATGGATAGTTTAAAAAACACGTTAAATTCGTACTAAATTTTCTTACTTCCTCACCCCAGTGCGAATGTCAATACTCACTCACTTTTAATGTCAATATAGTTCGTATCAACGTTCTTATGGAAATTAGAATATAACGTGACGTATATTCACAAGCGCTTGTTTGAGTAACATATTAGGATAATTACAAAAAAATGTTGATATGTTAACAACAAATTGTAATCTTCAATAAAAGCATTTAATAGGCGAGATTCTACTTTACTTTGGGTTTATTTTACTTTTACTTACTTAATTATATTGTATTGCCAAAACTTAATATTAAATGCAATATCAGTCTCTCATTGTTTTATGCACCAGAGTCAACGTACTAAAGTGAAAAAATAAAATATAAAATAATGTGATTTTCTATGTTTAGTAATTTAAGGCGCTCGATGTAATTTCTGTTTTAATTGTATTTTATAACGGTCCTAAACTTCAAACGTCACCTTAATTTTTTTATCTTCCCAATTTGGCAGAATGGTCATAGCCCATCCTGTGTTTGGTTTTTTTCCCTACCTAAGCTGAGAGGGCTATGACAGCGTAGCCGAATGAGTGTGTTTGATGGTTAACGAAGCAAACGGATTTGAATGCTGCCATCTATCAACAAACATTAGATCGATTTGTTTTTTTTCCTACCTTTACTGATAGCCTCGAGTGTGGCTATTTCAACTTCGGTCTAACGTGTAGGTGAGCTCTCGGGGCTCAAACCGGAGTGTTGCTAACACTGGCCCTAGCTAGAGCAGTGCTTCGCAGAATCTACCATAGGATCGGAAACGCGACCCACTGAGGAGATTCGGCCAGAAACTCAGTGGGTTGTGTCTGTGGGTTAAATCGCTCGTCGAGCCCTTCGGCAAGCGACGGGTAAGATCGAAGGAAGTCTTATTTGTATTGTACTAACAGCTGTCGCGACTTTTCTGCCGAAACTGAACACTCCTTCGGGGCGGAAACGGGCAGTATTGTATATCTCTCACCCTCAGTTCTAGTTCCAGTAAAAGTTATGTATTATTATAAAAGCTATTTTGTTAGTTTTTTTAAACTATTATTTATTTTTCATTTTTTACTTGAATTTCAATTTTATTAAAATATTTTTTAATTATTTTTTTTAAATATTGAATTGTCATCGGTCCTTAATGAGTATATCAAATTTCGAGTTAATGCGACGTTTTGAAGGGGGTCAAAATCATGTTCAAAGATTCCGTTACACACATACATACATACGTCTGAAGCTAATAAAAGCGTATTAAAAACACTGAATTAAAACGGATGATTAAAATTATTTGAGCGAATTCGATTTAAAATCTTAAAATATTACGTTCACACGTCGATAAAGATAAGGCGATTGTGACCTTCACTGAATTATCATACGGTGACATTAATTTCCTTGTTTCGCAAACGGCAATTTGTAATGTATTGTTTGTGTCATTGTATGCCTCGTAATATTCCACTGGATTCTTCCGTTAATCAAATAGAACTGTATAGCAAAGGGCCCATAGTAAATTGGGTTGACACATCTATCTATCTCTATATATAAAAATGAATTGCTGTTCGTTAGTCTCGCTAAAACTCGAGAACGGCCGGACCGATTTGGCTAATTTTGGTCCTGAATTATTTGTGGAAGTCCAGAGAAGGCTTAAAAGGTAGATAAATATGAAAATGCTCAGAATTGAATAAAAATAACAATTTTGTTTTTCCTTTGATGTGTCCCCCGTCCTTCCTTTTGTTTGTTTTAAGTTTATTTTATACAAAAGCTTAGGTCTTTTATTTATCGATTGAGGCACTACGAAGTCTGCCGGGTCATCTAGTAACAAATAAAAATAATGCTTCAATCGTTGGACTTGGTTCTTTTTCTCTTTCGATTTTTTTTGTCCTAGGTGGATAAGCATGCTCTCGGCTTAACTATTGTTAAACGTTTATTAGAGCCCTTTGATAGAACAACAACAATACCAAGTTACATTTGACGGATCAATAATAAAAGCGATATCGATGAAGTCTTACGTAATAGGTTATCCAGTTTTAAATCAAAAGATACGGGTATATGATTTTGTCTTTTTAGCATCCGTGCGTAGTTTTTGTTGTTTTTGTTATTGATAGGAGAACGAGCTCACGGTCCACACCTGGTGTTTAGTGGTTACCGACAGTATATGAATGCCAACATTCATTTTGAGACATATTAAAATTGAGCACATTAAAATCAGCTACTTTGTTAAGTAAGTTGTAAGTTGGATATTTGATTCCGAAATATCTGACAGTTTTATAATTAGTAATGAATATAACGCTTTAAAAGTTTTTTTAAACATACTAGGTATATTGAAACGTATTTGTTTGTTTGATTTGGTGAAAGAATAATTTTGTTCCAGGATTTGTACTGCGTCAGAAGCGATTTGGGCAATTTGCTCAAAGCCCTCGGAAGACTAGACGAGGCAAAGGTAAATATAATTTTCTGCTTCACTGTTTGGTTCGCTCTAAAGTTAACAGGATTCTCTAGAACTTTCCTTTGTACGATATTAAATTAGCGCACTCTCGGCGAAGCGTAGTTTCTTCTTGCGTAAATCCTCTAGACATGGCAGTCGCGTAACGAAGTCCCCTTTGTGATGGTTCCAACAGTGTTTTCTCATCAAACGCCTTCACGAGTTTAAATTAAATTTTGTGTTTTATGAGCGACCTGTTCGAACCATTGCAGACCCGTTGAATGAGATGAAATCCTTATGAAGATTTAACTGAAAAATATCTCATACGATGCAGTCTTATAGAAGTCACAAAATATATTTGGCACGCCTTGTACAGATATTTTGTGATAGCATCTGCGTAAAATCATCAATCTTCTAGTCGACGAACGTTGCACGGTATTTAAGATTTGAAAAAAAACTGAATGTCATGACCTTCGTGAATTTAATCTGATGCTATCTATTGTAGTATAAAAATCCGTTCGACTGGAATATTGCGTAATCGGAGTTTGCGCTAATTGTAATTTTGTAATGTCGAACTTAAGTATAATTAATAAAGATCCTGTTGGCTTCATTGTTTTTATTTTATTNGTCGACGAACGTTGCACGGTATTTAAGATTTGAAAAAAAACTGAATGTCATGACCTTCGTGAATTTAATCTGATGCTATCTATTGTAGTATAAAAATCCGTTCGACTGGAATATTGCGTAATCGGAGTTTGCGCTAATTGTAATTTTGTAATGTCGAACTTAAGTATAATTAATAAAGATCCTGTTGGCTTCATTGTTTTTATTTTATTTTAATGAAATGTGCTTTTATTATTTTACCATTTTCAAGGAGGATCAGAGAAGACAAGTAGCGTATCAGTAGTGATTTTATTTGTATGATTTGGTCATTCTCATCATGCCTGTCACAATACTCTGCTCGATGACAGCGCGAGTTCGTAATGATCCTATCCAATCATAAATATGTTTTGCGATAATCAGTTACATTGACAGAATCGGGTGAAAAAGTTTGACAAAGAAATCAACTAATTTCTATTATATTTTCACAAGGTGTTGTCTGGTAAGACAAGTGTAGGTGTGACCGGTGCTGTATGTAGCTGTGTAACGGTTGGTACGACTCTCGCTCTTCCGCCCCGATGACACCGTGACCACTGAAGGTAAAGTGGAAAAAGGTTTCAAAGAAATAATGTTACAACAGGTTATCGGATACGTTTTCATTTGATTATTGTCGTGTTCATCTTGTCCATCGGTTAGGAAGTGGAAGCGTTTGTCTTTTCGTTTTTTTTAACTGCTTTGGTTTTTCAGTGATTACAGACTTCATTTTTGTTGACGGTCGTTTGCATTTCCTACTACTGATGTGATGCTCTTGGCGTAGTGACTTGTTAGGATGCGATTTGGCGTAATTCTGGTTTTTATGTTGTACGTGAATGATGTTCGGTAATCTGAATTGAGTCGAACACCGGCATCGTTCAACGTTGTGTAGAGAAATGCTCTGGCGTAACGATATCTCGGTACTACATCACGCTAAAACACAAATCAAAGTTCAAAAGTTAAAAGTTATTTTTTTCGTGTGTTTAGGCTTGTTACTTGAAGGCAATCGAAACTAGACCCGATTTCGCGGTCGCCTGGAGCAACTTGGGTTGCGTTTTCAATGCGCAGAGTGAAATATGGTTGGCAATTCATCATTTCGAAAAAGCTGTCGCATTGGATCCCAATTTCTTAGACGCGTACATTAATTTAGGAAATGTACTAAAAGAAGCTAGAATTTTTGACAGGTACGTAACCATAATAAAATATGAAATATTTCGCTCTAATCTATTTTTGAATGTGTTTTAAATTAGTATCTCGTGATTATCAGGGCCGTCGCCGCATATTTGAGAGCCTTGAATTTATCTCCCAATAATGCCGTCGTGCACGGCAATCTGGCCTGCGTGTACTACGAACAAGGACTGATTGACTTGGCCATCGATACTTATCGACGTGCCATCGAATTACAACAGAACTTCCCGGACGCGTATTGCAATTTAGCTAATGCACTCAAAGAAAAGGGACAAGTGACTGATGCTGAAGAGTGTTATAATACCGCGTTACGTCTCTGTCCGTCTCATGCAGACTCCCTCAACAATCTGGCTAATATAAAACGGGAACAAGGCTACATCGAGGAGGCTACACGTTTATATTTAAAAGCATTAGAAGTGTTCCCGGAGTTTGCGGCGGCGCACAGTAATCTGGCTTCAGTGTTGCAACAACAAGGGAAACTAAACGAAGCCCTTATGCATTACAAGGAAGCTATACGTATTCAGCCGACCTTTGCCGATGCGTATAGCAACATGGGCAATACGCTAAAGGAAATGCAAGATGTAGCCGGTGCTCTGCAATGCTACACAAGGGCGATTCAAATTAATCCCGCATTTGCGGATGCTCATAGCAATTTGGCCAGCATCCACAAAGATTCTGGTAACATTCCTGAAGCTATACAGTCGTACAGAACAGCGCTTAAGCTTAAACCAGACTTCCCAGATGCGTATTGCAATTTAGCCCACTGTTTACAAATAGTGTGTGACTGGACGGATTATGAGGCTCGAATGAAAAAATTGGTCAGCATTGTCGCCGAGCAGCTGGAGAAAAACAGACTGCCATCAGTACATCCGCACCACTCCATGTTGTATCCGCTGACACATGACTTTAGGAAGGCCATCGCCGCCCGTCACGCGAACCTTTGCTTGGAGAAAGTGCAAGTGTTGCACAAAACCCCTTACAAGTTCCCTAGAGATTTACAAGGCCGCCTTCGTATCGGGTACGTAAGCAGCGATTTCGGTAACCATCCGACATCGCATTTGATGCAATCGGTACCGGGTTTGCATGACCGAACAAAAGTGGAAATATTCTGCTATGCCCTCAGTCCGGACGACGGAACAACGTTCCGATCGAAAATCGCCAGGGAAGCGGAGCATTTTATCGATCTATCTCAGATGCCTTGTAACGGCAAAGCAGCCGATAAAATATACGGAGACGGTATTCATATCTTGGTCAATATGAATGGATACACTAAAGGAGCGCGAAATGAAATTTTCGCTTTGAGACCAGCCCCGGTCCAGGTAATGTGGCTCGGGTACCCGGGAACTAGCGGGGCTAGTTACATGGACTATTTAGTTACTGANCATTTTATCGATCTATCTCAGATGCCTTGTAACGGCAAAGCAGCCGATAAAATATACGGAGACGGTATTCATATCTTGGTCAATATGAATGGATACACTAAAGGAGCGCGAAATGAAATTTTCGCTTTGAGACCAGCCCCGGTCCAGGTAATGTGGCTCGGGTACCCGGGAACTAGCGGGGCTAGTTACATGGACTATTTAGTTACTGACGCAGTGACGTCACCCGTGGAACTTGCCAGCCAATATAGCGAGAAACTGGCGTACATGCCACACACGTATTTTGTTGGCGATCACAAGCAAATGTTCCCACATTTACAAGAACGTCTGATTCTGAGCGACAAAGTTAAATCCCACAACAATTTGGGAAGTGTCGCGGACAATGTTGCTGTGATTAACGCGACCGATTTGTCGCCCCTTGTGGAAAATACTGACATTAAAGAAATAAAAGAGATCGTGCGAGCAGCCAGACCCGTTGAAATATCTTTGAAAGTAGCCGAATTGCCAACGACGACACCCATTGAAACTATGATTGCATCAGGACAAGTACAGGTAACTTTTTAATATTATCGAGCCTTTTAAATTAAAAGAAGTAAACCAGCAAAAGCAGACCTGATAAATAACGACTGTATTTTTTATGTGGGGTTGTGCATGTCCATTCAATGCAATTGCTGTCTAACATAAAAATAAAAGTTTGTAATTTTCGTCCGTAACTTCTGAGCAGGTTTCTATTTTTTTACATTGGCTTTGTTTCCATTTTTTTGATTATGATGAGAACAAAAATGCAAACTTATTTACTGGTGGTATCGTGCGGGTAGGTACCACCGCCCTGCCTATTTCTGCCGTGAAGCAGTAATGCGTTTCGGTCTGAAGGGTAGGGCAGCCGTTGTAACTATACTGAGATCTTAGAACTTATATCTCAAGGTGGGTGGCGCATTTACGTTGTAGATGTCTATGGGCTCCAGTAACCAGTTAACACCAGGCGGGCTGTGAGCTCGTCCACCCATCTAAGCAATAAAAAAAATAAATTAACTGTTTTGTTTCCACAATTTTCAGACATCCGTAAATGGCGTTATTCTTCAAAATGGCTTAGCTACTACGCAGACGAACAACAAGGCTGCGACGGGCGAGGAAGTACCACAATCTATAGTGATTACAACTCGACAACAATACGGCTTACCGGATGACGCCGTAGTGTACTGCAACTTCAACCAATTGTATAAGATTGACCCATTAACTCTACACATGTGGGTGTACATACTGAAACATGTACCTAACAGTGTATTATGGTTATTAAGATTCCCGGCCGTAGGAGAACCCAATTTACAGTCCACTGCCAACCAACTCGGTGAGTATTATATTCGTAATATAATTTGTGCAAACAGTCATACATTTTAGAACTATTACTTTTAAAAGGAAGATGGTGAATATTCTAAGTATTGCTATTATTGCCTCGAAAGATAGATTTTGTAAAGATTAATTTCGAACTGTTCTTCCAATCAGTAAATTAACTAGTATCAGCCTGCGATTGAACATCAATCAATTCGGAAAAATCATTTATACTGAAATGTTTATGTTTTAAAGACCCTAAACTTTTTGTAAAAATATCTGCTGGCATTCCAGCAGTTTCTAAATAATTAACTTTAACAAACTTGTTTGCAACTGCCTTCTCAGTTGCACTTATAGTAGTCCAATTAATTCAACTTTTAAGGTGTTTTTTATTTTAATCTTATTGCATATATTTTTACTAAAGGTCTTCCGCCGGGACGGATAATATTCTCAAATGTTGCTGCCAAAGAAGAGCACGTACGACGCGGACAGTTAGCTGATGTGTGTCTCGACACTCCGCTTTGTAATGGACACACAACTAGTATGGACATCCTATGGACTGGCACACCGGTTGTGACCCTTCCTGGAGAGACTTTGGCGTCTCGGTGAGTTATTTTTGGAAGAAACGATTTATCAGTTGTGTGTTCTTGGATATGAAAATAAGCTTGTATTTGTTGCTGTACCATGTTGTGTGTAACAAACTATTTGTCAATCCATCAATTTGGAATTAACTGCCTTATAGATATTTATATAGCATAATATGTCCCTATATGTTAATAATTAAAACAATACTTTTTAATTTTAAAATCTCTCTGACTCATTTATTATTTTTGTATACTATTTATTATACTTTTGGTTTTTCACAATAAATAATGAGCCAATATATGACATGACTTACTGGTGGTAGGACCTCTTGTGAGTCCGTGCGGGTGGGTACCACCGCCCTGCCTATTTCTGCCGTGAAGCAGTAATGCGTTTCGGTTTGAAGGGTGGGGCAGCCGTTGTAACTATACTTGAGACCTTAGAACTTATATCTCAAGGTGGGTGGCGCATTTACGTTGTGGATGTCTATGGGCTCCAGTAACCACTTAACACCAGGTGGGCTGTGAGCTCGTCCAGACATCTAAGCAACAAAAAAAAAAAAAAAAACTCAGTATGTCATCCTCAATCAGCGTACAGTGCTTTGACTGTGTTACTGATGTCCATGACTAATAATTGCTTGGAATTACCAAAAATGGAATAAAAAAGTCCTTATAAAATAAATTATGTATTTCTTTTGACCAAGATATAAATAATTAATTTACAGAGTGGCAGCTTCTCAATTAAATACTTTAGGATGTCCCGAGCTCATTGCCAGGACGAGACAAGAATACCAAGACATAGCTGTAAGACTGGGAACAGATAGAGAATAGTAAGTTGACATTAGCTTAATTTATTAGTAATTACTTTACAGGGGCAGACGATTTTACGGCCTATCTGGTATTAATTGTGCTTTGTAATGCATATAATGACACTTGCCTCTTGAAGGATCCGTTATGATTGAGATTTCAGATCAGTAAGAAAATGATATTACTAAACTCTATCTTAGAGTTTGGCCAATGATACTAATATTTAAGGAAACCTGATAACAGTAGCAACTTAGGAAGGTCAGGGTGACATACCCATTGTTTACTTAATGATAGGACCAAAAAATCCTTGAATTTATTGTTAATTACTTATTAATATATGAAGTACATGTTGCATTATTCATAGTTGTATGTTGTTATAATTTCATTGGTTCAATGATTTTATAATTATAAGTAAACACAGCAACAAAAAAAGTATTATTAAAAAATAGTCCCAATCTAAATATTTAGATCAACACTGATATATTTGTATCTTGAAAGACATTGACTCTTGAAATGCAAAACACAAAATATTATAAAAGTAATTTTTCTTTCTCATTGAGACTTTTCATTATTTGATATCAGCAGTTTTTTTTTTTTTTTCTTTTTTTTTTTTTTTTTTTTTTTTTTTTTTTTTTTTTTCCTACCTAAGCTGATAGCCCTAGCGGCTATTTCAGCGTAACCCTAACTTTAGTAGGTGAGCTCACGGGGCTCAAACCTGACGATGTTGCTAACACGAACCCTAGCAAGAGTCGTGCTTCGCAGAATCTACCACCGGATCGGAAACGCGACCCACTGAGAAGATCCGGCGAGAAACTCAGTGGGCTGTGTCTGAGAGTTAATTTACTCGTCGAGCCCTTCGTCGCAAGCGACGGGTTCGACGAGAACGGTGACCGGTGCTTGAAGTACCTAAAAGCACCGTTAGTGGATCGGGAGGATCCGAGATGACGTGTTTTGGGCGACGTCGACTGCTTTCCATTCTGTCCGCAGGATCGGGAATGTAGTTACCGGCGGCCACGATGAGAGGGTTCTCGTGTCGTGCCGCTTTATCGAAGTGGCAGCAGTTTATCATTTAATATGTTTATAGATAAATTTTTAAGAATTATTTGTTTGATAAAGAATACTGGGGGTCACCTAGATGTCGAAATTCGATCATAATTAATTTAAATTATAAGTTTGAACATTATTATGGTTCGATTGTCACATTTCTGTAATCATAATTTATCCAAGGCTACACTAGATAAATAATTTTATAGACAAACATTGTGTAATCTATTCTTAATTTGACCACATGCTATCAAAAATAAACAAAAGAGTATAAATGCGTGTGTGTGTCAAATACATGGTAGTGTGTGTAATTTTTTTTATTGACGTAATTTAATTTTTAATAATAATTATATATATATATATATATATTACCTTTTTGCACTCCTCTATATTCTCTTCAAGTGAAAAATTTAATATCTCTCTGTCCTCGCAATTTTCGTAAGAAGTTGTACAAAGTTTTTGCTTCCTATATCTATACTCTGCACTAATATATAAATCTACAGTGGTTTTTACTGATGTTCTCTTATAACTAGTTACTGAACCATGCATCCGATTGACTTGAAACTTGGTATCCATGTAGAAAATACATGAACTTAATGGATAGGCAAATATTCATATGAGTGTTGGACTCCCTACACCAGTTGCGGGGGCGTTAATGATGAGAAACTTTGTGGAGTTGAGAAATAATCATGTTAATTTTAAATGGCCAGCGAAGCGGACGGGTGCAGTTAGTTACTAATATAGCTGTAGATATTAAAGTTAAATTCATTTTGAAATTTTTTATTATTGATCTCATTTTAAAACCTTATTTTTTTTCGTTACAGCCTAAAAGCGATCAGAGCAAAGGTGTGGACAGCTCGCACTGACAGTCCTCTTTTCGACTGCAAGGCGTACGCCACCGGACTTGAGATGCTGTACAACAGAATGTGGTCGAGGCACGCGCGAGGCGATCGCCCTGATCATATACAGGCCCTCGAGAAATAAGTGAATACAATACAGTTATGTGAAGACCGTTTTAGTGTGAAATCATTGCGTGGAACATTTTGTTTAATTCGAAAGCTAAAAACTATCGATAATACTAGTTTTTCTGGCTTCAATTAATTTAATCTTTGAGCGTCAAAGAATTTATGGGTTGTCTCAAACAATTTTCAGAGATCTCTTGTTCTTAATACAGAAATATGTGATACAAAGTGGAATTAATGGAGTTTCGATTTAATATCGGTACTAATAACAGTGCATGCTAACAATTTTAGTGAACTGAATTAATCACATTAGTGACTGTCTTATAGGCGATGTTATTAAATGGTGATTATTAATGATGAGTTTGTTCATTCTAAACATTTGAACTTACAGCATAATAATTTGTTTTTTGTATTAAGACTAATTTGTGCCTTTGCAGGGTGGGACAATCCTATATTGCCATATACTTTTTTGTATAACAGTGACTTGAAAGATTTGGAATGAATTTAAATGTTAAGGAATTCATAAACTGACATTGAAAAGTAAGCGTTATTTATTATTTCACTAGTGTTTGTTTGTCTGTAGTAACAATATTATAATATTCAGTTTGAACCATAGTAAACAGTTCATAGTTAAAAAACAAGTATTAAAAATATGTTAATCCATATATTTAATTATACTCTAAGCTTGATTGTATAACCAAATACCCTTGCGTTATGCTATGATTCTGTGTATGTCGAGGTGAGTATGGCTTAGAAAAAAATGCAGCAAAAGTATTTACCTTTACCATACAGTATTTAAAATTAATTGAAACTTGTTTATCTCTAGTTATGAACTAATGTTATTACACTAAGACAAAGTTCCAACATTAATGTAAATTAAACAACACTAATACTATTTTATGTATTTTTAAGGAAGGAAGGAATAGGGACACCACTTGTGGTCTAACTTAGCTGCCTCATTCAATGAATTTTTTCACAACTAGAACAAGCGTTGAAGTTTAGCGCGTCATGTTAAATCGTGACATAGTTAGGACTCGCGTATAAGTTATCGTCCCAGTTGGTATTCGTACTCAAGTTTAGTCATATTTCAATTGTGTTCACTTTCAAATTAACCTTTTAGTTTCCCATCCATATAACTAATTAAATAGTGTTTTATAAATTCCTGTAGTATTTAAGAAATAAAAATCTATTGTGATAAACAGTCCTATTTGTTAACAAAAAGAAGAAGGTAAACAATGGCATTGTTCTTTTCAGTAAATTTCATGATAATATACACGTATAAATCGCTATTGCCAAAGCCACAAGTAATATTAACATTACAAATACTAGGATTCATCAAAAACCGAGTTTAGTCACAATGATGCGACTTATTTTACAATTAATACATTTTCTATTTTAATCAATTGAAGATTGTAGCGAATAGATCAATGGCTGGTTAATTTCATTTAAAACTTGTGAATTTAAAAAAATTCGTAACTCGTGATTTGTAGCACGGTAGAGATAATTTTAGACTATCGGAATATGCAGCATATGAGTATTTCGTTTAATTATAATAATGAAGTTTGAAAATACTGAACACGTTTTAAAGGCTATGTTCCGATGTACACCGCGAGTACTGTTCAGTACTCTCACTGGGGAGAAATTCGTTCCGTTATGGACTGACAGTATACAGTGGCATCACCTAGGGAAATATATTACTACATAAATCGTCAAAATCTTCCTACTGTAAACACTAGTGTTTTTAGCCCACTGAGTTTCTCGCCGGATCTTCTCAGTGGGTCGGGTTTCCGATCCGGTGGTAGATTCTGTGAAGCACTGCTCTTGCTAGGGCCAGGGTTAGCAACAACTCCGGTTTAAGCCCCGAGAGCTCACCTACACGCTAGGGTATAGCTGATATAGCCTCTCAAGGCTATCAGCATAGGTAGGGAAAAAAAGCTGTTTTCGAGGTAAGGTAACCTTATTCCAATAATTCGAGAAATAAGTTGTTATACATTAAATTGCTTGAAAAACAATATGTATTTTCTTGTATTCAAAAGTATACTAACTTATTTTGCGATAATTCAACTGACCATAACTTGAATATTAAATTTTTAAATGTAATTAAATTTAAACAATATTTTTGTTGTTGAAGGTAAAAACGATGTCTGTAAACGTCGATGACAGTTTATGTACTACGATCCGTTTTAAACAGTGATCAGTATAGTTAACTATAAAGAAACGGTTTTGCATATTGATGTCACACTTTACAGTGCTCTCAGTGTATATCGGAACATAGCCAAAAAATGTACTGACAAGATTTATTTTTATATATGACACCTCTCAATGTGAGGGTCATAGTAGTAACCAGTGTGCTTAGTGCAAGTTTTAACGTTCTCGATAGCGTAAAAGTTAACTCATTTTTGTGTGGAATGGGATCGTTTGCCTACGTTTGCCGCTAGGGGCGCTGTTCCAATTGCATACAAAACTGAGTTAACTTTTACGCTAACGAGAACGTTAAAAAACTCGCACTAAACACACAGGAATGTAAAAGATTTAAATGCGTGATACTTTTTGTACTAGGTACCTATTGTATTGGTGGAAGTTGATGTTTTATGTTCCAGCCTAAGATTGCTTGAAGCTTATTCACCGCGTCTCTTTCAGTGGTTGGAAACAATAAAATCTTAATTTATTTCATGAATATATTTTGTAATGTTTTATTTTTTCTTTTAAACAAATCGAACGAGGCGGCAGGCTGTATTATACATGAATGGCCATCTAACCGTTTGTACGCGTCGTAATCATTGTATATATCTCAATTATCTCATATTGTTAAGTTAAGTAAGACATTACCCATGGTAAATAATGAAATGAAAATAAAATTGAAAAGGTGTTTTATTTAATATAATTGAGTTTCAGTAAGAATTGGCGTCTTCAGAGTTCGTCCACTGTGTTTTATTTTTAACTAGCTGACCCGGCAGACTTCCTAGTGCCCCAATCGATAAATAAAATACCTAAACTTTTGTATAAAATAAACAAAAGGAATCCGTCCGACGGGGAACACATCAACGGAAAAACAAAATTGTTATTTTTATTTGTTTCCGAGCATTTTCATATTTATCTACCTTTTAAACTTTCTCTGGACTTCCACAAATAATTCAAGACCAAAATTAGCCAAATCGGTCCAGCCGTTCTCGAGTTTTAGCGAGACTAACGAACATTTTTAGATTTAATGTAAATGTTGCAGTAGATATTTGTTTGTCATTTTTGCTTTTATGTCAATAAAGAAAAGTTATAGAAGTCAATAATATTGGAAGGTATTTGAATCTAATAAATCGTCGGCTTATTGCAAGAAGTCATTAAGTGACATATTCATTATTTTGGGAAAACGGCATTTTAGTTGGAATTCGTTAGTGGTTATGTTGATTAGCCCATATTATCCTTCATACATAATTACAGTGAGCAAAATTGAATGTTTTGGATTGCTTAATATGTATATTAATTAAAACAAGTGAGAGTCGGTAGTCATATAACATTATATATTATTTATACTCTAAAACTAAAAGTTAACGACTTCTGGCTACTGTAAGTCGGTTTTATATGTGAATTAATTATTTCTTAAATTAAAATAAAACAACAAATACTTATCAAACCTTATTGAAATAAACAAAAACGAATAATAACATAATAATCAAAAACAATTTTTTTCATAACAGTTGACGTAAGAACTTGCAATAGCTAATATTGCCAAGTACTCACGACAACTTCGCAGTCTCAAAAGTTGTACATAATTTTATTTTTATTTTATTGCTCAGATGGGTGTGTACGAGTTCACAGGCCACCTGGTATTAAGTGGTTACTGGAGCCCATTGACATCTACAATGTAAATGCGCCACCCACCTTGAGATATAAGTTCTAAGGTATCAGTATAGTCACAACGCTGCCCCACTTATACATAGGAGGGCCATTCGGATTGTTGATAATCCCATTCTCACGGATCGTTTGGAACCTCTGGGTCTGCGGAGGGACTTCGGTTCCCTCTGTATTTTGTATCGTATGTTCCATTGGGAGTGCTCTGAGGAATTGTTCGAGATGATACCGGCATCTCGTTTTTACCATCGCACCGCCCGCCACCGGAGTAGAGTTCATCCATACTACCTGGAGCCACTGCGGTCATCCACAGTGCGTTTCCAGAGATCTTTTTTGCCACGTACCATCCGGCTTTGGAATGAGCTCCCCTCCACGGTGTTTCTCGCGCGCTATGACATGTCCTTCTTCAAACGAGGCTTGTGGAGAGTATTAAACGCTAGGCAGCGGCTTGGCTCTGCCTCTGGCATTGCTGAAGTCCATGGGCGACGGTAACCACTCACCATCAGGTGGGCCGTATGCACGTCTGCCTACAAGGGCAATAAAAAAAAACCCTTGAAGCCGAAACGCATTACTACTTCACGGCAGAAATAGGCGGGGTTGTGGTACCCACCCGTACGGACTCACAAGAGGTCCTACCACCAGTAATTACGCAAATTATAATTATGCGAGTTTATTACACGATGTTATTCCTTCACCGTGGAAGTAGATCGTGAACATATTTTGTTAAGTACATATTTCATCAGAAAAATTGGTACCCGCCTGCGGGATTCGAACACCGGTGCATCGCTTCGTCTTATCTTTTAGGCCTTCAATAATAAACTAAAAATAATTGTCTTCTCCCTGTTAGTCAATCAGTCATGTATTCATTCAATCATGTATTTTTTAATGAAAATTACTATAGGTTCATACGGCGTCTTTGCTGTTTTTTTCTTTTTTAGCATTCTGTTTGCTCTAGCCAATCTTAAAACAATACAGAGGTCTATAATAGAAAAAATTGGCATAAGACATTTTTTTCTCGATAGAACTATGCATATTATCGACCTCCATATTATGTGTGTGGCCCAATTCTAAATACTTATGTTCAACCACCTCAAGGTGGGTAACTTGAACTAAGTATAGCATTAAGCATAACAGAAACTGATTACGTTCTTGCATCAGCTCGCTGAGTTTCTCGCCGGGTCTTCTCAGCGGGTTGCGATTCCGATCCGGTAGTAGATTCATTCACGAAGCAGCTGTTCTTGAGTTGTTAGGTCTTCTTCGGAGGCGCACGGGCAGCTGTTAGCAAATCCCACCCCTCTTGGCTGAGCCTTTGCTAGCCCACATGTCCTGGTGAATCTGGAAAGGCCTCCGGGCCACCAGTAATCCTTCAATCCTAAAAAAATATAGAAAAGCCTGTCTGGTGTTACATGATTACTGCAGCTCATAGAGATCCAACGTGAAAGCCACCACCCATCTTGAGACCCGAAATCTAAATCTAAATTGTTCCGTATGCTGCTTCACTTCGATGGTGGTACCAACTCGTACGGGCTTGCCATACGCCATACCAACCATCCTATCAGTAAATACAAGTTGGCAATCGTAGTCCACTGGTGTGATTCTCAGATAACGACGTTGCCCGTTCTCCAGTGTATCATTTAACATCTTCTACACCCGTGGAAAGAATGATGCTATTGTAGGTCAGGTGTTTGCTTGCTAGGCTGTGCGAAGGTTGTTCAGAACTTCAATTGCTCCAACATCTTGCTTCCTCGTCCTTGTTTGAAACATTTATTTCGTTGCATTTTGTCAGAAATCATTCACTTCTATAACTATGGCGTGGTAATCAACGTATCTCGCCGCAAACTGAGCGAGCGAGGCAGTACTCTTTCGTCCCGCGCAAACCCACCCTCACCCGCGTTCGTCGGTTTCGTCTTATGCACCCTGTTCTCTAGACAAGCTGTTTTGTCGCATTTCACCAAACCCTATATAACTCACTAAACTACAACCGAGGAACCACGTAGCCTGCAAGAAGTTACTTTGTTCTTTTAATCGATGTTAACTTATTAAAATCATGCCATCAACAAAATGGAAAAAATAATGAAAAAGAATAAATGATTTTATGGAAATCTTAATATTATGATTTATATTATATTAATATCGATAAAAATCATTAAGATTACTTATTGTGCATTTGTGATGAAATGATTCATTACAGAAACTAACTAAATGTAAATAATGAATTTTATCGAAATACAATTTTAAGCTATATTATACTACACTGTTTTGATAAAATTAATTAGATGCTGAAAATGAGTTCTGTAATGTAATGTATGCTGTTTTCAAATAATTATCTATTTAATAAAAATAACTAGTGCTGCTTAGTGAATCTTTGTAAATGC